TTGTACCCATTAATGCCGAGCGCCAGGCATGGACCAACAAGTACAATATTTTAACGTCTTTTGGTATTATGCTGCCGGTGATCGAACCCGTGACCTTCTGTTCTTCGGGCGGACGCTCTAACCACTACACCATGTAGGACTATTTCAAATGTAACTCGTTCAGCTTTGAATGCAAGCACAATCTGTAAATATGCCCATATGTTAAATACCAAAATCCAAGTGTCAGCTCCTTTTAAATGTGGATGAAAAGTAATGATAGCAATGTTTGTTTGCCAGTTTAAACACAATATACCTTGATTGACACAGTACGTGATCACAGACGCTAGTTCTGCCACCATAACCCATACGTTTCTTAACAGCAACTTTCTCATACCTTGGTGAAGTTTAGAAAGACAGCCTGTTCTTGGTGTGTCTGTGGCGGATATTTTGCTGTTGTAGCAGTGCAGGCAAGTTTCTTTATCTGATATATGCAAAATGTGCACTCGCTGAATTGACCACAGTAATGTTTGCACATTTCAGGTCCTTGGTCAAATGATGCAGTGACTGTCATGATGAAAACTGTGCAAACCATTAGAAGTGTGAAGCGACATCCTCTGTAAGGAACCATCGTTCTCTACGCTGATGTTGCTGCAAGCAAAGAGTTACACATTACTAAGCTCATTGATTCTTTAAGGCGTTTGGCCAATGATCAACATGCATGTGAAAAACTACCTAAAAAAGATATAGTAACTGCATTGAAATGAAATACCGTCATGCATGGTATCTTTTCACCAATGTTGCAATTTCAGGAGTTATTTGAATATTTTTATCATCTGGTGTAAGAGGTAAATACAACTCTTATGTTTGAAAAATATGTTGCTACGGATTCATAGTAGTCACAATGTGTAAATGGCAGAGGGTAGTATTTTCACTCAAGGAGGTTTAGTATGTACCAGAATCACTGGCCACGTTTCACCTTAATGGTTTGTTAATCTACGAATTCTCTACCCATTTGATTCAATCTATAAATACAAAATTCTCCCTTTGCAAATCGATATCCTTAATCAGTTAACAAGCATATGATAACTGGTTGCGTAAGTCACAATGTCTCTCCAGTCACAAATCTCTATCTGCTAAATGGCCCCATACGTGTATGCAAGCCTATGTGTAATAAAGCTTATTGAAATGATTGAAACACAAGTGACAGAGGTGAAAGATATTTGAGAATATCTATTTATATTCCAAAGTATTCTTCAGAATTACACCACCTTCAATCCAATTACACTGCAGTATGAAAATAAAAAGTAAAATTTATAAATCATGGGGGGAGGTAAGTCACTTATTCAACTTCAAAATGTTTGCAGCATTCATTTCTCATTTTACAAAATACCTACGATTCTCGAAGAAGTGTTCCCCCTCGTAGTTTGTTCCTCTGTGTGAATTTCCAGTCCTTAACAAGTTATTTATTCTACATCCAAGCTGTTGCTTTGTTTCACTAAAAGGTAAGCATTCTCTGCATCAGTGATAATACAAAGATACAACATTAAGATAGGACAAATGGGGTTCAGCTCGATATTTCCATCGATTTGGTGCCGTTTTTGTTTCAAGAAAGTACACAAACCTTAGACAAATTATGGATTGGTAAATGTAGGCGTTGAGTTTTCCAGAATCTTTGTTTTGCTCACATTTTATAAAAAATATTGAATTGTAAAAATTATTCATGTCTCTTCTTTAAATGCCTCTGAAGAACATTTTGCTCATATTTTGAAAATATTGAAATGTATTCCTGTACTCGTATTTTCTGGTCAATCTTCTTGCAAAATCGGATAGTACCTGACAGGTGTCTGTTGGAGTAGTATAGGCTATGGGGTACGGGATCAGTCTACACAAATTTATATCATGATGCAGGATGATGGTGGTTTAGGTTGCTATGCAGATGTGACATTTTGCTAAGTACACTAGGCTAATACTAGAATCTAACCAAACTGTTTATGAAATTGTCTTGCATCCGATAAGCAATATCTTCCTAGCAAATTTCAACCATCTCAGCATAAATTTGTGTGGGTTGGTCCTGTATGCCCATCACCTATACTACTCCCACTGACAGTTGTCACATATACTCATTTAGACTTTGTTCTTAAAATGTGTATGACTGCAGACCTGATCTCGTCGCAATATGGAATAATGCCAATGTGACGTAAAACACGAGTTACGTGAGTACCTTTCTTGTTACACCTTTCTTGTTACGCCTTAAGCGTAGTGGGCTAAAACTAGAATCTGCCTAAACTGCTTGTGAAATTGTGTTGCATCCACTTTACGTTCCACTTTTCTTGTTACACCTTTAGACAATTGGCACTCACATTCCAGTAAATGTTGCACTTTTCTTGTTACCTGAACAAAAGGAGCGAAGGTTGAACTGGTGCTTACAGCATAGAAATTATAACTGGGACAATGTGATTTTCTTAAATGAAAGTTCTGTGTGGCTGTTTCCTAATACACTGAAATTCTGGACCAAACAGACTGAAAAACCTTTGTATCAGCACCCAAAGTACAGTCCGAAATTTAACTCGTGGGGTGGCATATCTGTGATAGGGGCAACGCCCCTCTGTGTATTTGAAGGGAATATGAACAGTGAGCGGTACACAGATATTCTCGAGGGACATTTACTTCCATCTGCTCACGTGTTCTATGGACATTTTTGGAATTTCCAGCAGGACAACGACCCAAAACCTCGTTCAAAGCATTCACAGGCCTGGTTTCGGACCCAAAATATGACATTATTAGATTGCCCAAGTTATAGCCCTGACCTAAATCCAATAGAAAATGTTTGGGGACTTATGAAGGAAAGTGTCAATAAGAAAAATCTGACAAATATTGCTGAAAATGAAAGAAAATGTGGTCTGATATTGGGACAGCATGGACCACGACTTTCTAACTTCTTTGATCAGTAGTATGCCCTGCCGCATTGAAGCCTGCATTGCTGCCCATGGTGACTTGACAAAATACGAACTGTTCACCTGTCTTTGAATCTGGAGTTATGTTCTACTAATATTCCTATTTAGTACGTGAGTAATGAGTGACAAAAATATTTAAAAAATACAATCTTTAAATTCTCAATAATTTCTGGTTGTACTGTATCACATACGATCAGTAAATGTTGCACCTTTCTTGTTACGCCTTTAGACAATTGTCACTTACTCTACAAAAGTTCCCCTAGTGTTTCCCTGTTTGTAATCGTGAAATCAGAACGTGTAGATTCGATATGACATCGTCTATGTGACCACTTAAAAATCACCCTCCAGAAAATGAACACATTGCATTGCTGCGGTACTGAAAGCACATAATGAGGCCACTATGATAAATGCTTGATCCACAACCAATAACTGAAGAGGCACGAGTGAGTGAGGTGTACGCTACCTTCGGCAATATTCTAGTAATATCGGGGTGGGTCACGCCAGAAACTGGCTTCACAGATTGTACAGGTGTGGGGAATTGAATCAGGGTCTTCTGCGTGACTAGCAAACGCTTTAACCACTAGACTATCCCGCCCTTTGAAGAGGCATGAACTGTGCCGGAAGAACATATATATTGACATCGACTGGATTTTCACGGATCATGAGAAGCCATTTCCATGAATCGACCAATACTTAAGAGAAACTGGTCTCTGCCCTAAACTGTACCTGTGTATAATGAAGATGTGTCTCTGCCCTAAACTGTACCTGTGTATAATGAAGATGTGTCTCTGCCCTAAACTGTACCTGTGTATAATGAAGATGTGTCTCTGCCCTAAACTGTACCTGTGTATAATGAAGATGTGTCTCTGCCCTTAACTGTACCTGCGTATAACGAAGATGTGTCTCTGCCCTAAACTTTACCTGTGTATAATGAAGATGTGTCTCTGCCCTAAACTGTACCTGTGTATAATGAAGATGTGTCTCTGCCCTAAACTGTACCTGTGTATAATGAAGATGTGTCTCTGCCCTAAACTGTACCTGTGTATAATGAAGATGTGTCTCTGCCCTAAACTGTACCTGTGTATAATGAAGATGTGTCTCTGCCCTTAACTGTACCTGCGTATAACGAAGATGTGTCTCTGCCCTAAACTTTACCTGTGTATAATGAAGATGTGTCTCTGCCCTAAACTGTACCTGTGTATAATGAAGATGTGTCTCTGCCCTAAACTGTACCTGTGTATAACGAAGATGTGTCTCTGCCCTTAACTGTACCTGTGTATAACGAAGATGTGTCGTAGTGGCATATCTGATTCAACAGTTGAGAGAAATAAACTGAAACTATGTAATGTGTGTGACAAATTCCTGTTCTTAAGTGTGGTATTTTGAGTTTTTTTGATAGTAAATAACGCTGTAATGAAGAACTATTTCAAGAAACGTTAAAGGCACTATATCACACCGCACTTCTCTAAACAATTAATGCATTTATCTCAATAAAACTATCAGCCTCCAGGAAAGCTACCATATTATATTTATTTGATTTAAAAAGTTCGAATGAATTATTGCAACGTTGCAATAAATCGAGTCTCGCGCCTCTCTACCGGCAGAACATTATTTCAAGAGAACCCCATAGTGTTATGTCCTTGGAGCGCTCTTTACGAATGGCCTACGCACAACTTGTGATGAAATACAGTTCGGCAAACACTGACAACACCGCGTGCGACATTTTTTTAATTAGTTTTTTGTAATTCTTTACATTCCATACGTGGCAAGTGTTTTGAAGCTATTCGCCTCCAAGTTTCAATTATCGATTTCAGGCAAGTCGAAAGGGATAATAAGTCTTCAATTGAATCAATAGGAAGCTAAAGTGAGTGCATATGCCCCAATATATATATAACGAAATATTATCTGAAATGTCTGACATTGTGCCTTTAAAATGGACTTGTGAATATGTGCAGACTTGGTCTCGTCGCTATATGGCTGAAACAATACCGATGCGACGTACATTTTCAACTCACTCACTCAACACTCACAGCCAACTGCAGGAAGAACATACAATTTTAACTACAATTTTCGAAAATTTGTGTATTGACAAGTGTTAGATGGTTCCGCACAGCTTCTGCTAGTATTCCATTTTTTTCTCTAACAATACACTGTTTTCTGGGTTTGACGCAATTCTGTACTGCCTTTCAGTGCCCACGAGGGTATTCACAAGAAATGTCTGGTGGCCATGGTAACCGTTGCAGTGAGAAATAACAGGGTGGGAGTTATCGACTGTAGCCCGACACCTGCAAACAGAAGAGAATACGTAATATATAATAACACAGCACAGTCATACATGGTTGTGTTGAACTCTCTGTTGTCTCGAAGTAAAGGTTCCGTATCTGCGTATATCGTAATTAGTAATCATTTAGAGCCGAACCTTGGGTAACTGGAAGTATTTCTCTTCCACTTCGACATGCTATTACCAATTCCTTGTAGAATATTGAAGATTATTATGCAGCATGCTTACATTCTTGTTTTAGAGAACAAGGAGATCTGTGTATTGGCAATTACATTGAATTACAATATGTTGCATACACATATCTCTATTGTCATACGTATTGCAACATTTTGGGAGCTTAATTATTTGACAGTGAATTACGCTGATTGAAAACTGCAGATCCTATTGTGTGCCGACTAAGGTCACAAAATATATCCTGTGGTTCCTACAACAGCAATCTCAAAATTAGGTTTGGTGGTTGGGAATTCTTTCTTTGGGGATTCTTTACAATCTACAAGGATTGAATGAGTGAGGATTGATTGAGTGTTTTATGCTGCATGGCCTGTCCAGAGATATAGGGACGTGCGTGCGTGAGGGAGGGAGGGAGGGAGGTAGAGAGCCAGCGACCGACCAACCGACCAACTTTGGACTGACTGACTGACTGAGTTTGATTTTAGCAATATTCCAGCAACATCACGGCGGGGAACACCAGAAATGGGCTTCACACATTGCACCCATGTGGGGATTCGAACCCGAGTCTTCGGCGTGACGAGCCAACGCTTTAACCACTAGACTACCCCACCGCCCCGACCAACTTTGGAGCCCGTTGACCGACGATGTCCATGACAACTTTCCACGCTGATAGGACAGCTACAATGCTTGTGACATGGGTTGACTTCATGGATAACAGTACCTGAATGACAATGCTTGCTCTCCTCGTGTCTGTAGCGGTTAATGAATGATCGGAACTGGCTGGACACGGCGCATTTATCCTTGCTCTCGTCGATGCATGTGTTCACAATCTTTATGTTACTGAAGAAATTATATTACAAATGGTAATATTTGCAAGTTGGTTTGCTTTTCTCTGCGCACATATAGCAGGGAATTCATCAACACAGTGTGACATGCGACACAGATACGCAATCACGTGTGACAATGCTACACAATTACGTGTGACTCTTCTACACAATTACGTTTGACTCTGCTACACAGGGGGGACACTGCTACACAATTACGTGTTCGTAATAACGCGTGACACAACTAAGCAACCACGTGTGGCAAGGCGTACAGAATCAACATATTCTCCAGTAGGGTGGAATTAAAGCTTTAAAGCGAGTATGGTTTATGCAGTATACAAGCAATATCAAGGCAGGCTTCACACATTGTACCCACGTGGGGAAAGGAACCCGGTTTTTCGCCTGACTGGCGAACGATTTAACACGACTCTCCCAATAGCTAAAAATTTGAGACCCATGTGAGACCCATGACTGATGTACATACGTGCAGAATGCCTCCTTGTCCTTTGGAGGGGGCCCCAGTGACTGACCTTCCACTGTACACCTCATCAGCTCCACGCACCCAGGGGACGACAGCGCCGTCAACCCATCGTCTTGAATTTAGAGAAAAGCAAATGTGAAAGAAACAAAAATAAGACGTATCATATCTCTCGTATTACTCATTAATTAACAGGACATTTCAGCACATCAACTATAAAGGCAAAAACATCTGTGTAGTACAGTAAACATCGCTTGTAACGAACATGCCTATAATGAAGTGACGAATATATCTTGCCTCACACATAATGTCGTTTTCTGATTGGCTGAGCGCTCTTCTATTATTTTCAATGTACCCCGCTTACAAGCGAGTAACATTTTCTATGTACCCCGCTGGGAATGCCGGACTCATTTAGTACTTCGTGGTAGTAGTTCTTTATCTCGAATAACATTGAATCACACGTATGATGTACGGAAATTACCGATGTTTTGCGAATGCAAATCGATGGAAGGGAGATAACTCTAAATTTGTCGACTTGTCGTCTGGTACTTCATACTATGATCCGATACCCGTGCTTCAACAGTTCAAAATTACCATTGAGGTGTTCGGTAAGATAAATACGTTGTTCGCTGGTCCCTCGGGGCCCATGGGCTGATGTACCCTCGATGCCTCGGGCTCAGGGAACATAAAGAAACATCGAGGGTACATCAGCCCATGTCCCCCGAGGGACCAGTGAACAACTTATACTATCTTGGTTCTGCCCACTTTAGTCGAACTGCAGTAACGAACTACGGTCATAAGGAACTAAAATAGCTGGCTAGCTATTCTCGAAACGTTCGTAGCCTTACGAACTTCTTAAGCCCATTCTTAACACATTGGCTACGATCAACTTTAAGAATTCTTAGTGCTAGGAGAATAAGCTGGGCCCTTATTCTTGAAACGTTCGTAACACTAAGAATTCTTAACTTTGACCGGAGCCAATGTGTTAGCAATGGGCTTACGAAGTTCGTAGGGCTACGAACGTTTGGAGAATAGCTAGCCTGGTCCCTAGTGTTACTCATAACAGTAGTTCACTGTACTGTATTTCTACCTGCTCTGACAAAATAACCTGTATTTCCCTACTAACACGTAATGAAAAACGCAAATAAACAAAAAGCCACTTTACTTACGCCTTACTATTGGCAAGATCGTACATAAATATGTGTGTTTGTTGTTTAAAGCCGCACTCAGCAATAATTCCGCTAAATGGCAGCGGTCTGTAAATAATCGAGTCTGTAACAGACAATCTAGTGATGCATGAGCATCAATCTACACAATTGGGATACGATGACGTGTCAATTAAGTCAGCGAGGCTGACTACCCGATCCTGTTAGTCGCCGTTAGTTACAGAGATGACAAACAAAGTTTATGGATGATCAACTTCTTTATATTCACAATAGCGACGTTTTGGTATAGCTTCTTATACCGTTTTCAAGCATATGGGGGAACGTTGGGGTACACCAGTTTATATACAGGATACATGTAAATATGATAATGAGGTAACAATAACAAGCGAGAGACAACAAAGCATCAAAGAGAAGTTACACGATGAGCTACGAGAACATGATGATGAGCTAAATTAACATAAATGAGATGAGAGGGATTACCATGATGTGAGGTGAAATTGGGTTTATCGTCGTACTCGAGAATATTTCGCTCATATGACGACGTGCATGCGTGTGTATGTGTATGTGCGGCTGCTTGTACTAGCCCAGACTGAAGCTGGTTTTATAGTGTTAGCCCACTAAGATACCATGTCGCAGTGAAGCATGAATACCCCACTCAGACACATTATTCAGACTCCGAGCCGACCAGTCCTTGTTGTACCCATTAATGCCGAGCGCCAGGCAGGAACCAACAAGTACCATATTTTAACGTCTTTAAGTATGACGCGGTCGGGGATCGAACCCGCGACCTTCCGCTCTCCGGGCGGACGCTCTAACCACTACACCACGGAGGCGGACAAATTTGCCTTGGAAAGACCAGTAGCAAGGCTACTGAAATAGCGTCTACTTTGGTTGCACACGTCTTTTTCATATAAATAATAACATGTAGGCTAACTCCCTTGCGTGAGAATGAACAATTTGCCCATGCTTCCCTAACTTGACCATGTTAAACTAATTAAAATCTGCAAACATTAAAACATTTACGGTCAGCATGTATTGCGCGTCCTTAATCGCCAATCTACCTGTAGCAACCAAGTGTATTCGTCTAGATTCCCAAGGGTGAGGGTGAGATTCCAATTTTCATCAAAAATCACTCTTTATTAAACTTGTACATCTCTGAACACGGTACTGCCATAAGCTGGGCCCCGTCTCGCATATCGCAATATACGCTTTGTCGAACGTAAGCGCGCGCAAAGGGAGCCGGGAACCAGCTTAGGTACTGCCACTGTAGACTTACAGTGCAGCGATGTCATAGCATTGTGACGTCATCCAGTTTATGGCATAGCATTGTGAATCATGTAATTGATGATGTCAAAGTATTGTACAAAAGCTACTGTCTAAACGATATCTCCAAGGAGATATCGATTGCTCTCACACAAGCAATATCCCCAGTGGAACACAGTTTTGGATAATAAAATGTCACGTGTAGGCAGTACTAACATTATCATATTTGTTCCAAGATTTGTTGAGTACTTACCAAGACTTAGAAACAAAGATGGCAGCACGGTTCTGTAACCTGAAATAATGAAGGACATCACACGGTCAGGGGCGGAGCTACCACTATAAAAAAACACCGGGCTTACACATGGTTGTTGCTCGAAGATTGGGCAAGCCCTCAATACTCTCTAGATATAAAGCTTTGCAACCTATCGGGCTTACAAGAAGAATAAAATCGCTTGCTACGCGCCTGACGGTACATCAAGATAACGAAAGTTGATATTGAATAGCATCTACTTTTGACAAACCGTTCGGGCTTTAATAAATATGACTGACCGCAAGGAATATTGGCTTAATGCAGAATCTTTTGTATGAATCCGATTACATCATGGGTTTTTGTCAAGTTGAAATGATGAAAACAAACCACACATTAGATCAATAAAACGAAAGTTAAAGTTAATTGAATAGCATGAAATTATGACAAACCGTTATTATAAAAGATGGGTATTTATATAGCGCAATAGTCCATCCCGTCTACATGCATGCTCAAAGCGCTTTGTGTTTTTTCCCTCGATCATTGGACGTCAATCTCAGCGGCACATCGTATTTTCATTCTCAACTACCTGGGGATCATACAACTCGTGCAGCCAAGTTAATGTAGCTTCCCCATCCGTACGAGGTACCCATTCACAGCTGGGTGGACTGGGACACATAGTCACAGTATTTTGTCCTAGTTTACTGCACGTTGCTGTACCCGCAACTAGGTGTTTGCACGTATTCATGTGGCCACCATCTGGTCATCTACCAACGGATTCGTGGGTTCTTTCGAGTGCACAGCGTTGTGTACTGTACAAGAGTGGTTGTGACAACACTGAAGAGTCTACACGCTAAGTTGACTTCAAGTTGTTTACACCCGATCACAGGTGCTCACCCGGCACCTCAAGCTCGCTGGATCACTAGCCTGGCGCCTTAGACAGCTCGCCCACCACGTCCCATTTCTACTTAGGGGAAGTAAATGTGTGTTTAACAATCTAGGATACCAAGTCATGATCAGCGGATTCTGGCATGGCTAAACAATGCAAAACTGAATAGTGAGTTATTTCATCTCAAAGTACTATCGGAATTAGAAAAAATCCTGCTTTTTTACATATATATTTACATTATTTATGCAGTTAATATGCAAAACTGTAAAATATCTGTGAATCTAGGTTCGGCCTAACTACATTCTCCGTGGTAGGGAGATAGAAAATGTATAAAAGGACTTTACTGAGGAGAGATTAGTGAAGAAATAAGCAATGCGGATTTTTGAAAAGTCCAAAACGACTTATTTGGAACAGACCATGGCTTTATGTAAATTAATGTGCGATGATATTGTATTACAAAGGATACTTTATACATGACCATTTTGAAATTAGACTTAGCTTCATTATAAACGACAGCTGACGTAAAAAATATAAATATACTACTGAAACTTTTAAGGATGTAGCTACCATGGAGTCTCACTATCACAGAAAAACAAACAGGTAGTAGGGGGTCGTATCAAAAGCAAAACTAGAACGGGTGTCGCAGACGATGGTTGGGGTCGGGCTGGGGGATAGAGATATCAGATATAATTATTTCGGGGAATTAAACGTGGTGAGTAAACGGCATGTCATAACAGTTTACAAATAATATCCAGTTCTGCCGATCTGCGGGTGGTCATGCCACCTATATATTTTGACACATTTAATACGATGTCTGAGTTAAGCTTTTCTATGGGTATCATACTCTTTTACATATCTCAACATAAACTTTATGAAAGGAAAACACGTAAGATGTTAATCAATAGATGAGACATATTCAACACAAATGAAAAAGCATAAAATATCTTTCAGGTGGTTCTTTTTCTAAGTTTTTGCCCGATTTTACGAGTATACATGCTTTTCTAGATATCCTATTACGCCCAGTTAGGCCGAGGTGGGTTACGTTTTGATGGAACATGGTGTATCAGCGTAGTCATATTCAGTCATTTTCTGTCAACATTAGTGTGCATTGAGCACAGGGGCGTGTCACGCTTTGAAACAGCATTAGAAAGACATATAGGTATACAGACCCTATCCTAGAACTATATAAAAGGAAAATGATGTAACGACGGAACCACCCCCTACTCAATCTAAGTTAGATTTCACCACGTAAACTATTTTTAAGGCCCCGTCGAGGCCTATGGATTGCTAGGGAGATAATTTTCCAACAAAATGAGCTATAAATGGCCACAATCGGATCATTATGTCAAAAGTTATACGCCACGACTCACCGAAAACAGCTACCTCCGCAATTCCAAGCCAAAATCATGGATCACCCAAGACAGCGAAAACTCACCTGTTAAATTCGTTTATTAATTCCAGCCACGTTGACAGCACCTATGTAGGGCTAGATTCGATCGGCAGCGGCATTCCACGGGTCTAAAAACTTATTGCAACATCCACAAATCATTTCCTCGACAGTAAGCAGGCATTTTCTCCAAAACCATCGGCAATCATACTCACTTGTCGGCCATAGATGGCCTTGACATTCAAGTGACCTGAGCAGTAAATTGGTAAGAATAATTTTGGAGGTTAAATATTTATAAATATAATTTCCTAAAATTAATCAATATCGAATGCATTTGTACAACCTCTAAAATTATTCTTAACAATTTACTGTTCCGTACATCATCCAAAATGGAAGGAATATTGCAAAGTTCATATTTCGCGCTCATTTGCAAACAGTCAAAATCTTACAGTATATTATATTTTCCACCAATCGGATGGCCCAGTTCAGTTTCTGCAGATCCGCGCAGATCACTTGGATGTCAAGGCCATCTATGGCCGACAAGTGAGTATGATTGCCGATGGTTTTGGAGAAAATGCCTGCATACTGTCGAGGAAATGATTTGTAGATGTGGTGAAATCTAACTTGGATAGAGTAGGGGGTGGTTCCGTCGTTACATCCCTTTCCTTTTATATAGTACTAGGATAGGGTCTATATACCTATATGTCTTTCTAACGCTGTTTCTAAGCGTGGCACGCCCCTGTGGCATTGAGTGAATACATGCTGAGTGAGTGAATGAGTGAGTGAGTGAGTGAATGAGTGAGTGAGTGAGTGTTTGGCGATATTCCAGCAATATCACGGCGGGGACACACATTGTACCCATTTGGGGAATCCAACGCAGCCTACCGCGTGACGAACGAACCCTTTAACTACTAGGCTACCTAGCCGCCCATAACTGATGATCATGATGTACATGTAGATGCAATATAATGACTCCTTAGATCTTAATAATGTGTCGAGATGAGAAGAACGTTACAATCATTCCATCAACACTAACCTTTACCCAATTCCAATAATTTTCAAGCAATTTGGTGAAACATTATTTAAGCAATAATGTGATTTTTCTGAGCTCACAACAAAGTAGAACTGATTAATCAAAACCTATAAAACATTGTTAGAGACAACATGGACAGATGTGGAATTTAACCTTTCAACAATATCACTCTCAAATTGATCTCGCTAATAACAAGACGTAGTTTAGTTTAACATGGGGCCATCTCTATAAGTCAAAGTCACGCAACATCGACGGATCTCTATAAAGTATGAAAACAAAAACAGTGGTCATCACGGAACTCACCGGAATTACAGAGATGGTCGATTTCTTGTTTTTCAGAGGCCAAGAAAGTTCGAACTGCGTCTGGGGCGGCGCACGACGTTAACGCAGCGTGGACACACTTGTACAGAGAACCTGCAACACTACAATATACAGCATCTTGTTATAATGTCAGGATACGTTGCTCTAATCGCATTAAACAACAAACAGACTAATCCCAAAGTTAAAATGTATTACAGTCCGTTTGAGTCAGAAACGGACCGATGAATTGCAAATTTTATCACTGTACAAAATTGCCACATAGATATAAATAGTACACATGTTTATCATTTACTAACACTCAACAGCTTTCTTATATTTGAAAATTTTCCGGACTCCACCAAAAAAGTTCTTAAAGAAACTATCAGTAAAATTTTGACGCAGTTCACTATTTGTTACGAGGGAGGAGGCCAGAGAAAGGGACAGCCAGGTGTTAGAGAAGCACGTGCACATGCGCCCACCAAGTTATTGATTCATTAGCCTGTGCTGTGCCGTCTCCATCCTTTCTCGCACACCTGGCTGTCCCTTTCTCTGCACTCCTCCCTCGTAACAAATAGTGAACTGTGTCACTACCCATATGCTTGTCGTAAGAGGCGACTATCGGGATCGGGTGGTCAGGCTCGATGACCTGGGTGACACATGTCATCATATCCCAATTGCGTAGATCGATGCTCATGATGTTAATCACTGGATTGTCTGGTCTTCCTCGGTTATTTACAGACCGCCGTCATAAAGCTGGAATATTGCTGAATGGGGCGTTTAACAACAAACAAACAAACAAAAACAACAACAACAAACAATTATTGACCTACTTGCACGTGTCTTCTCCACTGAGTGAAGACATGTTTTGTGGCACACAAGCTGAAACAGCCGAGCAGTTGAGTAGTAACCGCAAATCTTCCGCGTTCAGGTGAAGGGATGTACCTGATGAATAATACCAATTTTTTAAAACTCATGTGTGTCAAGTTTTGAATGGCCGGCTTCCAATCGTGAGGAGATTTTATATGCAATACAAACACAACCACAAAATAGCACAAACACAACACAACACAACACAAGCACAAACACAAAATAGCACAAACACAACACAACCACAAAATAGCACAAACAGCAAGGCTATAACAGCTGAAACCACAGATGCAAATGACGAGATATTATCCGTAAGCAAGCAAATAATAAACTTTATCCATAACAAGTTATTGGGGTTTTTTTGCATGCAGCGAGGTTTCGGTTTGAATTCTTATCAGGTCAAGTAATTTCTTTAGCTTGATAATAGTGTAAGAATCTACATCGAAACGCCGCTCTATACCATAAACAATAAGATGATATCTACAAGGTTGATGGTTCATTATTTCCTCATCACTTTCTAGAATGCCGAACAAACAATCGTACGCAATCAATGGTTCCTGAGATGCAAAACATGTAACATGCATAAAACATGTAACATGCATAAATCGTGTAACGAGTCATTTGAGGTGAGGCGAGGCGAGGCGACGAGGCGAAGTGAGGTGATGCTGGGTGAAATTGGGTTTAACGCTTCGTTTAATAGTATTTCCCTTGCGTTTAGTGACGTGAATGCGTGCTTGCGTGCGTGCGTGCGTGCGGCTGCTTCGAAGTGTGTTTCATGGTGCTGCCCACTAAACTACCATAGCACAGTTTAATCTGGATATCCAACTCAAACACAAAACACTCTCAGCCAGGCAGTCTTTATTTATACCCTTGATTTTGAGCGCAAGGTGAGTGAGTGAGTGAGTATGGATTGGCGCCACTTTTAGCAATATTCCAGCAATATCACGGCGGGGGACACCAGAAATGGGCTTCACACATTCTACCCATGTGGGGAATAGAACCCGGGTCTTCAGCGTGACGAGCGGACACTTTAACCATTTGGCTACCCCACCGCCCCTTAAGCGCAAGATAACAAAAAGTATCAACCTCCACGTATTTTGCTAAAAGTGGCATACAACCCAATGCATTAATATAACAAACTATAAACTATAACTATGTAAAACTAAGTAGTAAGTTTAACTATAACAAGAAACAAACCGGTGTGGAACGAATGAAATGAATGCGAACAATCTTGTTGAAGATCTTCCAGGATGAGACATGGGTATTTAAAATTGTCAAGAAAAGTGATTCGGTGAACACATACACGTGCGTTTTGTTTCACCTACATGGTGTTTATAAGTGGGGAAAGTCCTGTCACGTTTGAAAATCTATATAATGTCTACATCGTATATGTCGTATCTGTAGACTTTACATGGCTCGATTTGATGAAATAGAAATTATATAACTTTGTTGCACCAGACAAAAACAGGTTGCACCTGTTGATCAATATTAAGAGGCTATTACCACTTGACACCCTACTTGAGATATTCAGTGACCACCAGTCCTCAACTGCTTACTGTTTCCCTTCAAACACTACTCTCCCTACATAACGGAAGCTGACCGACCACTTGACACCCTACTTGAGATATTCAGTGACCACCAGTCCTCAACTGCTTACTGTTTCCCTTCAAACACTACTCTCCCTACATAACGGAAGCTGACCACTTGACACCCTACTTGAGATATTCAGTGACCACCAGTCCTCAACTGCTTACTGTTTCCCTTCAAACACTACTCTCCCTACATAACGGAAGCTGACCACTTGACACCCTACTTGAGATATTCAGTGACCACCAGTCCTCAACTGCTTACTGTTTCCCTTCAAACACTACTCTCCCTACATAACGGAAGCTGACCACTTGACACCCTACTTGAGATATTCACTGACCACCAGTCCTCAACTGCTTACTGTTTCCCTTCAAACACTACTCTCCCTACATAACGGAAGCTGACCACTTGACACCCTACTTGAGATATTCAGTGACCACCAGTCCTCAACTGCTTACTGTTTCCCTTCAAACACTACTCTCCCTACATAACGGAAGCTGACCACTTGACACCCTACTTGAGATATTCACTGACCACCAGTCCTCAACTGCTTACTGTTTCCCTTCAAACACTACTCTCCTACATAACGGAAGCTGACCACTTGACACCCTACTTGAGATATTCAGTGACCACCAGTCCTCAACTGCTTACTGTTTCCCTTCAAACACTACTCTCCCTACATAACGGAAGCTGACCACTTGACACCTTACTTGAGATATTCAGTGACCACCTACTTGAGATATTCACTGACCACCAGTCCTCAACTGCTTACTGTTTCCCTTCAAACACTACTCTCCTACATAACGGAAGCTGACCACTTGACACCCTACTTGAGATATTCAGTGACCACCAGTCCTCAACTGCTTACTGTTTCCCTTCAAACACTACTCTCCCTACATAACGGAAGCTGACCACTTGACACCCTACTTGAGATATTCAGTGACCACCAGTCCTCAACTGCTTACTGTTTCCCTTCAAACACTACTCTCCTACATAACGGAAGCTGACCACTTGACACCCTACTTGAGATATTCGTGTGACCACCAGTCCTCAACTGCTTACTGTTTCCCTTCAAACACTACTCTCCTACATAACGGAAGCTGACAAAAAAAATTCAGAACTGAACAACAAAATATTAACACACACTGGGTGCAAGTTGACATAAATGTGAGGTTGCTTTTGCCAAAGTGAAACCACTAAATACTTAAATGGAGCTGACTTACCATTGGCGAACCAACTGACGATGTGTTGAAGGCTCTGCTCCATGTCTGGAGTACGTTGTGGAAGCTGTCCGTCACACACGTGCTTAATCCAGAGGGACAAATTAAGGACAGTCTGGTCTGACGAGAGGCAGGAACGGACGCAATTGATGAAACTCTGTAAGGCACTGGAAGGTAAACGGTATTTCCACAGACAAAGGAGTGAGTTAGTGAGTATGGTTTTAAGCCGCTTTTAGCAATATTCAAGCAACATCACGGCGGGGGACATGGGCTTTACATATTGTCCCCATGTCGAGAATCGAACCCAGGTCTTCAGCGTGACGAGCGAACGCTTTACCCATTAGGCTACCTCAACGCCCGACACAAGCAAAGGAGTGAGTGAGTGAGTTTAGTTTTACGCCGCTTTTGCCAATATTCCAGCACCATCACGGCGGGGGACACCAGAAATGGGTTTCACACATTGTACCCATGTAGGGAATCGAACCCAGGTCTTCAGCGTGAAGAGCGGACGCTTTAACCCCCACCGCCCCACACAGGCAAAGAAAGCACAAGCGAACAAAGTCATAGATATCCATTATGCTTCAAACGTGTGTTGAATGGCGTGGTGGGGTGGACTAGTGGTTAAAGCGTTCGCTGTCATGCCCAAATCCAAGTTCTATTCCTTACATGGGTACAATGTGTGAAGCCCATTTCTGGTGTTCCCCGCCATGATATATCTGGAATATTGCGAACACAGTGTAAAACCCATTCTCAATAATCTCCAGATAATCTACTAGAGGAGAATATCGGACCGTATACCCTGGGGATTGTCGAGGATGAGTAAAACCCATTCTCAATAATCTCCAGATAATCTACTAGAGGAGAATATCGGACCGTATACCCTGGGGATTGTCGAGGATGAGTAAAACCATACTCACTAACTTATGGCAAATACGTCAAGTGGTTCTACAGATGGCATAACAGTCAAAGTTATTACGATGGAAACATGAATCCAAAACAAACTGCGACTGGAGATCGGAAAAGATGTAATTGCAGCTGATCTGCATTGCATACTTAGAGTCACAAAAGATCTGATACCATGTCTGTAGGGACGTGACATTGCATACCTCTGACCGGGAGAGACCTGACATGACGTAGCTCTGACCGGGAGAGACCTGACATGACGTAGCTCTGACCGGGAGAGACCTGACATGACGTAGCTCTGACCGGGAGAGACCTGACATGACGTACCTGTCGTCGGGAGAGACCTGATTTGACGTACCTGTGGTAGGGAGAGACCTGATATGACGTACCTGTGGTCGGGAGAGATCTGACATGACGTACCTGTGGTCGCGAGAGACCTGACATGACGTACCTGTGACCGGGAGAGATCTGACAGGACTTACCTGTGACCAGGGATCTGACAGGATGTACCTGTGGTCTACAGATATCTGACATGACGTACCTGTGGTCGGGAGAGACCTGACATGACGTTCCTGTGATCGGGAGAGATCTGACACGATGTAGCTGTGGTCATGGGAGACCTAACCTGACGTACATGTGACCGAGAGAGACCTGACTTGACGTACCTGTGGTCGGGAGAGATCTGAGATGACGTACCTGTGACCGGGAGAGATCTGACATGATGTACCTGTGGTCGGAAGAGACGTGACTTGACGTACCTGTGGTCGGGAGAGACCTGACATGACGTACCTGTGGTCGGGAGATATCTGACTTGACGTACCTGTTGTCGGGAGAGACCTGACATGACGTACCTGTGGTCGGGAGAGACCTGACATGACGTTCCTGTGATCGGGAGAGATCTGACACGATGTAGCTGTGGTCATGGGAGACCTAACCTGACGTACATGTGACCGAGAGAGACCTGACTTGACGTACCTGTGGTCGGGAGAGACCTGACATGACGTACCTGTGACCGGGAGAGACCTGACTTGACGTACCTGTGGTCGGGAGAGACCTGACATGACGTACCTGTGACCGGGAGAGACCTGACTTGACGTACCTGTGGTCGGGAGAGACCTGACATGACGTACCTGTGGTCGGGAGAGACCTGACATGACGTACCTGTGGTCGGTAGAGATCTGAGATGACGTACCTGTGACCGGGAGAGATCTGACATGATGTACCTAAGGTCGAAAGAGACGTGACTGGACGTACCTGTGGTCGGGAGAGACCTGACATGACGTACCTGTTGTCGGGAGATATCTGACTTGACGTACCTGTGGTCGGGACAGATCTGACAGGATGTACCTGTGGTCTACAGATAATCTGACATGACGTACCTGTGGTCGGGAGAGACCTGACATGATGTACCTGTGGCCGGGAGAGATCTGACATGACGGACCTGTGGTCGGGAGAGACCTAAAATGACACACCTGTGGTAGGAAGAGATCTGGCATGACATACCTGTGGTCGGGAGAGACCTGACATGACGTACCTGTGGTCGGGAGAGACCTGACATGACGTTCTTGTGACCGGGAGAGATCTGACATGACGTACCTGTGGTAAGGAAGGATTTGGCATGACGTACCTGTGGTAGGGAGAGACCCGACATGACGTACCTGTGGTAGGGAAGGATATGGCATGACGTATCTGTGGTAGGGAGAGACCAGACATGACGTACCTCGTTTCAGGAGAGACCTGACATGACGTACCTGGAGTGAGATCTGACTTGACGTACCTGCAGTCAGGTGGTCCTGAGGTCAACGAAGAAAGAGCCACTGCGTGTGTTTGTGAACATGGCGTCAACATCGGGCATTCACCCCGTGTCACGTTAATCAAAACTGTAAGGAAACATTCGGAATGAGAAGAGCAAGTTAGTAGCCTCACCCATTTGGTATGCGGGATTCGGGCGTCTATTTGAGGGTACTGGGCACTCAGCCCTGGGATTTGGTTTTGGATTGGAGTGTTCGGATTCAACAGTTCAAAAAATAGTTGTGTACATCAAATATCAACATTGTTTGTAGGGGTTTTTCATTCATTTTATTTCAAACCATGCACTCGTTTGACCTAGGAAAGTATGCTCTTACTTCTGTCATGCTTTTGGAGAGTGATTTCTGACATGTGGCGTTGGTATGCCAAGGAGACTGAAATAGTGAGAGTGAGAAATATTTGATGGTATACGAGATTCGAAGTTTGGGTTGGAGGCCGAAACAATCTATCAGGGTGGACGATTTTCAATTGCAACTGACAATTACAGCCCTAATCATCACATATTATATCGTGTGTGTGTGTGAGTGTGAGTGTGTGAGAGAGTGTGTGTGAGAGTGAGTTTGTGTGTGCGTGTGTGTGTGTGTGTGAGTGTGAGTGAGTGTGTGTGAGTGTGAGTGTGAGAGAGAGCGAGAGAGAGAGCCTGGGAGGGAGAGTATTAGAATTGGCCTTCAGTAACCCATGCTTGTCGTAACAGGCGACTAACGGGATCGGGTGGTCAGACTCGCTGACTTGGTTGACACCAGGGGTGGAAATAACTTCAAAATTGCTAGTGTACTCTGGTACAGTGGCACATGTAAAATCACTTGCTCTGATAATTTGTCCACTATACTGACCGATTTTCTTGTTGATTTTTTAAATAAACAACATAATTAACATTGGAAAGTCAACTGGACACCGGTACAGTGTGATATTCGAATTTGCTTGCCTGACAGAAAAATACACTGGACTGGGACGTCAGGCAATGGGTTATTTCCACCCCTGGACACATGTCATCGTACCCCAATTGCGTAGATCGATGTTCAAGATGTTGGTCACTGGATTGTCTGGTCCAGACTCGGTTATTTACAAACCGCCGCCATATAGCTGGAATATTACTGAGTGCAGCGTTATACAACATACCAACTAACCAATATTTTAAATAAATGGAATTGTTGTTAGTTGTTGTTTCACGATTCAGTACATAACAGTATATAACACATACTCGATGATTGATCGGTTGTAATGAACCAATCATCAATTATGAGATTTTAACCAATTCCCAACACTAACCTCCACAGATCTGTTGTTATTGTTGTAATCTAGTCTGTATCGGACAATCCAGTGTCCAATTTTTAACAACAATCCATACAATCAACAAATTCGCCGAGGCCTGACAACCGATCCACAATATCGCCTCTTATGGCCAAAATGGGAGCTGGTGAACGAATTCTATTCTGGTGTCCCAGTATGATCGAGAAATGACGGCATGTAAACATTCAACACTTCTCGTCTGTCCATTGACGGAGTAAGAATTAAGACATGGATTATCAAGAGAAGCTTTAAAATAATGCGCCAGACATTCTGCATAAATTAAGCGGTCAAATCTTACCTGAAAATACAACAAAAACGAACAGGTGCTTTGGCATCTTGTTATGTCGGTATCCAGAATTATTAGAATGTCGTCTGGTGAAGATGTGCAGCCGACTCGTCAACGCCTCGCCTCAGCACGTGAATCACGGACAGTGCGTGCTATGTACATTGCATACGTCTCACCGAGCTTGACAGCTTGATTGGCGTGACACGTGTGCCGTATTGAACGTTCCGGTGTTGAGTAAAGTCAAATAATTGTGCGTTTGCGTGTGCGTACTTGTACTATCCTTTGAGTGAGTGAGTATGGTTTTACGCCACTTTTAGCAATATTCCAGCTATATTACTGGAACACCAGAAATGGGCTTCGTGGTTACAAGCGTCCATTCGTCACGCCGAATTAAATCATCAACTCAAAATCCAAGTTTATTTCCATTCAACAAGATATTTTCCCTTGTAGTGTTAATTTCCTCTTTTTCCATCTTGCAACAATTCTATTTCATTTTCACAAGCATCAAACAAAATATGTTAACAATAGAAGGTTTTAGGAAAACTGTCAAAGGTGTTTTTAAAGTTGAAGAAATTATTGCAAAGAAGACTAACGCTCTGCCTTCATTCTACGCAAAGTGGGTAGCCTGGTGGTTAAGACGTTCGCTTGTCATGCCGAAGACCCGGGTTCGATTCCCCACATGGGCACAATGTGTGAAGCCCATTTCTGGTGTCCCTAGCCGTGATATTGCCGGAATATTGCTAAAAGCGGCGTAAAACCATACGCATTCATTTGAGAAGTTGGGAAGTACAATATAGACAGACGTTATGGATAACTTCTTTGTTTCCTGAGTGAGTTTAGCTTTACGCCGCACTCCGCAATATTCCAACTATATGGCGGCGGTCTGTAAATAATCGAGTCCAGACCAGACAATCTAGTGATCAACAGCATGAGCATCACCCGTAGGTAAAAGTATTGGTTTCAGACACGGCTGAACATGTCAACCTTTATAACATATGAGTCAGATAAACAAGATATTTTGGGCCGCACATGTATAGATTCGCATGGAGAAGTCAGAATGTTGGTCGTACTGAACTATACATCTTATATATTATTTTAGCTATTCAACATATAAAGGATTGTGCACATCAGAACTGGAACTATTCACTTGAAACTAAGTCTTTAGCGTCTCAAAAACCTAGGACCGCCTCCGTGGTGTAGTGGTTAGAGCGTCCGCCCGGAGAGCGGAAGGTCGCGGGTTTGATCCCCGACCGCGACATACCAAAAGACGTTAAAATATGGTACTTGTTGGTTCCTGCCTGGCGCTCGGCATTAATGGGTACAACAAGGACTGGTCGCCTCGGAGTCAGTATAATGTGTCTGAGTGGGGTATTCATGCTTCACTGCGGCATGGTATCTCAGTGGGCTAGCACTATAAAACCAGCTTACGTCTGGGCTAGTACAAGCAGCCGCACATATACATACACACGCATGCACGTCGTCATATGAGCGAAATATTCTCAAGCACGACGTTAAACCCAATTTCACCTAACGTCACCTCACCTTACCTCAAAAAACCTAAAAACAATTCTATATTTTATCACGATAAGTATGTTTATATACTCATGCCAATAATGGTTGTCACCCCCTTCAATTTGTTTAATTGGAGAGGACGTGTGGGGTGGGGATGTGAGGTGTGTGTGGGAGGGGGGCGGGGACAACCATTATTGGCATGAGTATATGTTAAATCTCACTAACACAACGTTCCAAATTGGTCAGTAAATCAGAAAGTATGTTTTTTGATGACTATGATATTTAGTGTGTAAACATTCCAGTGCCATGAGAAACGAGGAGCACATAAAGGACCGTTCATATTTTCGTGTGTGTGTGCGTGTGTGCGCGCGCGCGTGCGTAAACGACGGTCTGTAAACCATCGAGTCTGGACCAGACAATCCAGTGGTCAATAGCATGAGCATTGACCTACGCAATTGGGGTACGATGACATGTGTCAGCCAAGTCAGCGAGCCTGACCACCCTATCCCGATAGTCGCCTTTTACGACAAGCATGGGTTGCTGAAGACCAATTCTAACCCGGACCTTCGCGGGTTGGTTTTTTTAAAGAGCGCATAGAGACTGACGAATATTTACGGACTACCCTAATATTAACGAAGCGAAGGATTGAAATCTGGCACAGTCTCAGTAGATTTTCTCGGCTCCATGTATAGTGCGTTTGGCTCAAAAGCGGACCGATGAATTGCAATCTAACTAAACAACTAATAAACTTATAAAACTCAATGAAACGCTGATCATAATTAAAATATCAGACCAACTACTCTGTGATTTGTTTGCAGAATTTATGTCCTAAAATTAAAAAAGTTGTTTAACAAACTATCATTAAAATATTGACACAGTTCACTATTTGTTACGAGGAGAGGAGTGCAGAGAAAGGGACAGCCAGGTGTTAGAGAAGCACGTGCACAAGTGCCGACCCGGCTGTCCCTTTCTCTGCACTCCTCCCTCGTACGGCATCTTCATATTTGCCACTTCATGTCACGCCACGGTCGAGGTGAGTTGATACACCCCTCGGCCATACATCATATTCTATTGATGTCCATATATGTATTTTACAGGTATGTACCTTTTCTGTCTACTTTCTTTGCCATCCTCTAAACGTATTATCATAAAGGTGCGCGATATCATAGTATTTATAATATCTATTATATTTCTGTTATAAGGCATCGCGTTGCACGAAATTACTAATTAAAACACTGGCACCAGCACGTAAGTAAGTGTGAGTGATGTCTGCTTCCTTTAATTTGCTCATAATATTCAAAGTGCAATATTACATAAAATGCTGTAAAGACCATCTTATAAATGGTAAAATTCGTGCAATCTTCATATTTGCCACTTCATGTCACGCCACGGCCGAGGTGAGTTGACACACCCCTCGGCCATACATCATATTATATTGATGTCCATATATGTATTTTACAGAATAAACAGATTTTAATCAACTACGCCTCAGTCCGATTTATCAGCGGCCAGGACCTGCGACAAAATGGCGCCCGAACAGGGACTGAGGGTTGAGACACGACGACAACAGTGCTGACGTCACATCATCCCTTGTCATCGATGTCTTCGCCGCCATCGGGTCGATCGACGCTCCGTCAGCCAGGTCATCATCGTCCATACCGTCACCGTCACGTCAACGTCACACTCATGCACCGACATTGCTACCGCTACAGTTTCAGCGATAGGTAGGCCACGATTTGACATTTGATGATCATATATCATATACACTTGTCATGTCTCATGTGCTAGGACTGTGCAGTGAGTTTTACCAAGTGATTTCGTCCGATTTATCAGCGGCCAGGACCCGCGACATATATGTTAGACGCGATCGACAACGACTGATTTGGAGTCATGGTTTGTGCTCCTCTTTTCAACCATTGCTTTGTTTAGACCAGACTCGAACATGGCATATGAATATAGAAATGAATATATAATACCACGCAAACAAAATAGTGCTGCTTGCATCGAACCAGCAAACACGCATTCATTGGTTAAATTTGCAATAATAGATGCATTTTAATTACCACAACAAAACATATCTGAAAGATGAGATATATAGAATTACCTTCATGACAACTTTGAGTTGTCGACCATTGAAGCCAAAGTTCACATTGGGAAACACTTCTGGCATTTTCGTTACTGGCGAGCGGGAGAGACCCCTCTGCATGCCATGTACAAAATCAATGACAACAGTTCTAGTTTATGTCAACAAAATGGACCCCCTTGGGTGGGCGAATGTGTTGGCAGCTTGACTCCTGAGAGTTTCTAGGACTTCAGTCCTGCCCCACAACGAAGCACATGTGATACATGTGGTCTCACCTTACGCAAGTGAGTTTGTTCAAAATTGCCTCTGTTCACCCAGCAGGGAATGGGTACCCGGTGGAATAAGACGTGTGTATGATTTTTAACATTCTAGCGCCTCACAGGCAGCTTTGGTTATACAGAGTAATAATAATCAGATTGTGCGCTTTGAGCAGGATATAAAGCCTGGAAAGGCGCATTATAAATATTCTAATTATTAATTATTATAATGCGAACGTTGTCAATCAAGCAACAATAAGTTACTGTTAAATGTTGCCATTTTTTTCTTACGGTAGTGTCTTGGTGTGTAAAAATTGCAAAAGAACAAGATAGGTAACACATGTCTCCCCGGGGATAAACAGACAGACAGAAATATTTTATTAAGTGTGACAGGTCAGTTACATAAGAAATAAACATAGATATTATTGGTAAACATTCATGGGTAAAGAAAATACTGACATCCAGCCATGAATTGTCTTACGAGACACTAAACTATAAAAGTATATTAAAAGTACATTATAAAAAAGATAATTATTGCTGGTATGCAATATAAAATGTTATATTTAAATATATAGAGACAGTTTAAGATGGAGCGTAAATATATAAAACATCGTAAAATTTAAACACGTGTATATATATATATAATGCAAGAATACAATTTAATAGGATATAGAGATGATACATTTAAAACATACTAAAACAAAATGTAAAGTAATAAAATTTATTATCCATATGGTGAAACATAACCACTGTCATAAATGTCATATGTGCACATATTACTATTGCCTAGCAACCATTGTTACTGTTTGTCGTATGTGACGTCATTAAACAATTGAACGTGACGTCAATGAACTGGGCAGTCACACTCGCTAACCGTGTTTTACTGCACAAATGCACATGAATAAAATGGACAATAAAGAAAGTATTACACTTGCAAATGTGCCACATGACTAACTTATACCAGAGACCATATAATAATATATTATATGGTCTCTGCTTATACGAAGCTCGTGCAAAATTTCCCACTCGTTTCGTATAAATCGTATGACACACTTGTTCGTGTATAAATTACGCCTATAAAACATTTTGAATATAGTATTAGCTAACAGTTTTATAAAAATATAAAATAAACATTTTGTATCTCGTAAACATGTTAGTTGACAAGAAAGATCATTCGTCACCACTCGCCCCTTTCCGTAACCTCGGTATTCGGCTTGTCCCGGAATAACACGAGTGGGTCACGAAAGAAGAAAGATAAAATTTCCCGCGAAAACATGCAGCCGCAGCAAAACCCAGGGGACGTAACTCGCCAGATCTCGCACACTCCGGCACAGCGATGACTTACATAACATGCTGGCTATGGAACTCTGGGTAGGAGAGTGCGGATCTCGATCACCGAACATATTTTTCACGCGTATCAATTAATAAGTGTACCTTTCATAGATTACCATATATCAAGGATGCGACAAATAACAGAATCATTAGTTATTTTGTATGCCTATTTTAATTAGCTTAAAGTTCACTGTTTTCTGCGGTCCATGTAAACAAAGGAAAATGGCGATTGAGGAAATAAGAATGTCAACAAAAAGACTCCTGCAGTCAGGTAGGACAAAATCTGAGATCTCTTGTCTGTAAACATGTCAAATTCCCTCAATGGTTACTGAACTGCTGTTGTGTTTGTTCTAAATTTTCATTTTTAGCTTGGTAAATACGGTTTTCGTTTCTGACAGAACACGGGAAGCGATGACGGATGTGATCAGCATTATCTCATCTGAATACGCCAAATGTTGAAAGTTTCACATGAATTAATCAGATCCCGACTCAAAGTCCGCTATTGTTACTTGAGTATCGAATGATCAGATAGAATCGTGTTTAAGAAGGGAGGCGAGGTGTTTAGAAGAACAAGTTTTACTGTGATCTAAGACCAGTTATGTAAGTGCGCAGATTACAAACTACAACCAGAAGCATTCGACTTATCATACAGCTGTTCATCTCAAAGTGACCGCTGCAGGGAGACTCGAGCCAGCATTATGTGGAAAGGAGTTTTACACCCAGGTTTGTGTTGGGAGTGTCTGTATGTTTAGGGTTTGTAGATAAGTGCGTTTTGAGAAATATTTTAAATCAAGGTACTTGACTATTTTTAATGGAAGCACCACAAGTTTGTTGTTTAAAGTTGTATTAATTAAGCAATATTCAAGGTATGTGATTATTGGTAAGAGTTTCCCCGTAACCCCTGCTTGAAATGTATTCTATTTATTAAGATTATTTCGAAGGGTTAGGATTAAGGTTTAGGGTTGAGATTGGTTTTAGGGTTAGGTTTAGGGTTATTTTTTTCTATGAAAACCTTAGGCCTGTATTGTTAGGCATAGAATGATTATACAAATATGGGGGTTAATGCCGGAAAAATCTTACCTGATAATTATGTATAATAATCAAGTTTTGAAAATATAATCCAGTGATCAATATAATGAGCATTGGGATATGATGAATTGTGAACCATCTCTACTGTGACTACACAGTTCCATTCAGATGCGGGGCGGTGGGGTAGCCTAGTGGTTAAAGCGTTCGTTCCTCACGCCGAAGGCCCGGGTTCGATTCCCCACATGGGTACAACTTGTGAAGCCCATTTCTGGTGTCCCCCGCCGTGATATTGCTGGAATATTGCTAAAAAACGGCGTAAAACCAAATTCAGCCAGTCAGTCAGTCAGATGCCTCTTATACATCGAGCATGAGTTGCTGAAGATCATTTCTAAACCCACATCTTAATTGGTGTCCATGTTGCAGGTAAACTCACTGTTGCTTTTGTGAGTGAGTGAGTTAAGTTTTAGTTTCGGTTAAACCTGGGGATAATCTGTGGCTCACATAAAAAAGACATAGTTCCCCATCGATCACACATCTTCACATCATCAGAAATAGGATAATAAATAGCCTATTAACGAAGTAGCCTATTAACACTGTTGTGCTCAGGCTAATCATGTTGGAAACTAGCCAGATTCAGTGCGGATTGTAATAAGTGTTCATTGTGCATATATGAGGTCAGTTCAGAGGTACAGATAAGCTGCGTATCTGCGTAAATTACGCAAATATTTATGCGAAAACTCAATTCCTATTAAGTCTATTGCGTACAAGTACGCTTGAAATTTTGTAAATACTCAATAGATGTGATGTTACACGCGTACACACAAAAGTGTCAAATCTTAGCTTGCGTACCGGTGGATAGATAAAATAACTGAGGTATATTAAGAGGTTCTATTTCAGGACATGAACTTGGCAACTTGCAGTCTCTCTTATCGTTTCTCATATTACAGATCAAATATATATAACAAACACTAACATTTAAACTTTATTATATTTTAACAATTAATGGAAAATGACAAAATACCCAATTGTGTTTGAGTGAGGTGGGTACAATTTATTTGGTTACTACAAGGAAAATTAGGATACCCAATTGAGATGACCACAAGCGAGTACATAACTCAATGACCCAAAACGTTATCTGTAGCTCTGCAGTTTGCTGTCTATTTGGGTTGATTGCCATGACATTCATTCTGTAATTGTTATAGGATATTATATTAAGGCTGTTACGATTCACTCACATATTCGGTGAATCGAACCGTGGTCACCAGAACCGAATATTAACGAATATTTAAAAAATTTTAAGGGAGTGTGTTTTACTTGAACCCTTTTGTTCTTTTTTCAAAGTGAGATATGCAGTTATGGAATATGTACTAGCCTTGCAGTAGCGCAAGTCATGTTAGTTTGCCAAGGTCACACATGGTACTGTCCACTATAAACTATAACATACCAAATTTGAGTGTCATGAGATAACTGGTTATTGCTATGACAATTTAACACTGTCAACATGGTTGTTCCATATTGTGCATCAATCACTTAACTACAATATTGTATTCGTGAATAATTATTCGTATTTGTTACCCAATATTCATGATACGTATCATATTCGCCACATAGTGTATTCATTGCAGTCCTAATTTATATAGTGCACATATCCACACAACTAGTACATGCTTAAGACGCTGGTATTTTCCCCCGATCATTGGATGTTATTGTTAATCTCAACGCCACATCATATTATCAATCTCAACTCCCTGGGGATCATACAACTCATGCTGACACTAGGAAATGAATTTCTTTTAAGGTAATAAAGTATTGTCTGTCTGTCGGTTATTGCGGCTTTCCCATCCGTACGAGGTACCCATTTACATCTGGGTGGACTGGGACACATAGTCGCTGTACTTTGTCCAAGTTTACTGCACGTTGTTGCTGTACCCACAACTAGGTGTTTGCACGTATTCATGTGGCCACCATTTGGTCATATACCAACGGAGTCGTGGATTCTTTTAAGTGCACACGGATGTGTACTGTACACTAGGGGTTGTGACAACACTGAAAGGGTCTGCACACAAAGTTGACTTCAAGGTTTTTACACCCAGTCACGGGTGGGCTCGAGTCTGACAGCTGAATCTCGCTGGATCACTAGCCTGGCGCCTTAGCCAGCCTTCCGACCAATGCCAGGGCAGGATTTAGTGCTTTGTTACTTGCACTGGTGCAACCCAGTACTACAAAGTGCAACCTAGTTATTAGTGTAACTTGCACCAGGTGCAGGTCAATTCTTGCGACTTCAGCTGGAAAACAGAATGATGAGGAACTGACTTGGAAGAGTGACTCTGATGACTGTATGAGCAGTGACTGAAGGACTTACTGTTCATGACATTTTAGGAAGTAAGATAACTAATCTTATCAGTCCCAGATTTCTTTTTTGTTATAATGTACTAAACTATCATTACCAAAACTCAAGCATCATATTTTATACAAGATTTTATATTGAGCAGCAAGTGCAACATGTTTTTATCTGATGCAACAAGGTTTCTACCTAAGGTTGCACAAGGTGCAAGTAAGTTTCATTTCTTTAAATCGAGCCCTGCAAGGTGGTGGGGTGGGGGTAGTATAGTGGTTAGTGCAGCCCCTCATCACACCAAAGACCAGAGTTCCATTTCTCACCTGGGTACAAGACCCGTGAAGATCCGGGGTAGAATAGGTCTTCAGCAACCCACAGCTGAGGAAATCTAGACTTGCTTTATTTAGGGCTTTAGCACTGCAGAGAGGGCTTGGCAGTAGGGAAATTAATGTGGTTCAGGGACTGTGAGACAGACTAGGGTACACTGTATGAAGCTCATTTCTGGTGTCTCTGCTGATATTGCTGGAACATTGCTAATAGCAGCATTTGAAATACCTGCCTGCCCGACCGCCTGGGACGGGTTATTTTCAACACGGACTGCCAGATTCTCAAATTCACCTGGGGCGGTGGGGTAACCTAGTGGTTAAAGCGTTGGCTCGTCGCGCCGAAGACACAGGTTCGAATCCCCACATGGGTACAATGAGCGAAGCCCATTTCTGGTGTCCCCCACCGTGATATTGCTGGAATATTGCTAAAAGCGGCGTAAAACCAAACTCAGTCAGTCAGTCAAATTCACCTGCCCGACGGTCAGGTTAAAATTTTGACAGGTATGTTAGTATTTTTTGTGGACAAGTAAGTTTTGGTCACGGCTGGCAAGTTTTACATCTAACCAGCCCTGTGGTCTGGCTGAAATTTTGGGGAGTTTCATACCCTGCTAAAAGCAGCGTAAAACTAAACTTACTCACTCACTGCTATGCAAGAATGTTCATATTTCTAAAATGTAATATAAAAATACATCCAATAGTTTGCAAGAGCCACATGCAGAATCGTAGTATTGTTCTGTTCTTATCACGGTATGCAACAGTGTTGTGTCATACAATGGTGTCTCAAAATAACTCTCATGATTCACTGACCCATTGTTTGAGACTCCTGAGAGTAAAACACAATGCACCACTTGTTCATAGCCTTGGTTACCATGGTAACTGTGTATTTTTAGTCATGTTGCTGAAATACTGGGATGTAAAACTGATTCACTGGTTCCCCCTCCTTTCCTGCTGTCACTGTTACTAGACTGAACTGGGGCGGTGGGGTAGCCTAGTGGTTAAAGCGTTCGCTCGGCACGCCAAAGACCAGGGTTCGATTCCCCACATGGGTACAATGTGTGAAGCCCATTTCTGGTGTCCCCCGCCGTGATATAGCTGGAATAGGGTTAAAAGCAGCGTAAAACTGAACTCACTCACTCACTCACTAGACTGGACTCATTTCTGATGATGATGATGATGATTTGGAGATTTCACATGTGCTTTCCGACATAATGCTTATTTCCAGGCCATTTACTGATTTAGTGTTTCATCGAACGAGGGGTGATTTGACCCAAACATATGGCAACCTGAAGGGAATATTGATTGCATGATTAAATTTGTTTGAATTTTGAAATTTGCCAGAAGTTGCAGGGGGCACTATGGAATGGTATTTGTTTGTTTTGTTTTTGTTTTTGTATGTCTTTTTTATGTTAGTACCAGTTGGTTTTGTGGGATTATATGTGACCTCGAATGCCGGGTTTGATAAGAAATGCACCTAATGCTTTAGTTTGAAGGTTTGAGTTTTATTTAGAATTGAATTTTGGTATTTACTTTGCCACTCTAGGAAGAGTTGTTGCTTTGATAGGCTTTTGATTTCATTTTTAGATAATAGTTTGTTTAGTAGGGGTGAAACGGTATACTGCAGTATTACAGGGGTGGAAATAACCCATTGCTCGACGTCCGAGTCCAGTGGTTTTTGTGTCGGGCAAGGAAATTTGTATATCACACTGTACCAGTGTCCAGTTGACTTTCCAATGTTAATTATGTTGTTTATTTAAAAAATCAACAAGAAAACAGCCGGTATAGTGGAAAAATTATCAGGGCAAGTGATTTTACATGTGCCACTGTACCGGAGTACGCTAGCAATTTTAAAGTTATTTCCACCCTTGAAATATAATAATAATGATAGTAATAATAATAGTTATTTCCACCCCTGTATTAGTAGAACCGCAGTATTTTCTCCTTCGGTTCGGTATACATAATGCAATCCAAAAATTCGGTATTTTCGGTGGTCGTACCATCATTTTATTAACTTATTAAAACCTTTTCTAAAATGTCTAGAAATGGTATCATTTTGTCAAAATCTCTGCATTTCTGTAGTTCTAAATAAAGCCCGTGAAGATCCGGGGTAGAATTGGTCTTCAGCAACCCACGCTTGCCACAAAAGGCGACTATGCTTGTCGTAAGAGGCGACTAACGCGATCGGGTGGTCAGGCTCGCTGACTTGGTTGACACATGTCATCGGTTCCCAATTGCGCAGATCAATGCTCATGCTGTTGATCACTGGATTGTCTGGTCCAGACTCGATTATTTACAGACCGCTGCCATATAGCTGGAATATTGCTGAGTGCGGCGTAAAACTAAACTCACTCACTCACTCCAGTTCTAAATATTCAGCATTATGATCATATACCGAACCGAACCGAACGGAACCGAAGACTTTGTACCGCAGTACCTACCATACTGTGGTAAGAGCGTACCCTTTCACCCCTCATGTTTAGGTTTACTTCCGGGAGGTTAAGTGCCACTTGAGCTACTTGTTTGGACTCATTGAGTCATTGTGTTGGTGTGTTTGATTGTATCCTGTATCGTCGTCGACGGTTCCTGGGTCTCACGCTGGCCTCTAACAACTCCTTGTCAAATGTGACAACTCTCATAGCAGTCGTATAGTTGGAATGTTGCCAAGTGGGACAATTAGGGAACAAACAAACAGTCACTACCCAGTGGATGGAATATTGTTGAGTGGGATGATAAATCAACCAACAATATGACAGCACAGGGATGGAAATAACCCATTCCATGACGCACCAGTCCAGTGTTTTTTTCTGTCGGGCAAGCAAATTTGTATATCACACTGTACCGGTGTCCAGTTGACTTTCCAATATTAATTATGTTGTTTATTTAAAAAATCAACAAGAAAACGGACGGTATAGTGGAAAAAATAACAGGGCAAGTGATTTTACATGTGCCTCTGTACCGGAGTACACTAGCAATTTTAAAGTTATTTCCACCCCTGCAGCACTCAGTCAGTTTATGGCTCTCTATCTAGCTGGGCTCTAGATAATTATTTTGACGGTGAAATTGCAAACCTGCATGAAACCTTTAAAACACATGTTACATTTGGGATAACGCTTTCTCAGTAAAGTACAGATAGTTGTACCTTTGTTGGGTTGAGTCCCATCTGGGACCCACACCCTGAGAGTCAGGCACCCAATTGCCAGCACACAAAGTCAGCCGTCTAGCCCACTCAGCCACCGCTCCTGCCACTAAAATGGATGTCAGACAACTGGTGGTCTAGACCAGACTTTGAGTACCCTTCTGATAACAGGGCTCCAGATAATTATTTGACTCTGGTTTATTTCACTCCTCAAAAATAAAACGAGTAAAATACCAAATGGAAATAAAAGTAGGAGTATTTCACAGGTTGCATGGTTTTATTACTTCTCCTTGCCGATTGAAACGGGTTTCCTTTAAAAAACTCAACAAGTTTCTTATGGTTAGTCATTTTTACTGCAGACAGGACATAAATGACAATGCAAGTTGAGTTATTGTGCATTAAATGTTTTCCTATGCTGGTTTAGGGCCATCACGTAATCTACAGTAGCCCTAAAGCTGTATTACTAATACGGGAGGGAAACATGATATAAATGCTGTTTACAACTTTAAGGGCGAGCTTTTAAACAAATTGTGCCCCGAACATGGATTAGAAATATTGACGGAGATCATTTGGAAAAACGCTTCTATACAGACCACCAACACTATTCGAGGTCTTAGGATCGGATGTTAAGGACATGGAAACAAAAATCAGACTCATTTTCTGAGAAAGTTATACATATTTATCACTCACTGATTTGACTTTTTTGAGTAATTTTGAATTATTCATGTGTAATTTACATCTGCAGCCCTGATCTAGTTCCTGGTCCGAAGGTTTAGGTACAAAGTCAGCTCATATATCGTACATGAGTGTCACGTCAAGCAAACAGACAATATGGCAACACTCAGGGCTCCAGATAACTTTTGGGGGTGCGAGTGTACTTACACATCATATTGCAAGTGAAGGTGTACTGAGAATTTTGAAGGAGTACTGACATGTTTTTGTGTGAGTGAGTTGGTGATGTGGTTTGTCTGGACGATTCATCGATCACTATTTCCAACCATGTATTTGTATTTGAAGACGCGTGAGAAATAACTGAGCGACTGCGTGATGCGCGAAATGTCAGGTCCGACTGGATGTAAAAAAGGAACAGTGTAGTTTTTAGCCAATCGAAAAATAGTGACGCATATCGTTGCATGGCAACGCAAGTGATTCCTACTGTCGGGGTTTCCTTATGTGTCAAATCGTGTTCGCAAAAGAAACTTGACAAGTATTTATCCGAAATAGATTTCCATTTGCACGATGCGCACGGAAACTAAATGTTAGACGTACAAAGATATTTATGTGCGTACACGATACGCTTGAAATGTTATATTATGTCGTACTTTATTGATTTTGAGGCGTACATTACGCCTGTATGCCCCTTATCTGTAGCCCTGACACTAGGGTTTTACCTTTACCTCAGTGTTCCAGCTAAAGAGCATATCAGTATTATCACCATATTTATGGCTAAAACGTGCAGATATTAGAGTTGGGAATTGTTTTTACTCTCATAATTGATGTTTGGTTCATGAAAACTGATCAATCATCGAAAATAATTGCTAAGCGTCATTTTTTTTAAATTTTCTTTTTATGTTTGTTAATGCAAACAAAATAAAGAAACATTATGTCGTTTTGGGGGATATTTTGAAAATTGCACAAAATACTTTACAAATATCACATCTTTACAGGAGGACTAGTAATAGTAGTAGTAGTATGTTAGGAACATAAACTACCTGGAGTCTTTAAGATACATCCAATAATGGCTTGGAACGAACTCGTTGTGCTTATGAAATGTAAATACAGGGGTGGAAATAACCCATTGCCCGACGTCCGAGTCCAGTGGTTTTTTCTGTTGGGCAAAGAAATTTGTATATCACACTGTAACGGTGTCCAGTTGACTTTCCAATGTTAATTATGTTTATTTAAAAAATCAACAAGAAAACGGCCAGTATAGTGGAAAAATTATCAGGGCAAGTGATTTTACATGTGCCACTGTACCGGAGTACGCTAGCAATTTTAAAGTTATTTCCACCCTTGAAATATAATAATAATAGTAATAATAATAATAGTCCATTTGTCATGCACATTGCTCCATGCATGATGCATGCTTGAAGCGGCCAAACAATCGCAGCCTCCCTTTTGTCCTGAAAGTTTATTAAATGACCATTGAAACTCTCGTGAAAACGGGTGAAAATGGACTGTGCACCTCCTTTCTCAAAAAGCTGTATCTGCCCCTGTGTACTGTAACAGATATTTTGATATGTATCTTTGTAATGCTATCAAGCATTCAAGCCAATCGCTGAAGGGATGATGTAAATCCAGCTAGGGTCCATGCAGAAATCTAATGTACTGTAAGTAGAGCTGGTTATCGTTACATTTTGTCGGATAGATAATGGCTAGTGTCAGATCGATAATCGATCGATTATAATCGTTTGGATGGTCATTTCATAGTCAAATACCTATGTTAGCGAACTAACTTCTGGGTTGTCAGCACGTGTCAATTGTTAACGCTAGCAAGTTACTTAATTTTTATAAACCACTTTACAACCCGTAATATTTCAATGACGAAATTGGACACCCCAATCTAAATATATCTAGCAATGCCATTGGCTGACTGGGAAGGCATGCGCACTTGTGTAGTACACAGCTTCCGTTTTAGAAGTAAACAAGCAATGACGATCAGATTGTTCAGTTAAAAAAGACATGACAAGGTAGAACAAAACGTTTTAATGTATGTGCATCCAAATAATGATTATTTCCGCTTATCGATCTGCAGTTTATTTGTAATCGACAATCGTTTACTTTGACTTAGATCGAACGATTAACCGATCCTATGATTAATCGCTCCAGCATTAACTGTAAGTCCCCGTGGTCCCTAGCATGGTGATCTACCTTCAGTTGTTGGTGATCTAGAGTCCATTCTTTATATAGTATTTTTCATAGTTAAGATACACATATTCTAGATTTTCATACTAGTTTTACAATTGTATCTGTGATAGTCTAGCTATTTTTACTGTTTTTCGCCGACAGGTGTTTGTATTAGCCATGATTTATTATGAAATAACTTGTTTTTAGTCATGATATTGCTGAAATATTGACACTAAATATTAACTCACTCACTCAATCATTCACCTGAGTGAGTGAGTTTAGTTTTATGCTGCTTTTAGCAATATTCCAGCAAAATCACGGCCAGCAGAAATAGGCTTCACACATTGTACCCATGTGGGTAATTGAACGTGGATCTTTGGCCTGGCGAGCGAACACTTTAACCCTAGACTACCCCAGTATTCGCATGAACTCTCTAATGTCCTGAAGGTATTAGGTGATTCTGTAGCCCGTGTCCCATGTTGCAGTGGTGCTGGTGGTGTTGGTGGCTGGCTGTGTGGGAGAACAGCATCCGACATGTCAGCTGTGGAAGAAGATGGCGCAACAGCTGTCCAACGAGCCCCGGAAACAGATGACTTGCTTCGCCAACGACACACACCCTTGCACCAGTCTGCGATGCTCTGGGACATACAAGTATACTGTAAGTTGCCACAACTCTGTAGGTTACTACGACACTGTAAGTTGCCACAACTCTGTAGGTTACTACGACACTGTAAGTTGCCACAACTCTGTAGGTTACTACGACACTGTAAGTTGCCACAACTCTGTAGGTTACTACGACACTGAAGTTGCCACAACTCTGTAGGTTACTACGACACTGTAAGTTGCCACAACTCTGTACGTTACTACGACACTGTAAGTTGCCACAACTCTGTAGGTTACTACAACACTGTAAGTTGCCACAACTCTGTAGGTTACTACGACACTGTAAGTTGCCACAACTCTGTAGGTTACTATGACACTGAAGTTGCCACAACTCTGTAGGTTACTACGACACTGTAAGTTGCCACAACCTGTAGGTTACTACGACACTGTAAGTTGCCACAACTCTGTAGGTTACTACGACACTGAAGTTGCCACAACTCTGTAGGTTACTACGACACTGTAAGTTGCCACAACTCTGTACGTTACTACGACACTGTAAGTTGCCACAACTCTGTAGGTTACTACAACACTGTAAGTTGCCACAACTCTGTAGGTTACTACGACACTGTAAGTTGCCACAACTCTGTAGGTTACTATGACACTGAAGTTGCCACAACTCTGTAGGTTACTACGACACTGTAAGTTGCCACAACCTGTAGGTTACTACGACACTGTAAGTTGCCACAACTCTGTAGGTTACTACGACACTGAAGTTGCCACAACTCTGTAGGTTACTACGACACTGTAAGTTGCCACAACTCTGTACGTTACTACGACACTGTAAGTTGCCACAACTATGAAGGTTACCACAACACTGTAAGTTGCCACAACTCTGTAGGTTACTATGACACTGTAAGGATGACAAATTACCATGACAGTGTTAGTTACCATGACACACATCCTCTGGGCAATACAAGTACAGTGTAAGTTACTATGACGAACAAGTTACCATGACACTGTAAGTTACTGTGCCACTAGGTTACCACAACACTGTAGGTTACCATGACATTGTAAGTTACCATGACACTGTAAGTTACTGTGCCACTAGGTTACCACGACACTGTAGGTTACCATGACATTGTAAGTTACCATGACACTGTAAGTTACTGTGCCACTAGGTTACCACGACACTGTAGGTTACCATGACATTGTAAGCAACCACAACACTGTAAGTTACCACGACAATGTAAGTTAACGTGCCACTAGGCTGCTTCAGCACTATAAGTTACCATGACATTGTAAGTTACCTGAACACTGTAAGTTACCATGACATTGTAAGTTACCTGAACACTGTAAGTTACCATGACACTGTAAGTTACCATGACACTGTAAGTTACCTGAACACTGTAAGTTGCCATGACACTGTAGGTTGCAACAAAGCTGTAAGTTACCATGACACTGTAGGTTACCATGACAATGTAGGTTAGTACAACACTGTAGGTTACTACAACACTAAGTTACCATGACACTGTAGGTTACTACAATGCTGTAAGTTACCATAACACTGTAGGTTACACCATCACTGTAAGTTACCATGACACTGTGGGTTACTACAACGCTGTAAGTTACCAAGAGACTGTAGGATGCTACAACACTGTAAGTTACCATGACACTGTAGGTTGCTACAACACTGTAAGTTACCATGACAGTGTAGGTTACCATGACACTGTAGGTTACAGCAACTCTCTAAGTTACCATGGCAGTGTAGATTACCATGACACTGTAGGTTACCATGACACTGTAGGTTACCATGACACTGTAGGTTACAGCAACGCTCTAAGTTACCATGACACTGTAGGTTACCTCAACACTGTAAGTCACTATGACTCTATTCTAAGTGTCTGTAGTAGATATTGACATGTCTGTTGCACTCACTGAAGTATCTATAGTGGATGTTGCTATGTCTATTATAGTCCTGGATGTGTGTGTTGTAGTCGTTCATGCCGGACTCTGCAGACATCGAGGTTGACTACTGCTTCGGGATGAGGCTGAACCACTGCGACAACCCCGTCTCCATGGACATCTACCTGGTGGTGCCCAACAAGAACATGAGCTACAACAAGAGGATTTCTCACAACACTCAGATCAAGATGCCTGGTGAGACAACACATTGTATTAGAGTCAAGTCATTTCATGTCAACACACAGATCAAGATGCCTGGTGAGACAACACATTGTATTAGAGTCAAGTCATTTCATGTCAACACACAGATCAAGATGCCTGGTGAGACAACACATTGTATTAGAGTCAAGTCATTTCATGTCAACACACAGATCAAGATGCCTGGTGAGACAACACATTGTATTAGAGTCAAGTCATTTCATGTCAACACACAGATCAAGATGCCTGGTGAGACAACACATTGTATTAGAGTCAAGTCATTTCATGTCAACACACAGATCAAGATGCCTGGTGAGACAACACATTGTATTAGAGTCAAGTCATTTCATGTCAACACACAGATCAAGATGCCTGGTGAGACAACACATTGTATTAGAGTCAAGTCATTTCATGTCAACACTCAGATCAAGATGCCTGGTGAGACAACACATTGTATTAGAGTCAAGTCATTTCATGTCAACACACAGATCAAGATGCCTGGTGAGACAACACATTGTATTAGAGTCAAGTCATTTCATGTCAACACACAGATCAAGATGCCTGGTGAGACAACACATTGTATTAGAGTCAAGTCATTTCATGTCAACACACAGATCAAGATGCCTGGTGAGACAACACATTGTATTAGAGTCAAGTCATTTCATGTCAACACACAGATCAAGATGCCTGGTGAGACAACACATTGTATTAGAGTCAAGTCATTTCATGTCAACACACAGATCAAGATGCCTGGTGAGACAACACATTGTATTAGAGTCAAGTCATTTCATGTCAACACACAGATCAAGATGCCTGGTGAGACAACACATTGTATTAGAGTCAAGTCATTTCATGTCAACACACAGATCAAGATGCCTGGTGAGACAACACATTGTATTAGAGTCAAGTCATTTCATGTCAACACACAGATCAAGATGCCTGGTGAGACAACACATTGTATTAGAGTCAAGTCATTTCATGTCAACACACAGATCAAGATGCCTGGTGAGACAACACACTGTATTAGAGTCAAGTCATTTCATGTCAACACACAGATCAAGATGCCTGGTGAGACAACACATTGTATTAGAGTCAAGTCATTTCATGTCAACACACAGATCAAGATGCCTGGTGAGACAACACATTGTATTAGAGTCAAGTCATTTCATGTCAACACACAGATCAAGATGCCTGGTGAGACAACACATTGTATTAGAGTCAAGTCATTTCATGTCAACACACAGATCAAGATGCCTGGTGAGACAACACATTGTATTAGAGTCAAGTCATTTCATGTCAACACACAGATCAAGATGCCTGGTGAGACAACACATTGTATTAGAGTCAAGTCATTTCATGTCAACACACAGATCAAGATGCCTGGTGAGACAACACATTGTATTAGAGTCAAGTCATTTCATGTCAACACACAGATCAAGATGCCTGGTGAGACAACACATTGTATTAGAGTCAAGTCATTTCATGTCAACACACAGATCAAGATGCCTGGTGAGACAACACATTGTATTAGAGTCAAGTCATTTCATGTCAACACACAGATCAAGATGCCTGGTGAGACAACACACTGTATTAGAGTCAAGTCATTTCATGTCAACACACAGATCAAGATGCCTGGTGAGACAACACATTGTATTAGAGTCAAGTCATTTCATGTCAACACACAGATCAAGATGCCTGGTGAGACAACACATTGTATTAGAGTCAAGTCATTTCATGTCAACACACAGATCAAGATGCCTGGTGAGACAACACATTGTATTAGAGTCAAGTCATTTCATGTCAACACACAGATCAAGATGCCTGGTGAGACAACACATTGTATTAGAGTCAAGTCATTTCATGTCAACACACAGATCAAGATGCCTGGTGAGACAACACACTGTATTAGAGTCAAGTCATTTCATGTCAACACACAGATCAAGATGCCTGGTGAGACAACACATTGTATTAGAGTCAAGTCATTTCATGTCAACACACAGATCAAGATGCCTGGTGAGACAACACATTGTATTAGAGTCAAGTCATTTCATGTCAACACACAGATCAAGATGCCTGGTGAGACAACACATTGTATTAGAGTCAAGTCATTTCATGTCAACACACAGATCAAGATGCCTGGTGAGACAACACATTGTATTAGAGTCAAGTCATTTCATGTCAACACACAGATCAAGATGCCTGGTGAGACAACACATTGTATTAGAGTCAAGTCATTTCATGTCAACACACAGATCAAGATGCCTGGTGAGACAACACATTGTATTAGAGTCAAGTCATTTCATGTCAACACTCAGATCAAGATGCCTGGTGAGACAACACATTGTATGAGAGTCAAGTCATTTCATGTCAACACTCAGATCAAGATGCCTGGTGAGACAACACATTGTATTAGAGTCAAGTCATTTCATGTCACCTACCAGAGATGAGATTTAATGTCAAGGTCTTGTGATGTGACCTACCAGAGCTGAGATTTAATGACAAGGTCTTGTGATGTGACTTACCAGAGCTGAGATTTAATGTCAAGGTCTTGTCATGTGACCTACCAGAGCTGGATTTAATGTCAAGGTCATGTCATGTGACCTACCAGAGCTGTGATTTAATGTCAAGGTCTTGTGATGTGACCTACCAGAGCTGGATTTAATGACAAGGTCATTTCATGTGACCTACCAGAGCTGGATTTAATGTCAAGGTCATGTCATGTGACCTACCAGAGCTGGATTTAATGACAAGGTCATGTCATGTGACCTACCAGAGCTGAGATTTAATGTCAAGGTCTGGTGATGTGACCTACCAGAGCTGGATTTAATGACAAGGTCATGTCATGTGACCTACCAGAGCTGGATTTAATGTCAAGGTCATGTCATGTAACCTACCAGAGCTGAGATTTAATGTCAAGGTCATGTGATGTGACCTACCAGAGCTGGATTTAATGACAAGGTCATGTCATGTGACCTACCAGAGCTGAGATTTAATGTTAAGTCATTTCATGTGACCTACAAGAGGTTGGACTTAATGTCAAGGTCATTTCCAATGACCTACTTATAGGGCATAAATATTTTATAAAATCTGAAATCTTATGATTTTCTCCTAATATTCTCATGCAGACTCCCACCATGACTTCAAACATGAGTATACATCTGATAGTAAATATTCTTGCAAACATGACTGTAAATGTGTGAATGGAATTTTAGATGTGATTAAAAATTCCCGCCTGCCCAACCCTCCGGAACGGTCTATTTTCATCTCGGACGGTCAAATTTCAAAAGTAGCCTGTCCGGTGGTCTGGTAGATGTTTTTACCCCTAACGGGAATATTTCATAACATCAGACAGGTTCTCTGGTCGTCAGTTTGAGGTGTTTAAGGTATTATGATAATTATGCTAAACTGTTTACGATTGGACAGTTCATGTTACAATAACCAATCACAACACATGTATTTTCAGTATACCTAAACTCGGTGCATTGCCTGTTAGTGCTATGTTGTTCATCGCGATGCCTACAAACAGTCAAGTATTCAGAAACCTGTTGTTTTTTTCATTGTTGAAATCCGGACAGGCAAGTTTGTATCCGGGCTGGTAATTTTTTAAAGTTACCAGTCCGGCTGTCTGGCTTTGAATTTTGGGAGTTTTAAATGCTGTTGTAAATATTGTGTTCCAGGGTTGTCGTTCCACCTGAAGAGTCTTGGAACCGTGGACGTGTTCCTGTACTTCTACATGTTGAGGAACGCTTCCAACATCCACATGTCGGTACGTAACACAGTGTGCATCATTAAGCCCAAACACACAGTATGGACACATCCACATGTCGGTACGTAAGACAGTGTGCATCATTAAGCCCAAACACACAGTATGGACACATCCACATGTCGGTACGTAACACAGTGTGCATCATTAAGCCCAAACACACAGTATGGACACATCCACATGTCGGTACGTAACACAGTGTGCATCATTAAGCCCAAACACACAGTATGGACACATCCACATGTCGGGTGTACGTAACAGTGTGCATCATTAAGCCCAAACACACAGTATGGACACATCCACATGTCGGTACGTAACAGCGTGCATCATTAAGCCCAAACACACAGTATGGACACATCCACATGTCGGTACGTAACACAGTGGGCATCATTTAGCCCAAACACACAGTATGGAGACATCCACATGTCGCTACGTAACAGTGTGCATCATTAAGCCCAAACACACAGTATGGACAGATCCACATGTCGGTACGTAACACAGTGGGCATCATTTAGCCCAAACACACAGTATGGACACATCCACATGTCGGTACGTAACAGTGGGCATCATTTAGCCCAAACACACAGTATGGACACATCCACATGTCGGTACGTAACAGTGTGCATCATTAAGCCCAAACACACAGTATGGACACATCCACATGTCGGTACGTAACACAGTGGGCATCATTTAGCCCAAACACACAGTATGGACACATCCACATGTCGCTACGTAACACAGCGTGCATCATTAAGCCCAAACACACAGTATGGACACATCCACATGTCGCTACGTAACACAGCGTGCATCATTAAGCCCAAACACACAGTATGGACACATCCACATGTTGGTACGTAACACAGTGTGCATCATTTAGCCCAAACACACAGTATGGACACATCCACATGTCGGTACGTAACACAGCGTGCATCATTAAGCCCAAACACACAGTATTGATACATCCACATGTCGGTACGTAACACAGTGTGCATCATTAAGCCCAAATACACAGTATGGACACATCCACATGTCGGTACGTAACACAGCGTGCATCATTAAGCCCAAATACACAGTATGGACACAAATGTAGGTAACTATGTGATACAATCTTTACAGGGGTAGTGGGGTAGCCTAATGGTTAAGTCATCCACTTGTCATGCTGAAGACCCGGGTTCTATTCCCCACATGTGTGATACCCCTTTCTGGTGCCCCCTCCGGGTACACCTACAGAATACCGGATACCTATCAGCCATATTGTTTAGTGTCATGTGACCCTAACCCTAACGCTTACCCTAACCCTAAACCTTACCCTTAAACCTAATGGTGTCCTGAATATATATATTTAGAAGTTGCCAAAGAATAAAGTCCTAACTTTGTGTATTGTGTGAGTAAATTACAACTGTATCACTATTACTACAACAGTTTATTTACAATAAATGACGGCACTATTTTCACATCGAAAATGGGGTGTTGGGGTAGCCTAGTGGTTAAAACTGCAGCTCGTCGCGCTGAAGACCAGTGTTGAATTCCCCACACGGGTACAATGTGTGAACCCCATTTCTGGTGTCCCCTGCTGTGATATTGCTAGAATGCTAGCCGTGCAAAACCACTCTCACTCACTCACTCACTCTCACTCACTCACTCACTCACTCACTCACTCACTCACTCACTCACTCACTCACTCACTAACTCACTCTCTCACTCTCACACTCACTCACCAATATTACAAAGTGCTGCCTAGTTGTTAGTCTAACTTGCACCAGGTGCAAGTCAAGTTTCGAGAAATAAATCCGCAATAAATCTAACATCATAAGCATAAATATGTCAGCTCATATTTCTTCTAAACTTTGAATAGCAATGGCACCAAAACATTGCTATTTATAGACACCTCTTGGCTATGACAGTTCCAGTAAACTGAAACCAGCTGTGTCTCTGTGTTGCTATGGTTTCATGAGTACAACATCACGGAAATATGTTTGTGTGCACCGAAACCTCTGTTTGAATACACTACGTTGCAACTGGAATTTGGCTGATGCAACTAGGTTTTTATCTTAGGTTGCACCTGGTGCAAGTCGGTTAACCTCTTAAATCAAGCCCTGCTTTGGTTTTCCTCCTTAATCAAGCAGCTCTCCATGATTTGACTGAGATACTGTTAAGTGTAGTGTTGAACCAAACCAGTCTATCAGCCACTCAGTAGTGAGTGAGTTTAGTTTTACGCCACTGTTAGCAATATTCCAGGAATATCATGACCAGAAATGGCTTCAAACATTTTACCCATGTGGGGAATTGAACCTGGGTCTTCGGCGTGACGAGCTAAGGCTTTAACCATTAGGCTGCCCCACCACGCTCACAATGGTGAAAATAGCCACCCAACCAAATTGCACTGTGAAAAGACAACTCCACTCCCTAACACATCCCTAACTCTGCAACGAGACTCTTCTCATTAGTGTTGAACCCATGAATATCTGGGTTAGAATTGGTCTTTAGTAACCGGTAACCCATGCTTGTCGTAAGAGGCGACTAACAGGATCGGGTGGTGATCTACGTAACACATCATCGTATCCCAATTGCGTGCATTGATTCTCATGCTGTTGAACACTGGATTGTCCGGTCCAGTCTGGATTATTTACAGACCGCCGCCATATAGCTGGAATATTGCTGAGTGTGATGTTAACGAACAAACCAACCAATCATTAGTGTTGACAATCACCCGATCTGAGACAACACATTGACATCCATCATGGCCGTTGCATGTTTTAGATCACAGCTAAATTCAGGATAACGTCGTTCATGAACACCATCATGTGGCCACCATCACTGCAGAAGGAGATTGTCCCCATGGAGAGTATCCCAGTGCCCCCCTGCATGAATGGTTCCACCCCGGCCCCTCCCACCACACTGCCAATGGGAAGCTGCCACCCCCCGAGATGGATCGCTCCAACCAATCCCCCAGGAGTGTCCTCAACTCCATACACCCCACACAGCAGCAAGAAAGGTATGTTTTTTTGTGGTGATGGTCAATTTTTCTAGTAATCTCTGCTTTGGTGGGTAATTGAATATATCTTTCGTTGAGTTTGATTTTTTTAACCACTGAACATCCGGGTTAGAATTGATCTTCAGTAACCCATGCTTGTCGTAAGAGGCGACTAACGGTATCGGGGGGTCAGACTCGCTGACTTGGTTGACACATGTCATCAGTTCCCAATTTTGTGCAGGTCCCCGCCATATAGCTGGAATATTGCTGAGTACAGCCTTCAGCAACAAACCAACTTCATGACGCTTGCCAACCACTCCGATTTTGGAGGAGCTACTCTGATGTTCAAATACAAAATCCACTCTCTGATAAATTTAGAATGTTTGAAAGAATTTTAGTAAATAGCAATTTAAATATGTTCATTTGAGTTAAGTATTATCTGGTTAAGTATGCCCAGAAATTGCATATTTCCCGGCTAAATCTAAAGATTTTCATGGGGGAGGCCCCCACACCCTCACCATCAAAAGGAACCCGAACCCCCTCTCACGCTCACCCCCCAACTTGCACCTTCAGGGCTCGGGAATTGCTTTTGGCAAGGCATGACTCCGCTTTCAGTTGATTCAGGGTTGACATCTGTGTGTTCCAGTACAACTTTTATATTCCCCGTGCAGTGTTCTTAAGCCCTGTCACAGGTGCAGATGTAGACGTCCCTGTGCGATGTTGGTATATCCTGTGCCATGTTCAGAAGTTTCCGTCCCTGTGCAAAGTCCATATTTCCTGTGCCATGTTCAGAAGTTTCCGTCCCTGTGCAAAGTCCATATTTCCTGTGCCATGTTCGGAAGTTTCTGTCCCTGTGCAATGTTCATATTTCCTGTGCAATGTTCAGAAGTTCCTGTTCGCTGTAACATATGTTAAATTTGGGATTACGCTTTCTTAGTAAAGTAAAGATTCTCTAGTACTTTTATTGGGTTGAGTCCCATCCGGGATTCGAACCCACACCTTCAGCATATAAAGTCAGCTGCCTAACCTGCTCAGCTACCGCTGCTGCCACCAAAATGAATGTGCAGTGGCTGAGCGGGTTAGGTGGCTGACTCTATATGCTGAGGGTGTGGGTTTGAATCCCGGATGGGAGTCGACCCAACAAAAATACGAGAATCTGTACTTAACTAAGAAAGTACAATCCCAAACATAACATATGTTTCATTTGAGCACTTTCTAAGTGACACTGTGTACTCATTCCTCTTCCCTGTGCAATCTTTAACAGTTCCTGTCCTATCTTCCAGCATCACTCACCTACAACCACCCCTGTTACGAAGACACGTTTATCTGCAGTGCCGAAGAAGCGTGTGACCTCCTAACAAAAAAATGTGTCTGTCGTTCCAACTTCCTTTACGACGTCCAGCAGAAGAGATGCGTGTCTAGGAACCGTATCGGCATAAGATGTTCCTCCTCCACCCAGTGTGGCCCTAATGAGGCCTGTATTCGGGGGAGGTGCCACTGCAAAGTCGGCTATGCTTTCTCCATGTTCTATGAAGTCTGCTACGCAGGACGTCCCAAAGGTGAGTTGTTTTACTTATTACCAGTGCCGTTACAGGGTGTGCAACAATATGTTTTTCACGCCGCTTTTAGCAATATTCCAGTAATATCACGGCTGGGGACACCAGAAATGGGCTTCACACATTGTATCCATGTGGGGAATCGAACACATCGTGACGAAGGAACGCTTTAACCACTAGGCTACCCCACCGTCCTACATTTTAGTGGGGGGCTGTGGGGTAGTCTACTGGTTAAAGTGTTGGTGCATCACGCCGAAGACCCGGGTTCGATTCCCCAGATGGGCATAATGTGTGAAGCCCTTTTCTGGTGTCCCCCGCTGTGAAATTGCTGGAATATTGCTAAAAGCGGCGTAAAACTAAACTCAGTCAGTCAGACATTTTAGTGGAGGGTGACACTAAGCGTGTGTAGAAAGCAGTAAGCCGAGTGACGTCACTCACTCACCCACTCATACCGTTATATTATGTAGCAATGCCACTACAATGAGAAATGATGAAATATGTATAGAAAATCCAGAATTTGTGTGTGTAGGAACAGATTACTGTACATGTGTTTGTCAGTTATGATACAACTTGTTGGTTGAAAACGTTTAGTAATCTCCTACTATAACATCTTCTAGGTTCAGGGGCGGTGGGGTAGCCTAGTGGTTAAAGCGTTCGCTCATCACACTGAAGACCCAGGTTCGATTCCCCAATCTTGCTAGCCAGTCAAAAAGTGTAATTATATGTATCTTAAAAGTCGAAGAGTGAGATGTATTTACAAAATGAGCCCGTGGAAATTCACTGGTGTTGCGGATTGCCCGATTGGATTTTCACTAGCCATGTGCTAGTGGGCCAGTGGGTATTTCGTACACTGAATCGAAGTGAAATATCAAATTTGCCGTGTATTGCACTTCTGTATTGCTATAGGGGCCGTGGGATAGCCTAGTGGTTAAAGTGTTCACTTGTCATGCCGAAGACTCGTGTTCGATTCCCCAACGTGGGTACAATGTGTGAAGTCCATGTTTGTTGTTCCCCGATGTAATATTGCTGGATATTGCTAAAGTGGCATAAAACTAATCTCCCAGTATTGCTATCATAATATTAAATGGGTTTGTAATACATTGTTGCCATATTGTGTTGTTACAAATATGAACTTTCTGACAAATTGCTGTGATATTGGTACGATATTACTGATATATTGATATGATATCAGTATGAAATATTGGTGTCATATTGATTTGATTTTAATGTTTTGTACAACATAAGTATTAACACATGGATGTGTACAACATAAGTATATATCATATGAGATGTGTACAACGTAAGTATATATCATATGAGATGTGTACAACATAAGTATATATCATATGAGATGTGTACAAACACCGATAATCTTTATTATGTAATATTCTCGTAATGGTGTCTCGTCGTTGATGGAACATATTTACCGGGTACTTTGGTCTCTGTTGGCCGCGACCCATCGCGGGGGGTCGGCCTATCCATGAGAGATATGATTTTGACACTGATTTTGAGGGTCAAGTTTCGGGGTCGGCTTATACATGGGATCGGCTTATAGACGGTCATATACGGTATCATATGAGATGTGTACAACATAAGTATATATCATATGAGATGTGTACAACATAAGTATATATCATATTATCACGTATTACAGGAACAGTATTTGTATGTATCCCACATAATGTGCTCATGTAAGTACTTCAGATTAATTTTTTTTTTTTAAATACTGATATATTGATGTGATATCAATATGAAATATTGATGTCATATTAATTTGATTTTTCTGTGCTATTGATATTTCATGATTCAACTCACTCATCCCACACTTGGTGTTCCAGTCTCAACGGTCAGTCCCCCGGTCACCCAGAGACCCCAGGTGGTCACTCTTCCCAGCAAGCAGCAACCACAGACTGCCCCACCCTCAGCAAGCAACAGTGAGTAGAGATTAACTATACTGGCATCTTGTGAACTCTCAAGCACAAGACCGCCTCCGTGGTGTAGTGGTTAGAGCGTCCGACCGGAGAGTGGACGGTCGCGGGTTTGATCCCCGACCGCGGCATACCAAAAGACGTTAAAATATGGTACTGGTTGGTTCCTGCCTGGCGCTCGGCATAAATGGGTACAACAAGGACTGGTCGGCTCGGAGTCAGTATAATGTGTCTGAGTGGGGTATTCATGCTTCACTGCGGCATGGTATCTCAGTAGGCTAGCACTATAAAACCAGCTTAAGTCTGGGCTAGTACAAGCAGCCGCACATACACATACACATGCATGCATGTCGTCATATGAGCAAAATATTCTCAAGCACGACGTTAAACCCAATTTCACCTCACCTCACCCCAAGCATAAACTGAAATTGTGGGTTGAAGTATTGTAAAATTATTGTCCTCCTGTGAGGGTACGTAAGTCCTGAAATATTAAAAGTAAATATAAAATTTACCCATTTTTAAGCATAGTATTTTTGTGAGTTATTGCAAAATATGTCTACAATCGGCCATGGCTGAAGGGATGGTGTAAATCCAACTAGGGTCCATGCAGGTAGCAAAAGTAACGTCAGTCCCCATGGTTCCTAGTATGGTGATCTACCTTCAGTTGCTGGCAGTCCGTACCCCATGTTATATACTGTATTGTCTTCTTCAATTAAAATGTTTTAGTTTTACATGCTAGTTTTATATTCATATCTGTGATACTCTAGGATTTTTACTGTCCATCGTTGACAGGTTTAACTTTTCAAAATGTTTTCATCTTTATTGTATAAATTGTTTTTGTTACAATGTGGCTGAGATATTGCTGATGTGACGTTAAATATTACCTCACTCACTCACCCAACAGTAGGGAGGACCACTCGACATTTTTGACTCGGAAACGAGATTGTTCTGCAGCAATAATGGTTAACGCCATTTTACCCAAGTTGACCTTAAAACTACAGAAATAACATACCATTGTCCAATGTTGTGAAGTTTGCATCCCATGTTGTTAGGTTCCTGTCCAATGTTGTGAAATTCGCATCACATGTTGTGAAGTTCCTATCCCATGTTCCTGTTCAACGTTATGTTCAATGTTCCTGTTCCATGTTCATGTCCAATGTTCCTGTCCCATGTTCATGTCCAATGTTCCTGTCCCATGTTCCTGTTCCATGTTCCTGTTCCTGTTCCATGTTCATGTCCAATGTTCCTGTTCCATGTTCATGTCTAATGTTCTTAACCATGTCCCGTGTTCGTGTACAATGTTCCTGTTCCATGTTCCTGCCCCATGTTCATGTACAATGTACCGCCTCCGTGGTGTAGTGGTTAGAGCGTCCGCCTGGAGAGCGGAAGGTAGCGGGTTCGATCCCCGACCGCGTCAAACCAAAAGACGTTAAAATATGGTACTTGTTGGTCCCTGCCTGGCGCTCGGCATTAATGGGTACAACAAAGACTGGTCGGCTCGGGAGTCAGTATAATGTGTCTGAGTGGGGTATTCATGCTTCACTGCAGCATGGTATCTCAGTGGGCTAGCACTATAAAACCAGCTTCAGTCTGGGCTAGTACAAGCAGCCGCACATACACATACACACGCATGCACGTCGTCATATGAGCGAAATATTCTCAAGCACGACGTTAAACCCAATTTCACCTCACCTCACCTCATGTACAATGTTCCTGTTCCATGTTCCTGTTCCATGTTCCTGGTCAGTGTTCAGCTTTTTATTGCAGGCACAGCCATCATCGCAGCCTCCGTCGTCAGCGGCATTGTGGTCCTCTGCCTCATCTGTCTGGTCATCTTCTTTCTCGTCAAACGTGTCCGACGACCCTACCAGGACCGCGAGATTCTCCTATCTAATGATGACACCGATGTCATCATGTAACATGGCGTCGGCAGCAACGGAAACAGATCTGAGATTAATCACGACTCCAGGTGTCTCTGTTAATGTCAGTGTCACTGGTGACATTAAGTTAATATCAACCTCAACTACATGTTCAGTTTGATATTGACAAAATGCCGACATTGACAGGAATCACGTTATATTTTATGTAAGTTAAATGTCAATGTTGGAATCAGCATGGTGTCTGTGGTTAACAATGACATCATTGAATTTGGACATTTGCAATTTGTTAGTGTTAAACCCAGCTATGTTTCATTGTTGACATACTTCGATAGGGGTGAAACGATGCACGATACCTTTTTTCTATATTGACAATAATATGTCAATTTCTATAGCACCAAACTCCACACCAAGTATGCTCAAAGCGCTAACAATGAATAGCACAGCACATTATTACCCCGGATAACCCAAGCTGCCTGTTAGGCACTAGAAGGTTATAGTCACATGGATGATCCCACCGGGTACCCATTTTCTGCTGGGTGAACAGAGGCAATTTTGAACAAACTCACTTGCTTAAGGTGAGACCACATGTATCACATGTGCTTCGTAGTGGGGCAGGACTGAAGTCCTAGAAATTCTTAGGAGTCAAGTTGCCCAACACGGTCACCCATTCAAGGACTCATTTATTGACACGCTAGCGGTTTTGTCAGTCACATATTTAACATGTAATGTAAGTAGTGCTACAAGCTCTAAAAATAGCTGCTGCACACCCTACAGCCGGTCTTGCCTTCTAAACCTACTACCATATATCTAGTCAAGATGTTTCAAGTTTATTTGACATAAATATGCAAATTGCCATGCTTATCGCAGAGCTCCAGATAAGATTTAGCTCATGTGGGTACTGTACCCACTGTATTTTTTTGGAGTGGGCATTATGAATGTTGAGTGGGTATTTCATTTTCCGTTACCCACTGGTTTCAAATATGTGTGTATTTCAGTCACTTTACTCACCTAAGTATTAGTCATTGGGTAAGTTTACTAAGCAGGTATGTTCTGCCTTATGTCATACCTAATCAAAACCAACTTAAATATAATGGAAATGATTTCATAAAAAATCACTCATCCTATACTGACAGTATAACACTTGTCCTATGCTAACAGTACAACTTGATAGCAATTGATGTCTTTTCCATTATGCAAGCGATTTTTATAAATATATTCCATACGCATTTGTTTTAAACTTTTTGCGTATCTAACATTTTAAATGCGTAATTGGTACGCAACAATTATTTTTCAATACGTAATTCTATGCGTGTTTTATCCGGATACGCAGCTTATCTGGGCCTCTGCTTAATCGTGATCTATATATAATAATACTTCTTGTATCTTGAGAGCCAGTGGGGTAGCCTAGTGGTTAAACATTGCTCGACATGCCAAAGACCCGGGTTCGAATCCCCACATGGGTACAATATGTGAAGACCATTTCTGGTGTCCCCCGCATTGATATTGCTGGAATATTGCTAAAAGTGGCGTAAAACTAAACTCACCCACTCACTCACTCGTGTATCTTGACCTCACTGTGTCGTTTCACCCCTACATGTTGACGAAATACATATCAATATTGACATAATGTATTCCGTGATAACATCGGGTATATGTCAGTATTGGCAAGTTAAAATGTCTGTTCACAGACTATTCCAAAACAAACATTGCATAAATTGATGGCATTCTGCAGACAACAAATTGTTGCAATTCCATAACACAATAGGCTGCCAAAGTGAATCTCTTCTCATGGAATCAGTAGACAGTCTCTATTCACCATGAATTGGCCGATGTAATCGAGTGCCTTACTGCTCTGTACCACCCTGTGTCCTCAAATACAGGGATTTATTCCATGGTGTTCCTGGATGTTCCTAGATGTTCCTGGACTTGCTTTGATGTTCCAGGGGTTTGTCAAATACCGCTGAACACCCAGACCAGTTTTTTAAAGTTTCGTATTGCAGTGATTGTACTGAAAAAATAAAATTTGTCAGATATTTGCTCCATAAAGGCTTAAAAAAATACAGGCTTCAAATTTCTGGCAATGATTTGATTGTAATTAATTCCTGAAGCAGGTTTCGGGCAATGATTCTGCTGTAGTTTGAGCATTTGAAGCAGGTAATTTCAGAAAAGTCTGAATGGAAGATTTAGGAGATCTATTGATCCTTTCAACTGAAAAATCTGCTGTGAAACAGCAAAACTATTGTACATATACCGTATTCATTCTGATCCACTTTGTGTAATATAGTGTTTGCTAGGCGCCATATAGCTGGAAAATTACTGGGTGCCGTGTAAAACTAAACTCACTCACTCACTTGAGTGGCTATATCAATGATATCTCTATGATGGCTGACATAGATGGAGCCATTTTGATGTTAGAATCATATTTGTTATTTTAAGCACCCAAATCTTTAAGTAATCTTATTGCCAGATACTGTTACTGGAAGTTTTCATGACATCTGTATTTACATGTGCATGTCATAGAGTTATTTGGAATGGTGGGGTAGCCTAGTGGTTAAAGCGTTCGCTCGTCACACCGAAGCCAAGGGTTCGATTCCCCACATGGGTACAATGTGTGAAGCCCATTTCTGGTGTACCCCGCTGTCAAATTGCTGGTAAAAGCAGCATATATTTTGTCCAAAGTTGGCACATACTCAACACAAATCTCTTTGCCAGTTTTCTATTGTCTGCTCAACCTGTTGGTTTTATTTATCAGTGCCAATGTATTTATCTTATCTTCATAATCACTTTACCTTATATATATTTTGTCCAAAGTTGGCAAATAGTCTACACAAATCTTTGTGCCAGTTTTCTATGATCTGCTGAACCATTGTGTATCATGTAGTGTGAGCAAAACCTGGGATACTTCAAAGAAATTCACTTCTTCCAGAAAAAGTTGAAAATGTAACTTTTCTTCAGGTTTTATGAAAATAAGATTCTTGTTATGCTGAGTTCCTGAAACAACAGTGAAAAACTGAAAAAACAGCCTCTTTTCTGAGGACAGAATTGTTTGTCTTGAAGCAGTGTCTGAAGAAATATCCTCTTGCTAACGAAATTCACAGGTCCCTTTTATATTGATAGTCAATCTCAGATCTACTGCTGGGGCTGACTAAAATGATTGATAATCGGAAATATCGTCGATAGGAAAGATTATTAATTATTATAGATATGAAAATTATGTTATCGATAATGTAATATTCTCACACAATACACAAATTTAGGGCTTTAATAGTGGTCTGCTTCTAATTTATGGTCAGGATGCTGTTTTGTTAATAGTCTTGCAAAAACATGGCATCACTCACGGTGATGAGAAATATATTCTCTTTCAGACATTTTTGTCATTTTTGTTCAAAGTGACATTTCCGAAATCTATATTAATTTCATTTCTATATATATATACTACTCACACTTTGCTAAGGATAAAAAAAATCACAACTTTACTCAAACGTAGATTCATCATTTGAAACTGTATGTATTTAAAACTGGATTAATTATAATATGGTCGCCCCTCTTCGGGGTGAGTTTAGTTTTATGCCGCACTCAGCAATATTCCAGCTTTATGGTGGTCTTTAGGCAAACAGTCACTTGAATGTAACCTTATGCACCTGATACATGAGTAACCATAAAAATGGTTTTCCTGGCACCAATCAACCATTTTGCATATCAAGGAACGAGTCTTTGACAAGTACACAACACCTGTCAAGAACAGGTATGGGATCCACAAGATGAAACCTGGGATCCATGCTTAAAAATAAGCTTAGATATTTAAACCAAATTTGACCCCACATCATAGTTTTCTGTTGAATCCATGATTTGATCCTTAGCAAAGTGTGAACAGTATAGACAGGCAGCCTAATCTACTGCAGATAAATCTACTGTTGAAACCCTGCCACAGATCTGAATCCGTGTGATCTATAGATGCTCAGCTGTTGCCTATGCTGAGACACCTTACACTGTCTACGCTAACACACTTTACACTGTCTACGCTAACACACTTTACACTGTCTACGCTAACACACTTTACACTGTCTACGCTAACACACTTTACACTGTCTACGCTAACACACTTTACACTGTCTACGCTAACACACTTTACACTGTCTACGCTAACACACTTTACACTTTACACTGTCTACGCTAACACACTTTACACTGTCTACGCTAACACACTTTACACTGTCTACGCTAACACAGAAATAATCTGTATCAGGAACTGAGATATTCCTGAATACATGACAAGTTTTTATGGATAACACTGTGTATTCTAAACATGACGTTTGAGAGCTAAGAAAATCAACATTTATAAATGTCAACTTCTTTATTGTGAATAGCACAATGTTTCGGAGTGTATCCTTGCTCCTTCATCAGGTGATCACGAGCAAGTGTCGTGTTATTCACAATAAATAGGTTGACATCCATAAATCTTGCCTTTCTTATGCATTCCACTTCTGAATGCACTTCAGAGATTTGTTTCAGAGCTATTTCTTGCACTTCATCAGATTATGTAAAGAATAAAAGAAGTTATCTATAAAAACGTGTCATGTATTCACGTTTGTTAACTTCTAAATGCATTTCAAGAACTTATGATATTCCTATCAACAATTTACCAGTATATGTTTCTGCAATGAATTGTTTATAATGTATTATCAATGTTGTTTATATAATATATTGGCCCTGTTGTTGATTTGTTTGGTATGTTAGAGAAAGCATTGCACATACAGCTTGTGACTAATGTCTGGTTTGATTTCAGTTTAATGCAATTTTCATAGACTGACTTTTAATTGCAAAAAGTGCAGACTGTTTTCGGGTATACAATAACAAACAAATTGATTTCTTTGCATAATATAATTTATTTCCTCTAAATGATGGAAGGTTGGCAGTTGTCAGCAAAAATGTTAATGCTGTGTCGGTGAAGAATTAGTTGTAACGGTAGCTGAAGCAAGTAGGTGTAGCATGCTGGTTAATGGACGACAATGTCCGAAGATATCAGGTAATGGTAAACTGACCTGTTGGCAATGAGCAATCTGAGCAATCTCATATTATTCAGAACCACTGGTACCACTCTTCATGAAGATTCACAAGCCCGAGCCAGGGGTGGAAATAACCCATTGCCCGACGCCCGTGTCCAGTGTTTTTTTCTGTCGGGCAAGGAAACTTGTATATCACACTGTACGGGTGTCCAGTTGATATTGCAATGTTAATTATGTTGTTTATTTGAAAAATGAACACGAAAACAGACAGTTTAGTGGAAAAATTATCAGGACAAGTGATTTTACATGTGCCACTGTACCTGAGTACACTAGCAATTTTAAAGTTATTTTTACCCCTTCCAAGCATAAGGTTTCCTATATTTTTCTTTCATTCACGGGTTTTCGTATCAAGGTTTCAGAGCAGAAGATCAAATTTCAGTCATATCATTAATGGAAAGTTCTGAATGGAAATAAAAAAGGCCACATAATTGTGTTGTGGATATTGTATAAATGCTGTTGTTTCTGAGGGGCCGTGCTTCTGCACCCAAAATTGAATATCATTGAAAATATATTTGTAATCTCTTTTCTTTTATAGGTGAGAATTGTTTAATTAAGGTGCTGAAGTGAAGTTATTATAACTCTTTCATTTAAATTGTCCAAAGTCTGATCAAATGTCCTGTGAAGGGTCTGTCTGAGCTCTGACATCCTGAAAAGTGTCGAGAATTTCTGTGCAGGGGTTTTCTGAGCTCAGATGTCCTTCTCCAGGTTTGTCTGATATTCATGCAGAGAGGTATCGTATAGGACTATACGACTGTGATGTGAGATTGTTGAGAAGTGCTTATGATGTTAGGATTGTTTGTGAATACGTCCCCTATATATTGTGGTATATTATCTGTTTTCTTGTACATACTCTTGACATGTTTCGCATTGGTCTGTTTCGCTGGCCTGTCACATCAATACTGTATGCTGACAATATCACTTCACTGCTCTCAACATGAAGCGATGGAGCATCATCATGTCCAATATTTGTTGAATATTCAGACGAGCAAATTAGCCTAGCTGCTCCTGTAGCAGGTAACTTGAAAAACATCACCACTGAAAGTCTTTTATAATGTGTTTTTCTCTTTCTGACAAGGACTAAACTGTAAATGTTTAAAGAGGAATACTTTTTTATTAATAGATAACTTCTGTACTGCAATAGATGCGACGTTCCGGTGTACATCCTAACACCGTTATCAAGCAAATGATGTTAGGATCTACACCGAAACACAGCATCTGTTACCATGGTTACCATGGTTACCATAAAGAAGCGGTCTATCCTTAAAAACGTGTTCATCTTCATCATACTAGCTTCTAAATGCCACTTAAGTAAGATGTAAATGTTTTCATAATTACAAATTGGAATAATAATTTTGTAATTTAAAAAATTGAAAATAGAAAATTTTTAAAACGTGATGGAAGATGATAGAAATAATTTTTGGGATGGGTGGAGATGATCTTTAAATTCTATAAATTTTTAAAAATCGTTTAATTTTTAAGTGTAAGAAAAATAATTGTTTTATTGTCACGTGGATTGCAATTCTCTTCAGTGTATTGACACTGTGACCTTGACACCATGATTTGCATCAGTATACCTCCGTATCATGTTTTTCTTATGTGTAAACATGTTCTTTATACTGTCGTCTTTTTGCTGCAGGTTGCTTTTGTTTTTTATTAATTGTTGTCCAGCAGGTTTCTTTTATATTGCTGTCCACTCACTTTGTGTTATAGAATTTATATTTTGAGATCTGAACTGAAACATGTCACCACCTGCTTCTTTTAAACTGAAAAGTTTTGCAGTTATCATCTTTGATATTTACAAACTGTACTGCTTACTCCACAACTAATCACAGTGCACCGCGGTAGCCAAGTGGCTGAAGGGTCTCCTTGTTATGCTGAAGACCTGGGTGGCTGAAGGGTCTCCTTGTTATGCTGAAGACCTGGGTTTGATTTTCTGCTGAAACCTCCAACAAATCCATGTTATCACTTAGAATCCCTAAGCAATGATGCAAACTACTGAATGATCTGGAATAAAACAACATACTTTTTCTTTAAATTGAGACATTTCCAGTCAGGATTTATATTCTACAAAATACTGAGACAAACCAAACTTTTCTTAACGTATGTTATATTTGGGATTACACTTTCTTAGTATATATTTCCCAAATATAACAGATGCTACATTTGACCACTTTCTTAATGGCATTGTGTATCCAAACTGTTCGGGCTAGGGGTAGCCTAGTGGTTAAAGCGTTGGCTCGTCATGCCCAAGACCCTGGTTCGAATCCCTACATGGGTACAATGTGCAAAGCCCATTTCTGGTGTCCCCCGCCGTGATGTTGCTGGAATATTGCTAAAAGCGGCGTAAAAACCAAAGTCAGTCAATCCAAACCTTTCTTGTATCACTCTCAAATGATATCCAAATGGTTTTTTCTCATGGTACTTTCAAATTGAAATCTGTACACCCAATTCAGTGTTATCCAATAATTAATAAGAAGTGTTATACAGTTAACAGTTTATATATTCAAACAGACAAGGTTTACAACTCAAAACAAATTACATTTGAAGTACTTAAAGAAACAGTATTAGATTGACAGTGGGGGCAGAAGGGTAGCCTAGTGGTTAAGGCGTTCGCTCATGTGGAAGACCTGGGTTCGATTCCTTACAATATGTGAAGCCCATTTCTGGTGTCCCCCGCCGTGATGTTGCTGGAATATTGCTAAAATCGGCGTAAAACCAAACTCACTCACTCACTCTGCAATAGCTGGAATATTGTTAACTGTGGCACAAAACAATATTCAATCTCAAAGTTTATCATGGTTTGACAAAAACGCTGGTCTGAAGGATCGATACCAGTAAACATTTAACAGACCGACAGTTCCGTGACAATGGTCATCCACCTATGAATTTTTAGTCTTTGAACAAAGGGGCAGTTGGGTTGCCTAGAGGTTAAAGCGTTCATTCGTCACGCCAAAGACCCGGGTTTGATTCCACCTACACAATTTTCTCTTAAATATTTTTATAATTTGAATAAAAATTGTGAAATTGTTCAGAACAGATGTTTGTAGATTTATATATATTTTTTAATTTTCAGATATGCATTTTTTGTATTCCACTGGTTGGCTAGAAATGTGAGAGAGTAATTGGAGAACCACTGGGAAATTCTAATCCTTTTCCATTTCGATTGAGTATTGCCAAGTCTACAACCTATAACTGCGAAATATTCTCATGGTCATTTTGACGAATTGTCATATCTTCCTCTTGAACTCTAGTGACTCTTTTTATATGTAGCGCGCTTTGAGCATGGTCTGGATGGACTATGGCGCATAAGAAATATCCATTTATTTTTATTATTATTATTATTATTTTAGCAGACCATCTTTGACAATCTGTGGTGATTTATTTAAGGTGGTAGCTATGTTCTGAGATTGGTATTGGTTACTCTGCTTAATAAGCCAAATTAAATGTATATTGTAAAGATTCACATTTATGTAACATATTTTTAAAATGCCTATTTAAAGTAGAATTGTATTAATTTGAACTGCAGCTTCTTTCTCCGGATTGTTAGATGTTAATTCTCAATCAAAGGTGCTTGGTCATTTGTAATGCTTTGATCTGGCTTGGTGTGCGACACAGGTGTTTTGTGACACAGGTATTATGCGACACAGGTGTGTTAATGAACATGTCTTTATGAGGTTGTGTACAGATCGCTTACTACATGTATAAACAGTTCTCCATATGTATACATCCAGAGATATTTTCTTTGAAGTTTCATCTATGCATATTATTTAGAGAGTGTTTCTGTTTTTTATTGTAGTTTCGAGTTGTCACCAGTCACATCATATATTCATACCTTGATACCCAGGGTGATTTTAGCAGTCTTGGCCAGGTGGTACCGGTGTCCGCTTGGTTGAAATATGGTCCGAGTTTGAATCTGAAGTCTGTATTAAGACACAGTGCCATAATGGTCAAATCATCTAACATGGTGGCATGATTTCCCTCCTGATATTGTGAACTATTTAACAGATATGTTGGTGTACTAATATTACTGTTTTTTCTGTTCGATATTAAGGCACCCTGGGTATCCTTGGTTGAAGACTTTTGAGTTTTGTTTGATCAACATGCATCTGTCTTGTTCCTTTTTTATATTAAACCACTCATGTATCCTTTATAGAAATAAAGCCTTACAACAAAAACTAGTGTCGTTAGCTTAACATCAATTCTTAACTTGTACAGTAAATGTTTTTGACTAACAATAGCTTCTGACGAAGTGATGGATGCATTACACGGACTTTCTTTGTCTCAGCCACTTGCTTTATATTCTAGGTTAACTTTGATTATAGCTAAAATGGATGAATTATCATGAAACCCTCTAGTTTTTAGAAATTATAATGGCCTGCTGATTTCTTAACGAGGGACCATTATCAGTTCTGTTGTCAAATGATATCACAGCTAGTGATGTCACGATCCATAATGACGTCATAAATCTTGTTCCATGACCTAACAGTGTTGGTCAACAGTCCGTTGCGAGTCATTTGAAGTAAACTTACAATTAAATTAATGATACTGTTTTGTCTTTTTTTTACACAAATTCCATCCATTTTAGCTACAATAGCGGTAACGCTGTTTTGCAGGGCATTATCACTTGCAGAAGCCCACGGTCCAGTTAACTGAGGTCCTACGGCTTCTGCAAATGATAATGCTCTGAAAAACAGCATTACCCGTATATTATAATGAACTTAAATTTAGTCGTACCGTTGAGCTTACTAAAACTGATACCAGTGAAAGGCTCGTGTTAGAATTGGTCTTCAGCAACCATTGTTTATCGGGATTGGGTGGTAAGACTCGCTGAGTTGGTTGACAAATGTCATCATATCCCAATTGAGTAAGTCGGTGCCCATGCTGTTGATCACTGGATTGTCTGGTCCAGAGTAGATTTTGTACAGACCGCCGGCATATAGCTGGAATATCACTGAGTGTGGCGTTATACAACAAGCAAACTATAACTGAAGTGTAGTGTATAAAGATTGTGTGGATGCATGACACATTAGAGACATTTTGTGTCTAATTCTTCAGTTCTATTAAACCACCTCCATGGTGTAGTGGTTAGAGCGTCTGCCCAGACAGTGGAAGGACGTGGTTCGATCCCCAGCCGCGTCATATCAAAAGATGTTATAATATGGTACTTGTTGGTCCCTGCCTGGCCCTCGGCATTAATGGGTACAACAAGGACTGGTCGGCTCGGAGTCAGTTTAATGTGTCTGAGTGGGGTATTTAACGCATGCACGTCATCATAAGAGCGAAATGTTCTGAAGCTGTTACACCCATTTCATCAGACATCACACGTGATCGAGATAGTATGAGCTGCATTAAATGATGGTTGTGTAACCGTGTTTGGCAGCTTGACTCCTGAGAGTTTAAAGGACTTTAGTCCTGCCCCACAACAAAGCACATGTGATCCCACCTTAGGCAAGTGAGTTTGTTCAAAGTTACATTTGTTCACCCAGCAGGAAATGGGTACCCGGTGGAATAAGTCATGTGCCCTAACCTTCTAGCACCTCACAGGCAGCTTGGGTTATCCGGGGTAATAATACCAGTGGACTTTGTTAGCTTAATGAGCATTCACATAGTGAATGGAGTTTAGTGCATTTTAAACGCACTTACTATTATCATATAGATGTAAGACCCGTGAAGATCTGGGTTAGAAGATCTGCTTGTGACTAATGGGATCGGGTAGTAAGATTCGCAGACTTGGTTGACACGTCATCGTATCCCGACTGCGTGGATTCAATGCGCATGCTGTTGATCCCAATGTTTACAGACTGCCGCCATATTGCTGGAACATGGCTGAGTGTGACACTAAACAACCAACAAAATCCTAGATTTAATAATAATAGTTTGCAACCACGCTTGTAAAACAATATGTACAGTAAGAGTGAGCTGTTTATGAGTCATAGAACTGAATGAAAAGGTGCGTTTTGAGATAACTTTCGAAGGAGTCAGGAGTTGGTGCTAGCTTCAGGTCAAAGGGTAAAGAGTTCCACAAGACCGCAGAAGTGTGTGAGAAGGATCTGTGACCGAAGGTCTTAAGCTTGTAGCAGGGCTCGATTTAGTGCTTTGTTAACTGGTGCAACCCAATATTACAAAGTGCAACCTAGTTATTAGTCTAACTTGCACCAGGTGCAAGTCAAGTTTGCGACTTAAGCTGGAAAACAGAATGATGAGGAACTGACTTGGAAGAGTGACTCTGATGACTGTATGAGCAGTGACTGAAGGACTTACTGTTCAGGACATTTTAGGACGTAAGATAACTAATGTTATCAGTCCCAGATTTCTTTTGTTATAATGTTCTAAACTATCATCACCAAAACTCAAGCATCATATTTTATACAAGATTTTATATTGAGCAGCAGGTGCAACCTGTTTTTGTCTGATGCAACAAGGTTTCTACCTAAGGTTGCACCGGGTGCAAGTAGGTTATATTTTTTTAAATCGAGCCCTGTTGTAGGTGAAGCGCAGTTCACAGGCTGGAACATACTGAGTTATGAGTTCAGATATGTAAGGAGGAGACTGACCATGAAGTGATGTATAAGTGAGACAAAGATTTAAGCAATAACAAGTTACTGTTGTTTGTTACAACAAAACCAAGACTTGAAAATAGTAAAATTTATTTTACCATGTCCTATACAAAACTATATACACCAGGGTGCAGGTTCAACAATGAACCATTACAGGATGATAATATGAAATGTTTCCATGACAACACCCTCTTGGAGACGGTTGTCATGGTTACAACATCTTGGAGGCTTTACTCAAACAGATTGCATAAATAGGTCGACATGATGTACAGAGAATAAAACCAGATTCATGTACAAAGTGAGTTAAATATTGAAACATGTTTAACAAGATACATGATATCCCATGAAAATGGTGAAAAAATGTCTTAATGCCACATAATTTGCTGGAGATGATGGATGCAACTTAGTAATCAAAGTTTAATGATTGGCAGGTTTGCAGTTTACTGGATGCAGATTACATTGGTTGTTGTCTCAGTCTTTCCACTGATCACAACAGCTTCTCCAATCCCAAGGGTTAGTTGTGTTAGGTTAGGTTACCCCAAACACTTTCCTTTGCCTTTTATCTGTAAAAGCACTGTTCATGACCATAAGTCTAGATACCTTCTTCTGTCATCACTTCACATTTCCTCAGCCTTAGGGATTCCTTTATGATCATTAATGCTAGGTAGCCCTTTATGATCCTTAGGGATAGGTAACTTTTTATGATCCTTAGGGATAGGTAACTCTTTATGATCCTTAGGGATAGGTAACTCTTTATGATCCTTAGGGATAGGTAGCCCTTTATGATCCTTAGGGATAGGTAGCCCTTTATGATCCTTAGGGATAGGTAACTCTTTATGATCCTTAGGGATAGGTAGTTCTTTATGATCCTTTGGGATAGGTAACTCTTTATGATCCTTTGGGATAGGTAACTCTTTATGATCCTTTGGGATAGGTAACTCTTTATGATCCTTAGGGATAGGTAACTCTTTGGATAGGTAGCTCTTTATGATCCTTACTGTTTGGTTGCCCAGTAAAGTTCAATTACTCCCGACATGCCACCATTTGAAGAGACAGACACCATAAATTAAATGGCTCCTGTTCCTGAAAGCCATCTTGAGTGCTGAAGTTACGATTAGTTAAATGATACTCTGACATTTTCTACAAGTTAAATTCATCCAGTCCACAGCTTATTTCAGGACAAATGGTTTAAGCACAATAACTAAATTTGGGAGGCAAAGAAGCAGTTGTGTGGTCTTATCTAACCCTGCAACAACGTAAATCTAGCTCTGTGTCATACACAAAGGGATTCCTTGAGATCTGCTTCTGTAGTGTTTGAACTCTGACCCCACAAGTATTTCGGTGTTAGTAAGTCTGTTGGCAAGAAACCTCTAGGCTGGATAACATGGGGACTCTGAAAGTCAATAATGTTCCTATTTCTTATTGAGTACACACACATTCTTTCTGACTTCTATACGCTCAGCTAAACATAAGGCTTCTGTCAGATTCAGTGTATCAATGATCAAATTGTTTATATATACATCCAACTACCTCTTGCCATGAATCCAGCAAAACAATTCCTCACTGGACGTTCTGTACCCAACCCTTGAGAACTACAGCTGGTACCTGGAAGGATGGGGTAACATGGGCTGGGTACCCGGTAGGTAAAATGGACTCCCAGCCCTAAACCCTTGTGTCCATGCAAAATTTTAATCACTGGATTCCACAGCCAAATTTCTGTGGACGACACATGAAATGCTTGAGAGGAGCAATAAGGAGAATGTTTTGACCGAGGATGCTGGTTGCTAGGTAACACCAGGTAAAGCCTCAAAGAGGATGAAACAATGATGGGTGAGGAATTCTTCGATGTTCATTCCCCTGAGGATTTCTCGGGTGTTTTGACAATTTCATTGAGCTTCTTCTTGTATCCCTCAGCCTCCTCCTGTTTCTGCTGCAGTTGGCGCTTGTATTCATCGGCCTGTTTCTGAACTTCCTCCAGCTGCTTCCGGAGCCTGTCCTGGCCGGGATCGTTCTCATCAGCCTGTAACCATAGCAACAATGTCATCAAAATCTGATTTTACTCTGACATGATACCTCTTTGTGTGAACATCTGACAACCAAATCAATCATGTCAGGCGAACCCTGAGTAAAGTCTGATTGCCAAATCTATACAGGGGATACTGATATTCTTTTGAAATGATCAGGGGCGGTGGGGTAGCCTAGTGGTTAAAGCGTTGGCTCGTCACGCCGAAGACCCGGGTTCGAATCCCCACATGGGTACAATGTGTGAAGCCCATTTCTGGTGTCCCCCCTGTCGTGATGTTGCTGGAATATTGCTAAAAGAGGCGTAAAACCAAACTCAGTCAGTCAGTTGAAATGATCAAAATTCATTTCCTTACAACCTTGATTCTTTATTTCAATTTTATGAAAAGAAAACCCACACTCACAGAACACAAATATTCCTTTGATGGGTGCAAATCGGACACACGCAAGTGCATACAATTTGGACTGACTGAGTGAGTTTGGTTTTTACACCGCTTTTAGCAATATTCCAGCAACAAGACGGCGGGGGACACCAGAAACGGGCTTCACACGTTGTAACCATGTGGGGATTTGAACCCGGGTCTACGGCGTGACGAGCCAACACTTTAACCACTAGGCATACAATTTGGAAGTCTTGCTGATTGTTCATTAGAAAGTTTATCTGGCAGATCTTCATGTGAACTATCTAACATAAAGATCCTTAGAATTGCCACAAACACCAGCCCCTAAATTGTCAAATCATACCCAAGGGAACCTGTGTCACTCTGTGGGATTATAATGGCCTACACTGAATTGAAAACAACAGAGCGTGCCAGCTATCATTGCTAAATTTTCTTATCCAATATAATCTTATCAGATATGTATATTTGGAATCGATAGCGAAACAAAGCATCACACTATAATAAAGAAGTTGTCATCCACCAAGATTCCTGCCTTTCTTATTACTCATAAACCTCTCAAATAGCCAATTAAACAGACAAAGTAGGTAACCATGGAAATAAACAATCCAGTCAAAGTCAGATCTTATTCCAATACATATGTGTGTGGAGATCTGACAAACTCTCCATTAAGAGCGGAGTTGAACCCTCAGTAAACTCTGATCATCTAATAAAATGAAGCTTTCGCGGGTTCTTGAACTAATTATATTACTACAGGGCTACAGATATGGGGCGTACAGGCGTAATTTACGCCTCAAAATCAATTAAGTACGACATAATATAAGATTTCAAGCTTATCATGTACGCACATAAATACCTTTGTACGTCTAACATTTAATTTCTGTGCGTATCGTGCAAATGGAAATCTATTTCGGATAAATACTCGTCAAGTTTCTTTTGCAAAACACGATTTGACACATGAGGAAACCCCGACAGTAGGAATCACTTGCGTTGTCATGCAACGATATGCGTCACGATTTTTCGATTGGCTAAAAACTACACTGTTCATATTTATATCCAGTCGGACCTGACATTTCGAGCATCACACAGTCGCTCAGTTATTTCTCACGTGTCTTCAAATACAAATACATGGTTGGAAATAGTGATCGATGAATCGTCCAGACAAACCACATTACCAACTCGCTCACACAAAAACATGTCCGTACTCCTTCAAAATTCTCAGTAATATGATGTGTAAGTAAACTCGCACCCCCAAAAGTTATCTGGAGCCCTGTACTATACTCATTCTTACATCCTCAGCCATAACTAATGGTGTTTCCTCCGTGTGTAGACCATCTGCTTCTGCCAGAGCTACCTCCTCCAGGATTACCTCCCCTTGACCATCTTCAGTTTTGATTTTCTTCAGCAGCGGCTCTGTTATTTCTGTCTCCTCAACTGAAAGGAAACAAGGGAGGTAACTGTCTGCAGACATCACTATAACCCATGTCGAAGCAGTACAAAGCATGGGCACATAATGAGCTTTGTTTTACGCTGCTCTTCTCAATATTCCAGCAACATCACAGCGGGGCCCACCAGAAATGGTCTTCACACATTGTACCCCAAATGGGGAATCGAGTGAGTGAGTGAGTGAGTTTAGTTTTACGCCGCACTCAGCAATATTCCAGCTATACGGCGGCGGTCTGTAAATAATCGAGTCTGGACTAGACAATCCAGTGATCAACAGCATGAGCATCGATCTGCTCAATTGGGAACCGATGACGTGTCAACCAAGTCAGCGAGCCTGACCACCCGATCCCGTTAGTCGCCTCTTACGACAAGCATAGTCGCCTTTTACGACAAGCATGGGTTACTGGAGACCAATTCTAACCCGGGACCTTCACGGGTCAAATGGGGAATCGAACCCAGGCCTTCAGCGTGATGAGCGAATGCTTTAACCACTAGGCTACCCCACTGCCCCATAGCTAGAAGATGTCCTGTGGGGAATCAAACCCAGTTTTTCAGCTTGACGAGACAACGCATGGACACATACATTATGGAGTATTGCACAATATTTATTGGCCTTAAAGCAGTCAGGGGTCATTTAACTGAAATGTATCCTGATATATACTAGGCACATGAAGAAACTGTGCATACAAAAATGTATAATCTAAATTTATCAAACCTGTGTAGACACATAAGGATTTAGACTCAGAGATTAGTGACATGTATCCAACATGCATGCACGTGCCACGTTCCGTGACGTCAGTGGGTTCGGTTCGTCCTTGAGATGTGCAATACGTTGTTGCACGTGCATTCCGGGAAAGAGAAACAGAGCAAATGAATGCCACACAATACTGTCACTTTGGAAAGCTCAACCCCTGCCCTTGCGATCGTTCAAAAAATTAAACGGCTATTGAAACGCATAGCATGCCAAGGCTCACATCTGCACAACATCATGAGGCCATTGGGGTGGTCTGTGGGGAAATGTCTCAACGACAAGTGGCTGCACATTTCCACTGCCACCGGAACACCATTTCTGTACTGGTGAGACGCTTCCAGAACACAAATGACGTCATCGATCGGCCACGTTCTGGACGTCCACGTGGAACAACGCCAAGACAGAACAGATGGATAAGGGTGACCCATCTTCGCCACAGGTTTCAGACTGCAGTGATGACTGCCCGAACCATCACAGGACTTCGCCGTATCCACCTCAACACAGTTCGACAACGTTTACGTTATCATGGGATCAGACCACGACATCCCGCCATACGGCCTATCCTGACACAAAGTCATCGACAAGCTCGCCGAATGTGGTGCCGAAATAATGTCCGCAGACCCTTGTTTTGGTGGAGAAATGTTGTTTTTACAGATGAGTCAAGGTTTAACATTTCCCATAGTGATGGACGTCAACATGCCTATAGACGCGTGGGAGAACGTTATGCACAGGCCTGTGTCTTGGAGAGGAATCGCTTTGGTGGTGGTTCCGTGATGATTTGGGGTGGAATAACAGCACGCCAAAGAACTCCTTTGGTGATTGTTCAGGGCAACTTAACTGGTGTGGGCTACAGGGATCAGATTCTTCGACCTGTGGCAATTCCTTTTCTGCAGGGGGGGTGGGGTAGCCTAGTGGTTAAAGCGTTGGCTCGTCACGCCGATGACCCGGGTTCGAATCCCCACATGGGTACATTGTGTGAAGCCCATTTCTGGTGTCCCCCGCCGTGATGTTGCTGGAATACTCAGTCAGTCCTTTTCTGCAACGTCATGGCCCTGGGTTAACATTCCAACAGGACAATGCCCGGCCTCATACGGCAAGGGTTGCTATGGATTTCTTGCAACACCACAACGTTGACTTACTGCCTTGGCCTGCAAATTCACCGGATCTCTCCCCGATAGAGCATGTTTGGGACGAGATGGATCGACGTCTACGCCCTCTTCCTCATCCGCCAGATAAAGTCCTTGACCTTGCAACAGAACTGGAGAGAATCTGGCGTAACATCCCACAAGCCTTCCTTGCACGTTTGATAGGCTCTATGCGTCATCGATGCACTGCTGTTCTCAATGCCGATGGTGGACATACCCGTTATTGAGCTTGTGACATGGTCGTTTGACCCCTGTCCCGCTTGTGGACTCGTGACGTCATTGTGATTGACTTTTCAATTGAAATTCTCCCGACTTGTTATGGTCTCATGATCCCTGCATTTCAGTTTATCTGTACCTTTGACATTGTCATCGTACTTATCAACTGGGATAATATTTTGACAATGCACAGTTTCTTTATGTGGCTAGTATAAATCAGGTCAGAGATTCTAATAGTATTTAATGGGTGGTTAGGTAGCCAAGTGGTTAAAGCGTTCGCTCATCATGTAGATGACCCAGGGTCAATCTCCCATCCCGACCCAACGTGCACAAATATGAAGTCTCTAATTGATATTATTTCAACCTAGTTTGTAGTTTTTGTGATATAAACACAGTCAGACAGAGGTAAATAATATAAGCGCAAGTTAACGAAGTTCCTGATGATCAACACAAGGACGTTGATAACTGTGTGTGTCACACAAAGGGATGTAATATGTTGTGTGAGTCTTTATACAAATGCATGGTTTTATGTTTTGTTGTTATTTGATGTCCTGATTTTGTACCTAAACAAAAATGAATAAAAATATTTAAAAAAAACAAACGTTTTTTTGAGTGAGAGGAGTTTGCTGATCCTTTCGCATTATATAAACGTATGCAACCTGTATGAATTGGAAAGAGCACTGTCTACATCATGCTGGACACCTGTGTATTTAACATCATAATTGCAAGTCCTTATACCCGTGAAGATGCCTGTTAGAATTGGGATTCAGGAACCCATGCTTGTCGTTAGACGCGACTAACGAGTTTGGGTGGCCAGGCTCGCTGACTTGGTTGACACATGTCATCGTATCCCAATTGCATAGACTGACTGACTGAGTTTGGTTTTACGCCGCTTTTAGCAATATTCCAGCAACATCACAGCAGGGGACACCAGAACTGGGATTCACACATTGTACCCATCCGGGGATTCGAACCCGGGTCTTCGGTGTGATGAGCCAACGCTTTAACCACTAGGCTACCCACCGCCCCGCGTAGACCGATGCTCATGATGTCACTCACTGTATTATCTGGGGACAGTGGGGTAGCCTAGTGGATAAGGAGGTCTCTGGCCAGGCCAAAGATCTGGAGGGGCGGTGGGGTAGCCTAGTGGTTAAAGCGTTCGCTCGTCACGCCGAAGACCCGGTTTCGATTCCCCACATGGGTACAATGTGTGAAGCCCATTTCTGGTGTCCCCCCCCGTGATATTGCTGGAATATTGCTAAAAAGCAGCGTAAATCCATACTCACTCACTCCCAAAGACTTGGGTTCAATTCCCCACATGGGTACAATGTGTGAAGCCCATTTCTGGTGTCCCCCGCTGTGATATTGCTGGAATATTGCTAAAAAGCGGCGTAAAACCATACTCACTCACTCACTCCCAAAGACCTGGGTTCAATTCCCCACATGGGTACAATGTGTGAAGCCCATTTCTGGTGTCCCCTGCTGTGATATTGCTGGAATATTGCTAAAAGCCATGCAAAACCATACTCACTCACTGGATGATCTGGTTCACACTGGATTATTTACAGACTACTGTTATATATCTGGAATATTGCTGATTGTGACTGATTAGCAACAAGCAAACAAACTCTGTGTACATTCTGACGGTAAATATTCAAATAGGACCAGAAAAAGAAGCAGAATAGGGTCCTAAATTTGAATATTGTGTGAGAAAATTATACCTTGTTTCTGTCACAAAAGTTATAGTCCGTTTGGCTCAAAAGCGGAACGATGAATTGCAATCTAACTCTAAAACTAATAAACATAAAATACTCAATGAAACACTGATCATAATCAAAACGTCAGACCCACTCTGTGAAGCTTTTGCAGAATTTATGTCCTAAAAATAAAAAAGTTGTTTAACAAACTGTCATTAAAATATTGACACAGTTCACTATTTGTTACGAGGGAGGAGTGCAGAGAAAGGGACAGCCAGGTGTTCGAGAACGGATGGAGACGGCACAGCACAGGTTAATGAATAAATAACTTTGTCTGTGAACGGCTTCTCGAACACCTGGCTGTCCCTTTCTCTGCACTCCTTCCTCGTAACAAACAGTGAACTGTTTCAATATTTTAATGATAGTTTGTTAAACAACTTTATTATTTTTAGGACAAAAATTCTGAAAAAACCTCACAGAGTGGGTATGATGTTTTGATTATGATCAGCGTTTCATTGAGTATTTTATGTTTATTAGTTTTAGAGTTAGATTGCAATTCATCGGTCCGCTTTTGAGCCAAACGGACTATAGTTATTTAGGACTTGACATTACTGCAGATTTACCTGACTCCTCCACCATCTGCGCCTCCATGGGGATCTCTGTGGTTGTGCCGTCGGGGTTGACGGCCACCAGCACCGTGCCGCCGTTGTTGTTGGGGATCTCTGACTCTCCCTGGTTGGCCACTATTGTTATGACTTTCTGAAAGTGGAACAAACAAGATGTTCCATTCTCAATGCGCAGACATGGTAGCTGAAGAATTAGGTATGAAAAGTGATCCCATCTCCTCCAACGTGGTTGGTACATATATACAGAACAACCAGAAATTATTGAGAATTTAAGATTGTCCCATAATCGGACCACCTCTTCTTGCATTTCAGCAATATTTGTCAGATTTTTCTTATTGACACTTTCCTTCGTAAGTCCTCAAACATTTTCTGTTGGATTTAGGTCAGGGCTATAGCTTGGCCAATCTAATAATGTCATATTTTGTGTCCGAAACCAGGCCTGTGAATGCTTTGAACGATGTTTTGGGTCATTGTCCTGCTGGAAAATCCAAACATTTCCATTGAACACGTGAGCAGATGGAAGTAAATGTCCCTCGAGAATATCTGTGTACCGCTCACTTATTCCCTTCAAATACACAGACGGGCGTTGCCCCTAACAGATATGCCACCCCACACGTTAAATTTCGGACTGTACTTTGGGCGCTGATACAAAGGTTTTTCAGTTTGTTTGGTCCAGAATTTCAGTGTATTAGGAAATAGCCACACAGAACTTTCATTTGAGAAAATCACATTGTCCCAGTTAAAATTTCTATGCTGTAAGCACCAGTTCAACCTTCGCTCTTTTTATTCAGGTTTCATGATCGATGATGGAATTCCTCGACTTTTCTGCCAACCCATTGCATGCAGCTCAGTTCTAATTGTCTCCTTACAGACAGCCACAATTCCTCTATCAATCCTTTCCAGCCTTAAGTTTTCTAAACTCCTTCGTTAGTTTTTAGAAACAAGAATACCAAGCCGCCTCCTGTCACCGACAGTCCATTTTCTGGGCCTACCTGCGCCTCCCTGGTGCTCAATGCCATATCCATTTGCAATATTTTTCAAAACACGATAAACAGTGGACAAAGGGATGCTTGTTCTACTTGAAATCACTTAGCTGATCTGATGTCCTTGTTATAATACTCTAAAATCAACGTCCTCTTCTCTAAATCATCCATACCGAGGATCACTGAAAATGTCGTCTGCTAGCTAAACAAAGGGGGATAACTCTTCACAAACTAATGAAAAAGGATTTACGGAGTTGTCTCTCTTGAATGACTCCAACTACTTGATAGCTGGTCAAGGTTGTTTAGACTAGAAATCCGATTAAACATATTCCTAAAATTCTCAATAATTTCTGGCAATAATGTTCTTCATCCCATGGTCGGAGCTGTAACCACCTGTTCCCCTTCCTCTTATTCCTGTGTTGTCACTGGCGGTTCCCCTCAGTCCCTTGCCCTTCACTGTACACACACTTACCCTTCTTCCCCTTGTACACACCTGTTCTTCCTCCTCCCTGCACTTCATTATACACACCTGTTCTTCCTCCTCACTGCCCTTCATTGTACACACTTGTTTTCCTCCTCCCTGCCCTTTATTGTACACACCTGTTCTTCCTCCTCCCTTCCTCCCCTTGTACACACTTGTTCTTCCTCCTCCCTTCCTACCCTTATACACACCTGCTCTTCCTTCTCCCTACCCTCCATTGTACACACCTGTTCTTCCTCCTCCCTTCTTCCCCTTGTACACATGTTCTTCCTCCTCCTTCCTCCCCTTTGTTCTTCCTCCTCCCCTGCCTTCATTGTACACACCTGTTCTTCCTCCTCCTTCCTCCTACCATTTGTTCTTCCTCCACCCTTCTTCTTGTACACACCTGTTCTTCCTCCTCCCTTCTTCCCTTGTACACACCTGTTCTTCCTCCTCCCTTCTTCCCCTTGTACACACCTGTTCTTCCTCCTCCCTTCCTTCCCTTGTACACACCTGTTCTTCCTCCTCCTTCCTCCTTCCCTTGTACACACCTGTTCTCCTCCTTCCTCCTTGTACACACCTGTTCTCCTCCTCCTGCCCTTCTTCCCCTTGTACACACCTGTTCTTCCTCCTCCTCCCCTTGTACTTTCCCTGTTCTTCCTCCTCCCCTTCTTCCCTCCTTCTTTCCACACACCTGTTCTTCCTCCTCCCTCCTTCATTGTACACACCTGTTCTTCCTCCTCCTTCCCTTGTCTGTTCTTCCTCCTCCCTACCCTTCATTGTACACCTGTTCTTCCTCCTCCCTCCTTCATTGTACACACCTGTTCTTCCTCCTCCCTTCTTCCCCTTGTACACACCGGTCTTCCTCCTCCCTACCCTTCATTGTACACACCTGTTCTTCCTCCTCCCTTCTTCCCCTTGTACACACCCGTTCTTCCTCCTTCCCTACCCTTCCCCTTGTACACACACCTGTTCTTCCTCCTTCCCTACTGCCTTCCCTCCTCCTACCCTTGAACACACCTGTTCTTCCTCCTCCCTTCTTCCCCTTGTCCCACACCCATTCTTCCTCCCTCCCCACCATTGTACACACCTGTTCTTCCTTCCTTCTCCCTACCCTTCATTGTACACACCTGTTCTTCTTTACACACCCGTTCTCCTCCTACCCTTCATTGTACACACCTGTTCCTCCTATGAACACACCTGTTCTTCTTCCTACACACCTGTTCTTCCTCCTCCCTACCCTCCCCTTATACACACCTGTTCTTCTTCCTCCCTTCCTCCCCATATACATACCTGTTCTCCCTCCTCCCTTTATACACATTCATTGTACACACCGGTTCTTCCTCCCCTTGTACCCACCTGTTCTTCCTCCTCCTCAGCGCCCACCACATTCTCTATAGCACTCTCCACCTCCCCATCTTGAGACACTGTCTGAGCTAGGCCCTGCTGCCTGATCAGATTCAGTGCTATCTTGCCAGCCTCTGAAACACCAACACAAACATAGTGCTACAATCAGGACATGAAGTAGACCACATTCTCTATAGCACTCTCCACCTCCCCATCTTGAGACACATTTAAATCTGAGAATTTCATTCAACTTAGCAGGGTTTTACACAGACATTGAAAAAAGAGAGTCATGGTGACTCACAGTATTTATTTTCAATATTTGGGAGTCATGAAAATTGTAGTGTAATATTTATTTGTGTGTATCAAAAAGCAAGAGTTTTGCAAAGATTATGTTGCATTGTCATTTAAATGTTACCGGTAGTTAATAAATAGTTTATTTCACTGTTCAATTCAGTCACAACAAAATCCAGTAAACTGAACAAATAGCCATGCTTGTGATTTACTCACTGTAGCATACAGTTATTAACATGAACTAAAAGATATATCTAAATTAATGAAGGCCTCAGGTAAACTATCATTGTTTGCTTATCAAAAGAATTTTACTGAACTGAATTATGAGGGTTACTCATAAAACGTGCATCAAGCTTGACTCATAGGATAGTATTTTGAGGGTCTTTAACAAAATTGTTGCGTCAAATACGCAGGCGCCCACGCAGGCCCCCACTGCGGGTCAGAAAATCGATAAACTAGGCCCCGGTTTAGTATCAACACCCCCTACTATATAATACATAAAGGTTCATCACAGAAATACGGTGACATGATCGAAAACCGGACAATTACGCACATTTCAATGAATATATCGTATTTTAAAGGTCTCACAAGTATCAAAAGCTTTTGTCCATATCTCCGATGTATGTGGGAGGCATATACATGTGCTTTCCGTGGGGATGCATTTGATGGGTTTTATTAAATCGCCAAAGACCGAGTTGTTGTGCCGGAAGTGTACAAAACTAGGTCAAATATGCAGGAATCACGCGTCATGTATAACCCTGACTTAGGATAAAAGTTATTTAACAAATGATCATAGTTTCAAATCGCTATTATTTGTTTGTTACAAGGGGGTATGCACATTAAATGAAACACCGAGAACAAGTAGGGTTGGTCTAAGTTAACGCTCATCACGTACTGCACGTGCATTTTGTTTCTCTGTTCCAACTACTGCGCTTACCCCCTTGTAATACAAACCAGTAATAGTGATTTGAAACTATGATCATTTGTTAAACAACTTTTATCCTAAGTTGAATAAAATTCTGAGTTTTAAATGTTCAAATGGCAAGATACAATTATGAGGATTCGCAAAATTAATTTCACTTTATTTGATTTACATTTTTGTTGAAAGTGAAATTCATCGGTACGGTTTCACTGCAAACAGACTATAGGCTACCCCACAACCCCTTACCCACCTGTGAGTGAGTGAGTTTCATGCCGCTTTTACCAATATTCCAGCAATATAACCGTGGGAGACACCAGAAATGGGCTTCACACATTGGGGAATTGAAGCCTGGTCATCCACTAGGCTACCCCACCGGCCCTACCTGTGAGCGAGATGGTCTGGCCGCTCTCCACTGCGGAAGTGATGATGCCTCCGTCTGCTGTTGAGATCATTGTGATGCCTTGACTCTCCAACCAGTTCATCGCCTCCGATGAGCTGACATCTGGAACACAACGGTTCAAATCATTACACTGGTGTTCACTTCTTAAACATACATTTTAAAGGAAAATGTTTGCAATGAGAAAGGTAACAAGCCAAAGAAAAAATATTTTCTGTTGATGAATTGAACATAAGGGTTCTGAGAATCTTACAGGGGTCTTTATAAATTCATTTCAGCTTTTGGATCTTAGAACTTTTGATCACATTGTTGATACATGTAAGTAAAGGTATGGTACTGGCATACTGTATTTGAGTTATGGATCCTGGCATGATAAGGGGACACAATTCCGCAGAGTAACAGAAACTAAGCATGAGTGAGTGAGTGAGTTTAGTTCCATGCTGCTTTTAGCAATATTCCAGCAATATAACGGTGAGGGACACCCGAAATGGGCTTCACATATTCTACCCATGTTGGGAATTGAACCCAGGTCTTCAGCGTGTCGAGCGGACATTTTAACCATTAGGCTACCCCCCACCCCTCATGGCTTTTCGAGGCGGTCGGGTAGCCTAGTGGTTAAAGCATTGGCTCATCACGCCGAAGACCCGGGTTCGAATCCCCACATGGGCACAATGTGTGAAGCCCATTTCTGGTGTCCCCCGCCGTGATGTTGCTGGAATATTGCTAAAAGCGGCGTAAAACCAAACTCAGTCAGTCAGTCATGGCTTTTCACTATTTGCAGATTTCTAAAGACAGACAAGTCACATACTCAACAGATTAAGAAAAGGCAATCAATTCACATTCCATTCCACCAGACACTGATTTTGTAACTTACTGGAGCTTCATGAATTTCACAGATCAAAAAACATGCTTCAAGAACATCTCTAGCAATATTCCAGCAATATCCCAGCAGGGGACACCAGAAATGGGCATCACATATTGTACCCATGTGTGGAATCGAACCTGGGTGTTCGGCGAGACGAGCGAACGCTTTAACCACTAGGCTACCCCACCGCCCCAGCAAAGGCATGAGTTCTCAGTGGCTAGAGCAAGTGATTACTCTCGGAAATCATTACAGAAATATACTAACTGTTGTTATAGTTACGCAATCTCTGGTAAGTTCTAGTGGTGGTCCGATTAATTGAAATAATAGAAGATTGGTCGCAGTGACTAAACGACCAAGCAATCGATCATGTTTTCTCATAATCGAACACCAACAATTCTGGAACACTTGTTTCCATCAACAATATTTTTCACAAGGTTGGTTTTGTCTGTTACATTTCATTAGCACTACAAGCTCGTTCCAAGTCATGATTGAATTAATCTTAAAGACACCAAGAAATTTATGTTCCTAACATACTAGTCATCCTTTAAAGATGTGAAATTTTGCCAAAAAAACCCCCCAAATAACGGGGTTTTTTCCGGGATTTTTGTGCATTAACAAATTTCATAAATGATGCTAACCAATTATTTTTGATGATTGATCGGTGGTTATGAACCAATCATCAATTATGAGATTATACTCATTTACTAGTAAGTTCATGTGTTGACATGGCTACAAGAGTGACAATTGTCAGTGATGAGTTGGTTTGTCATTATTGTTTTACTTGTTCCATCAGGGTCTGATCGCATTGATCAAACAATTTTTTCAACATACATACTATGTCCACAATCAGGGGTTCAATTATTTTTTTTAAAGTCACTTGCCACAGGACAAGTGACTTTAAGAAAGTAACTTGTCCTGACTAATTATCCACTGGCCCTGATTTTATGAAATAATCATGATGATTTAATTATGAAAGAATAACTCGACATGGTATTTGATGTTGAAGTTTACTGGACTATTTATTGAAAAGTGATAAATAGCAAAGAAAGATAACTCTACTTATTATCATTGCGAAATTTAATAGCTACACTTGGAGCAGATATGAAATTAAATCCAAGTTTATTTGCAGTTTGAAACCATAATTGGAAATTATCTAGTAGCCCACGGACAAGTAAGATACCATTATTTGATTGCCCGAAAAGAAAACTGACTTGTCCCGGGCGTTGGGCGATGGGATTTTTGAAGCCCTGACAATGCCTTGATTTCTTTGTGATGTCTCTGGTTTATATTGTACAAACCTGCTTCAGTCAGTTGGTAACATCTGCTTATTACATTTAGGTTTTCCCTTACTACTCAACCCCAACCTGTCCCCACAGAGAATCCTGGCATTATCAAGGGACAAAACTCGAACCCGAGACAGCTGCTGTCTGGCACCACTCAATCAAGGATTTGCTGATTATGGGTAGTGTAACTGCTGGGTAACATGTGAATATAAGGAAGTCAAACAACATCAGTAGTTTGTTTACCTGGGCATTTATTCTGCCTTGCTACCTAAGTGTGCAAGGGACCTAATCTGCTGGTTACCCTCGGGGAGACAAGCAAGGGGTACTGGGGGCCTATTCTGTCTGGTTACCCTTGGGGAGACAAGCAAGGGGTATTGGGGACCTAATCTGTCTGGTTACCCTCAGGGAGACAAGCAAGGGGTACTGGGGACCTAATCTGTCTGGTTACCCTCAGGGAGACAAGCAAGGGGTATTGGGGACCTATTCTGCCTGGTAACCCTTGGGGAGACAAGCAAGGGGTACTCGGGACCTATTCTGCCTGGTAACCCTCGGGGAGACAAGTAAGGGGTACTGGGGACCTATTCTGTCTGGTTACCCTTGGGGAGACAAGCAAGGGATACTGGGGACCTATTCTGTCTGGTTACCCTCAGGGAGACAAGCAAGGGGTACTGGGGACCTATTCTGTCTGGTTACCCTTGGGGAGACAAGCAAGGGGCACTGGGGACCTATTCTGTCTAGTTATCCTTGGGGAGACAAGCAAGGGGTACTGGGGACCTATTCTGTCTAGTTATCCTCAGGGAGACAAGCAAGGGGTACTGGGGACCTATTCTGTCTGGTTACCCTCAGGGAGACAAGCAAGGGGCACTGGGGACCTATTCTGTCCGGTAACCCTCGGAGAGACTAGCAAGGGGTACTGAGGGCCTATTCTGTCTGGTTACCCTTGGGGAGACAAGCAAGGGGTACTGGGGACCTATTCTGCCTGGTTACCCTTGGGGAGACAAGCAAGTGGTACTGGGGACCTAATCTAGCTGGTTACCCTTGGGGAGACAAGCAAGGGGTATTGGGGACCTATTCTGTCTGGTTATCCTCAGGGAGACAAGCAAGGGATACTGGGGACCTATTCTGTCTGGTTACCCTCGGGGAGACAAGCAAGGGGTACTGGGGACCTATTCTGTCTGGTTACCCTCGGGGAGACAAGCAAGGGGTACTGGGGACCTAATCTAGCTGGTTACCCTCGGGGAGACAAGCAAGTGGTACTGGGGACCTAATCTATCTGGTTACCCTCGGGGAGACAAGCAAGGGGTATTGGGGACCAATTCTGTCTGGTTATCCTCAGGGAGACAAGCAAGGGATACTGGGGACCTATTCTGTCTAGTTACCCTCAGGGAGACAAGCAAGGGATACTGGGGACCTATTCTTGTCTAGTTACCCTCAGGGAGACAAGCAAGGGGTACTGGGGACCTATTCTGTCTAGTTACCCTTGGGGAGACAAGCAAGTGGTACTGGGGACCTATTCTGCCTGGTTACCCTTGGGGAGACAAGCAAGAGGTACTGGGGACCTATTCTGTCTGGTTACCCTTGGGGAGACAAGCAAGTGGTACTGGGGACCTATTCTGCCTGGTTACCCTTGGGGAGACAAGCAAGAGGTACTGGGGACCTATTCTGTCTGGTTACCCTCAGGGAGACAAGCAAGGGGTACTGGGGACCTATTCTGTCTAGTTACCCTTGGGGAGACAAGCAAGGGGTACTGGGGACCTATTCTGTCTAGTTACCCTCAGGGAGACAAGCAAGGGATACTGGGGACCTATTCTGTCTGGATACCCTTGGGGAGACAAGCAAGAGGTACTGGGGACCTATTCTGTCTAGTTACCCTTGGGGAGACAAGCAAGGGGTACTGGGGACCTATTCTGTCTGCTTACCCTCAGGGAGACAAGCAAGGGGTACTGGGGACCTATTCTGCCTGCTTACCCTCAGGGAGACAAGCAAGGGGTATTGGGGACCTATTCTGCCTGGTTACCCTTGGGGAGACAAGCAAGTGGTACTGGGGACCTATTCTGTCTGGTTATCCTCAGGGAGACAAGCAAGGGGTATTGGGGACCTATTCTGCCTGGTTAACCTCGGAGAGACAAGCAAGGGCTACTGGGGACCTATTCTGCCTGGTTACCCTAGGAGAGACTAGCAAGGGGTACTGGGGACCTATTCTGTCTAGTTACCCTCAGGGAGACAAGCAAGGGGTACTGGGGACCTATTCTGCCTGGTTACCCTTGGGGAGACAAGCAAGGGGTACTGGGGACCTATTCTGCCTGGTTACCCTCGGAGAGACTAGCAAGGGGTACTGGGGACCTATTCTGTCTAGTTACCCTCAGGGAGACAAGCAAGGGGTACTGGGGACCTATTCTGCCTGGTTACCCTTGGGGAGACAAGCAAGGGGTACTGGGGACCTATTCTGCCTGGTAACCCTCGGGGAGACAAGCAAGAGGTACTGGGGACCTATTCAGTCTGGTTACCCTCAGGGAGACAAGCAAGGGATACTGGGGACCTATTCTGTCTAGTTACCCTTGGGGAGACAAGCAAGGGGTACTGGGGACCTATTCTGTCTGGATACCCTCGGGGAGACAAGCAAGAGGTACTGGGGACCTATTCTGTGTAGTTACCCTTGGGGAGACAAGCAAGGGCACTGGGGACCTATTCTGTCCTGGTAACAGGGGAGAGACTAGCAAGGGGTACTGGGGACCTATTCTGTCTGCTTACCCTCAGGGAGACAAGCAAGGGATACTGGGGACCTATTCTGCCTGCTTACCCTCAGGGAGACAAGCAAGGGGTACTGGGGACCTATTCTGTCTGCTTACCCTCAGGGAGACAAGCAAGGGGTACTGGGGACCTATTCTGCCTGCTTACCCTCAGGGAGACAAGCAAGGGGTATTGGGGACCTATTCTGCCTGGTTACCCTTGGGGAGACAAGTAAGGGGTACTGGGGACCTATTCTGTCTAGTTACCCTCGGGGAGACAAGCAAGGGATACTGGGGACCTATTCTGTCTGGTTACCCTTGGGGAGACAAGCAAGGGGTATTGGGGACCTAATCTGTCTGGTTACCCTCAGGGAGACAAGCAAGGGGTACTGAGGGCCTATTCTGTCTGGTTACCCTTGGGGAGACAAGCAAGGGGTACTGGGGACCTAATCTGTCTGGTTACCCTCAGGGAGACAAGCAAGGGGTACTGAGGGCCTATTTTGCATGGTTACCCTCGGGGAGACAAGCAAGGGGTATTGGGGACCTATTCTGTCTGGTTACCCTCGGGGAGACAAGCAAGGGGTACTGGGGACCTAATCTAGCTGTTACCCTCGGGGAGACAAGCAAGTGGTACTGGGGACCTAATCTAGCTGGTTACCCTCGGGGAGACAAGCAAGGGATACTGGGGACCTATTCTGTCTAGTTACCCTCAGGGAGACAAGCAAGGGATACTGGGGACCTATTCTGTCTAGTTACCCTCAGGGGAGACAAGCAAGGGGTACTGGGGACCTATTCTGCCTGGTTACCCTTGGGGAGACAAGCAAGAGGTACTGGGGACCTATTCTGTCTGGTTACCCTCAGGGAGACAAGCAAGGGATACTGGGGACCTATTCTGTCTAGTTACCCTTGGGGAGACAAGCAAGGGGTACTGGGGACCCATTCTGTCTGGATACCCTCGGGGAGACAAGCAAGAGGTACTGGGGACCTATTCTGTCTAGTTACCCTTGGGGAGACAAGCAAGGGGCACTGGGGACCTATTCTGTCCGGTAACCCTCGGAGAGACTAGCAAGGGGTACTGGGGACCTATTCTGTCTGCTTACCCTCAGGGAGACAAGCAAGGGATACTGGGGACCTATTCTGCCTGCTTACCCTCAGGGAGACAAGGAAGGGGTACTGGGGACCTATTCTGTCTGCTTACCCTCAGGGAGACAAGCAAGGGGTATTGGGGACCTATTCTGCCTGGTTACCCTTGGGGAGACAAGCAAGTGGTACTGGGGACCTATTCTGCCTGGTTACGCTCGGGGAGACAAGCAAGTGGTACTGGGGACCTATTCTGCCTGGTTACCCTTGGGGAGACAAGCAAGGGGTATTGGGGACCTATTCTGTCTGGTTATCCTCAGGGAGACAAGCAAGGGGTATTGGGGACCTATTCTGTCTAGTTACCCTCAGGGAGACAAGCAAGTGGTACTGGGGACCTATTCTGCCTGGTTACCCTTGGGGAGACAAGCAAGGGGTACTGGGGACCTATTCTGCCTGCTTACAAGGGGTACTGGGGACCTATTCTGCCTGCTTAGTCAAACGGAGGGAGACTAGCAAGGGGTACTGGGGACCTATTCTGTCTAGTTACCCTCAGGGAGACAAGCAAGGGGTACTGGGGACCTATTCTGCCTGGTTACCCTTGGGGAGACAAGCAAGGGGTACTGGGGACCTATTCAGTCTGGTTACCCTCAGGGAGACAAGCAAGGGATACTAGGGACCTATTCTGTCTAGTTACCCTTGGGGAGACAAGCAAGGGGTACTGGGGACCTATTCTGTCTGGATACCCTCGGGGAGACAAGCAAGAGGTACTGGGGACCTATTCTGTCTAGTTACCCTTGGGCGACAAGCAAGGGGCACTGGGGACCTATTCTGTCCGGTAACCCTCGGAGAGACTAGCAAGGGGTACTGGGGACCTATTCTGTCTGCTTACCCTCAGGGAGACAAGCAAGGGATACTTGGGACCTATTCTGCCTGCTTACCCTCAGGGAGACAAGCAAGGGGTACTGGGGACCTATTCTGTCTGCTTACCCTCAGGGAGACAAGCAAGGGGTACTGGGGACCTATTCTGCCTGCTTACCCTCAGGGAGACAAGCAAGGGATACTGGGGACCTATTCTGCCTGGTTACCCTTGGGGAGACAAGCAAGTGGTACTGGGGACCTATTCTGCCTGGTTACGCTCGGGGAGACAAGCAAGTGGTACTGGGGACCTATTCTGCCTGGTTACCCTTGGGGAGACAAGCAAGGGGTACTGGGGGCCTATTCTGTCTGGTTATCCTCAGGGAGACAAGCAAGGGGTACTGGGGGCCTATTCTGTCTGGTTATCCTCAGGGAGACAAGCAAGGGGTACTGGGGACCTATTCTGCCTGGTTACCCTCGGAGAGACAAGCAAGGGGTACTGGGGACCTATTCTGCCTGGTTACCCTCGGAGAGACTAGCAAGGGGTACTGGGGACCTATTCTGCCTGGTTACCCTCGGAGAGACTAGCAAGGGGTATTGGGGACCTATTCTGCCTGCTTACCCTCAGGGAGACAAGCAAGGGGTATTGGGGACCTATTCTGCCTGGTTACCCTTGGGGAGACAAGCAAGTGGTACTGGGGACCTATTCTGCCTGGTTACGCTCGGGGAGACAAGCAAGTGGTACTGGGGACCTATTCTGCCTGGTTACCCTCGGGGAGACAAGCAAGGGGTACTGGGGACCGATTCTGCCTGCTTACCCTTGGGGAGACAAGCAAGGGGTACTGGGGGCCGATTCTGCCTGCTTACCCTTGGGGAGACAAGCAAGGGGTACTGGGGGCCTGTTCTGCCTGGTTACCCTCGGGGAGACAAGCAAGGGGTACTGGGTAAGAACTAGAGTGTTCTGCTAGGCTTACTTTGCGTGTTGATGGGAGCCGTGGCCTCAGCAAGGGCAGCCAGGGTGGCCAGGACGGAAGTACTGCTTTGGTCCGAGATTTCCCCATCTCCTAGATACAACAACACATAAAAACATTGCTGAATACCTGTATTGAGGCACCATCCACAATATCAAACACAACAGCCATAGAGAATTACAACGTGTAACAATAAGTAGAATACAAAGCACGTTGCACTTCCAACTGACAGTCATACACACATCCTGTTCAAGGGCATCTCATGAACACAATTGTACTGACCCTATGTTGTTGACAAGTATTTCCATTCCAGTCTAACTTTGTCTGTTTTAATTTAACTCAACTCTCCGCAATATTTCAGCTTAGTGATGGTAGCCTGTAAAGAAACCAATCTGGACCAAAAAATCCACCGATTGACACTGTCGTCGGAATCCCGAGAAAACAGCATCAAGCAAGTGACCGAGCCTGACCACCCATCTTATTTGGTCACGTAATACAACCACCATAAGTTGCTGGGGACCTCACTAGGAACCCTATCCTGGGAATCATGTCAATGCATTGAGACTATTTTGACACATTTATATACATAACAGGACTAACAGATTTCTATGGCGCTTGGTATCCAACTCGAAGCTGTTAAACGGCGCATCACAAAGTCATGTCACGGTTCATTATTACCCCGGATAACCCAAGCTGCCTGTGAGGCGCGCTTGAAGGTTATAGCCACATGACTTATCCCATCGGGTACCCATTTTCTGCTGGGTGAACAGAGTACAATTTTGAACAAACTCACTACAATCATCACACTTTTCTTCTAATAAACAATGTAGTAAATTTCAATAAATGTCAGTATGTCATACAGTGTTTGATTCGTCATCATTTCACACTCCATACCAAAGCCTACAAACTGAAGGATCAAACTGTCATACATTTTCATACAGTCATACAATTTCAAACATTACAATACCGTCAATATTTTATCATCAGAAACCTCTGAATTATCATACTAAAGGTATGGGCGGTGGGGTAGCCTAGTGGTTAAAGTGTTCACTCATCACGCCGAAGGCCTGGGTTCAATTCCCCACTTGGGTGTGAAATGAGTGAAACCCTTTTCTGGTGTCCCCCACCATGATATTGCTGGAATACTGCTTAAAGCTGCATAAAACTGAATCACTCACCAGGGCTCCAGATAATTTTTCAACATCAGGCGGACTTTAACGGCATATCAGTAATCTTGTGTTTCGTTTCATATATATGCACCACAACATTGCTACTCTTGTGAACACAGATCAATAAACAATAAAAAAAATACTTTTTTCAGATAAATACGTCTGTAAATGATTCTAAGACCGTACACTATTGCTGTGGTGCGAATCTGCTACGTTTCCTAAATTATTTCCTATCGTATCGTGCATATCTTTTAGCCGTACATACACCGATACGGCCTTTATCTGGAGCCCTGCTCACTCATACTCCCAAGTACCAAGGAGAAAGAGTGATTGGACTTTACTTTACACCAAGAAAATATTCAATCCACATCAACAGGGTGCACTGTCAGGCAATGAGTCGGATCAGAGACTGGTGTTGGTCTATCTGATGTGTATTCCAAGTACAACATGACCATGACCCAACAGCCATTGTGGCCAAGCAATCCCCATTTAGGCACTGAATGAGTGAGTTAGTTAGGTTTTACTCAGCCTTCAGCAATATTTCAGCAATATCAAGACTGGAGACATCAAAAATGGGACTGACAAATTGTACCCATGTATCGATCCTAGGTTTTTTTCGGCATGCCGGGCCAAGACTCTGATCACTTGGCTACCCAACCGCCTGGACAATCATGTACTTAACAGCATCATCATGATGGGTGAGGTGAGGTGAAATTGGGTTTTATGTCGTGCTTGAGAATATTTCGCTCATATGATGACGTGCATGCATGTGTATGTGTATGTGCGGCTGCTTGTACTAGCCCAGACTTAAGCTGGTTTCATAGAGCTAGCCCACTGAGATACCATGGCGCAGTGAAGCAGGAATACCCCACTCAGACACATTATACCGACTCCGAGCCGACCAGTCCTTGTTGTACCCATTAATGCCGGGCGCCAGGCAGGGACCAACAAGTACCATATTTTAACGTCTTTTGGTATGACGCGGTCGGGGATTGAACCCGCGACCTTCCGCTCTCCGGGCGGACGCTCTAACCACTACACCACGGAGGCGGTCTATCATGATGGGGGACACCAGAAATGAGCTTCAGACATTGTACAGTGTCACCTTGCACCCTACACTCCGGCACAGCGATGACATAACATAACATCACTGCCACAGGCTAATTTGCATATCACGTGACCGGACATTTCTCTTGCTTGTAATCAAATGCGCATATTCATAATAAGAAGAGACTGGACTCACGAAAGCTCTTCGGCGCGCTCTTCATAATGTGTTACATTGTTACATATATATTCTTCCACAACTGCGACAGTAACGTTTATGACAGTACATATTTAGATATCAAACTGGCTGCATCGTTTGCTCTCCGTCGGCTTCGATGACAGCACATGGAGCCGTACAACCTATGTAAACAAAGGATCGCTACGCAAATCGAAATAGAGTTACATGTTTTAGGATATTTTCTCAATGAAACTAAACCATTCTATCAAAGATGTTTAATTAGTTGTGTAGACTCGTCAAAAATAAAAGAGTTGAGAAATATGTAAATTATATTGAATGGACGGTGCAAGATGTGACGAATCGTCACATTTTTCTGGCCTGTGGCAGAGATACTATGCTGGCTTGCCGCATGGAACTCTGGGTAGGATAGTGCTTGCACCCTAACTACCAATCAGAAATGTAGAGGGTATGGCAATGTCAATGCTGCTATTTTTAGCCTGGGGTTTTCCAAAACTGCTATTTTTTATTTGACAACACCTCAAAGTCATTGTGAAAACGTAATCAATTTCGAGGAGAAATATAAAAAATTCTGACAGAGGTAATTAGAAACTTGATTTTAAAATCTGCCGGACATGATGACCGACAGCCTTTGAAATTACCGGATATTGTACCGGTCAAAGTCTGGTATATACAGGATAACGGAAACACCATGTAACCATGTGGGGAATCAAACCTCGGTCTTTGGTGGGATGAGTGAACACTCTAACAACAAGGCTAACCCACCGCCCCTTTATCATAATGAGAAATAACACTGTCACATGAATATATGACTGATGAACACTGATCAAATTAAGATTGACATCGTCCATATACTTCAAACATTCTGATGACACATATCACAAAGATGGACCTTCCTAAAAATCGATAGTTTCGAATTCTTGAATGGATTCCACCCAACAAATTAGCGGGAAACTTATGACTGACAGTATATGATTTTATCACGCTTACAATTAAGACAAACATTAAGTTTTCTTTAATTTGAGTGCAAAAACCTCAAAAACGCCCAAAGTGTTTAAAAACATGTGCAAACAAACAACCCTTAATTTTATCTCAGGTGCTAGTGCAATAAAAGTGTTCAAAATTCAATTTTTAATTTAGTAAAAAAATTTTTTAAATGATGCATTTTTTTAAAAGTGCAAAACAAATTCAAATTCCAGCATTGTGTTTAATAAAGCAATATGCCCAACAACATCACATTTCACATGTCTTCCAACATGTCTCCTATCTTCATGTTGGAAGGTATGATTTGTCACTAACATATAATTTAATTTGGGCATATACATTTTTCTGTGTGTATTCAAGATATTTCCCTCCCTTGGTCCTATGTGTTGGGTATTTTACACTTGACTGCTTCTGTGACAGTTCTACTGTGTGATCGAGATAGTGCTGAATTTGTGTGCCATGGAACTGTATACAGGGCTCGATTTAGTGCTGTGTTACTTGCACTGGTGCAACCCAATATTACAAAGTGCAACCTAGTTATTAGTCTAACTTGCACCAGGTGCAAGTCAAGTTTTGCGACTTAAGCTGGAAACAGAATGATGAGGAACTGACTTGGAAGAATAACTCTGATGATTGTATGAGCAGTGACTGAAGGACTTACTGTTCAGGACATTTTAGGAAGTAAGATAACTAATCTTATCAGTCCCAGATTTCTTTTGTTATAATGTTCTAAACTATCATCACCAAAACTCAAGCATCATATTTTATACAAGATTTTATATTGAGCAGCAGGTGCAACCTGTTTTTGTCTGATGCAACAAGGTTTCTACCTAAGGTTGCACTCGGTGCAAGTAGGTTTCATTTCTTTAAATCGAGCCCTGGTATATATTAAAATGGCGCTGGCAAGACTCGAAACACATGTGGAAAGCGATGAACATTTGATTGCTCTTGGGAATTGTAATTGTTGTGATGTTATGATTTTAACTGGATCATAAGATGGTATGGGCACACAGGGGTGGAAATAACTTTAAAATTGCTAGTGTACTCCGGTACAGTGGCACATGTAAAATCACTTGCCCTGATAAATTTTCCACTATACCATCCGTTTTCTTGTTGATTTTTTAAATAAACAACATAATTAACATTGGAAAGTCAACTGGACACCGGTACAGTGTGATATACAAATTTGCTTGCCCGACAGAAAAAAACACTGGACTCGAACGTCGGGCAATGGGTTATTTCCAGCCCTGGCACACTTTCCCAAAGGCGCACCTTCATCTGTCTGATGTCCTTATGCATTTCTATCTCTGTTATTACTTTGCATTAATGTGTACCCCTAAGAGATTTATTTTATCATAAGCTCACAAAAGTAAAACATGATAAAGGTCGATTAAGTTTGTTTGTAGTTTAAAGCCACACTCAGCAATATTCCATTTACATAGCGGTGGACTGTAAATATTCAAGTCTGGACCAGATAATCCAGTGATAAACATCCAGAGCCTCGATCTACGGAATTGGGATACAATGACATGTGTCAACCAAGTCAGTGAGTCTGACCACCTGATCTCGTTAGGGCAAGCATGGGTTGCTGGAGATCAATATTCTAACCCAGATCATCACAGGTCTCAAATAAGTATTATTAACCCGGATCATCACAGGTCTCAAATAAGTATTATTCTCTGTAGCAGAGTTCCTGTATCAGGCACCTACATTATCAAGTAAAAATATCTCTAAGGAAACAGATGAGGCCACATTGGGCTCTGATACTACTGTTTTTTTCAGATTTGTCCGATATTTTTAGGCAAGCAATTATAATAAATGTCAAAATATTCTGCATATTTCACAATACTCCTCTTTTGTAGGTATTAAGTAATTGACTGACAAACATAGAACAGTGTTCAATGTGAAATGCATTTCGTGCCGGCTAAGTAAGGGAGATAACCCTAGCTCCTTGCTCTACACATTACGTAAGGCACCAATTTCTCACTTTTGGATTTGGAGGTGGATGCAGTGTTAGGAACAATAGCAACAGGCAACACCGCCCCACCGTCCCTGTCTCCCGCGCCGAGAACGTTGCTGATCATGTCCGACGTCGTCTCCACCGTCACCGTCTCCCCCTCCGTACAGGTGATCTCCGTGTGCTGGAAAGAAATGAGCATGGTTTTACGCTGCTTTTAGCAATATTGCAGCAACATCACAGAGTTGACACCAGAAACGGGCTTCACACAGGGATTGGGAAAGGCAGGCGCCATGGGCCATTTTGCACATTAGAATAAAAAATGGCCCATTAAAATTTTGAAGTTTACTATTGATACAAGGGCAGTGGCCCATTTTAAATTCAGAAAATGGCTAATAATCCTGAAAATGGCCCATTATCAAAGTTCTGTATCCCAATCCCTGTTCACACATTGTGCCCATGTGGCTAATAGAACCCCAGGGAGTTGAAATTGATAATACAATGTGCCGTTTGAGATTGACATCCAATGATCAAGGGAAAAACAAAGCGCCTTTGAGCAGCTGAGCTGGATATTGGTGCTACAAATACGGATTTATGAAGACAAGATCAGCTGAATGAGACAACTGCTACAAGATCGCTTGTAATTAAGATCTGTCATATGACATGAGATCGTAACCCTTTCTTCTTAGAAATGGATTAAACACTTTGACGAAAGGATACTGAAAATCTTGGGAGTATTTGACAACAAATAAGAATTTAGATCACACTATTTACAGACTGTAATACAGTTAAACGACACGTACGTCAATTATTTGTGTGTGTGAAAATTGAGAGAGTTGAACTCAAGATCTACATGTAGACTTCGATCAGAAATCTGAATAGAACGGGTATAGATCTAAGAGTAGATGTGACAAGTATCAATAAAGCTATCCATTTCCAACCTTGTTCGTGAATTCGACAAGAATTAATCCTTTCGCAAATACAAAATGTTTTCTCGAAGCGAACATATGTGCGGGAAAGCAGGCATTTGGTGACAGTCTGCCCAGCCAATCAAACCACTTTTTTCGATCATGCGTTATATTTGCCAGGAGTATCTGTTGTTTTTAAAGCCACGTTTTCATAACATACTATATTTACGAAACCTTCATCAATGCTTGCATATTCAAATTAAATAATTAATAAATAATTAAACATTGGTCTAAATAATTTATGCATCCACGCTAAAGCTGTTATTACACTGCAAGCCACTACCTGCACAAGAAGACAAAGACTGCTCCCCTGGCAAGCTATAAATAGACTTGACTTCCTGTATTACGGCTGCGATGGCGAGCCTACCAGGAGGTATTTACAAATCTTGCACATACACACCAATCGTTTATGTTATTCTTGAAGATAGTATACAGTGTTATCGATTGGAATTTTCTAAAATCGATAATTGAAATTTCATTTTCAAATGATCAATAAACCGATTATTTGATCGATCGGTGCACCGCTAATTGGTGCTATACAAATATTAGCACAATCATAATAACCACTACAAGACTGGTCAAATCAGGGACCGACAATCAGAGGGAAATAACTCTTAACAACATCGCTGCACTGGGGAAGTTTTGATTCGCGATGGAGATTAATTAACTTCAAATATCATTGCAAGGTATTCATATTATGTATTAGTTTCCTGTAAAATCATAACTCGACACGTTTTGCTAAATGTAGGGCCTTTTTAGGGCATTTTCCCCCAAAAAGGGCCTTTAATTATTTTATATGAAAACGGTATGCTTGAAAACGGTATAAAAAGCTATGCCAAAACGTTGCCATTGTGAAAATCAAGAAGTTGATCATCTATAAAGTTTTGTCATCTCTATGCGACCAACTTCTAGAATGCCACTCAAACAAATTAAAAATTTAATCATTTTAGCCTTTTTGTGCTGTTGAAGGCTATATTGAGCTCTATTTAAAGAAATGAAATGTGTTCCTCATGTTATAGAAGTTTACATCCATATTTCCTTTGTATGAATGCAAAGTCTGAATATTATAAATAGACAATAACTTTCTCCCCGGACTCCAGAATCTCAGTTTGAAAAGTACTGCAGAGCTAGTCTGTTCCTCAGACAACAGTCCCCATGTGAGCCATTCCTTCCTTCCTACCTGTGCTAGTTGTAAAAGTTGTGCTATATCAGTTCTCCCCGTTGGCGATGGCAATGTCCAGCGGTGTCCGGTCAAACTGTAATCAAAGACAGACACGAGTGAGACGAGGCTTCCATGTTTTTATAGAGAGGACATGATACAGCTGCTCATGAATAGACAGAGGTACAGATAATCTGCGTATCTGCGTAAAATACGCAAATATTAATGTGAAAACTCAATTCCTATTAAGTCTGTTGCATACAAGTATGCTTGAATTTTTGTAAATACTCAATAAATGCCAGAGCTCCAGGTAAGATTTAGCTCATGTGGGTACTGTACCCACTGTATTTTTTGGGAGTGGGTATTATGAATATTGAGTGGGTATTTCATTTTCCGTTACCCACTGCTTTCAGATATGTGCGTATTTCAGTCATTTTACTCACCTAAGTATTATGTCGTTGAGTAAGTTTACTAAGCTGGTATGTATTGCCTTATGTCATACCTAATCAAAACCAACTTAAATATAATTGAAATGATTTCATAAAAAATCACTCATCCTATACTGACAGTACAACACTAGTCCTATACTAACGGTACAACAAAGGAAAATTAACAATCGATTGTGCTAATCATAAGAGGTAATTACGTTGGTTCAAGTGCTAAGACCTGCTGACTAGGTTGATACATATTATCACATCCAAACTGTGTACATCGATGCTCATTATGTTAATCACTGGATTGTCCTGTTGAAGTTCGATTATCTACAGATTTCCATCATATAGCAGGATTATTGTGGCGTGTAGCTGTAACAACAAAATACACCCCTACGTAGACAGACAAACCAAACGTTTTGGGAATGCGAATTTACTCATCAAGGTCACAGCTGGTGCTCAAAGGACGCTACAGTTAATAATAACAATAATAACAATAACAATAATAATAATAATAATAATGTGTCCATTTATATAGCGCCAAACTCCACACTAGGTATGCTCATAGCGCTAACAATCAAGGCACAGCACATTATTACCCCGGATAACCCAAGCTGCCTGTTAGGCACTAGAAGGTTATAGTCATATGACTTTTTCCATCGGGTACCCATTTTCCTGCCGGGTGAACAGAGACCATTTTGAACAAACTCACTTGCCTAAGGTGAGACCACATGTGTCACATGTGCTTCGTTGTGGGGCAGGACTCAAGTCCTAGAAACTCTCAGGAGTCAAGCTGCCAAACACGGTCACCCATCCAAGGACTCTCCGAGCTCGACGCTGCTTAACTTCACTGATTTGTGACCTGAGCTTTGAGCACAGGACCACGCACCACCACAATAGAGTTATCTCACCTTGTTTTCAAAGTTGGTGTCCGCAGAGTGTTTCAGGAGAATCTCAACGACTGGAATGTGTCCTTTTTCTGTGGCCCAATGTAGTGGTGTCATCTTCAGCTTCAATAACAGACAAAAAGTAGTCACCTTCAGCACTCTACATTTTGCTTCAATGCCGCTTTGAACGGAAATAATAACTTAGGTCATCCTTCAGCTTCGATAATAACCACCTAATATAGAAAGTTTGACATCTTCTCACCAAGATCAAATATGCCCTTTTCAATTTCGGAATTAAGGGCTTCATTTGTGAAACTAAGGATTTATCTACATCTGCTCAGTGAACATTCCCAAATGACAACATACAGCTGGAATTATTCCTTTGTGCATGTGACATTAATAACATGATAATTTTTCCACTTAGTTTTACAGTGGTGCATTTACTGCAGATTTCAAGAAATGAGACATTAAAACTATTCCAAATTGAAAATAGAAAGATGCGTCTTTCCAAATTCGCCCATCATAACTCATTCTGACGGGTGTAACAACAAAGACTTTAATTTTTTAGTAGTTTTTAAATTGCAAACAACTCTTATCTACTGAGATTCTCATCCATGACTTGGCGACATGGACTAATCAAGTGAAGAAGACACCCATCGCAAACGTCAATCATAAGCAAGATTTAAAGAAAGCCTAAATTGTTGTGGGTCCGCAACTGGATCATCAGGAGAAACACTGTCCAGTGTCTCCGACCTGAATTCAACAGAATGAAAGATGGACACAGATCTAAGTGCTTTAATTGGTCGAGAGCATGCTACTTGTGGGAATTAGGACAGGTCCTACGTATTACAACACGGCTGCAACTAGTTGTATGTAGTAAGTGAGTTTAGTTTTACGCCGCTTTTAGCAATATTCCAGCAATATTACGGCGGGGGACACCAGAAATGGGCGTGACACATTGTACCCATGTGAAGAATCGAACCTGGGTCTTTAACGCTTTAACCACTCGGCTACTCCACCACCCTGCGCCATGACAACATACCGTGAGCAGTAGCATGCTAACATAAACACTTCTGAAGTCTGTGCTGATGTAGGTTACAGTTTCCACTAGTGGTGGTCCGATTAATTGAAATAATCGAAGATTGGTCGCAATGACAAAACGACCAAGCAATCGATCATGTTTTCTCATAATCTAACACAATCAATTTTGGAACACTTGTTTGCAATAACAATATTTTTCACAAGGTTGGTTTTGTCTGTTAGATTTCATTAGCACTACAAGCTCTTCCAATTCATGATTGAATTTATTTTAAAGACTCCATGAACTTCATGTTCCTAACACACTAGTCATCCTTTAAAGATGTGAAATTTGCAAATGCATTTTGTGCAATTTGCAAAGAAAATGAAAGAACTACATGTTTTTTTCTTTACCTTTTGTGCATTAACAAACATAAGCAGGAAAATTTGATAAATGACGCTAACCAATTATTTTCGATGATTGATCGGTTGTAATGAACCAATCATCAATTATGAGATTGAAACCAGTTCCCACCACTAGTTTCTAGGGCTGCAACGAATACACTATCTGGCGAATATGGTACGTATCATGAATTTTGGGTAGCGAATACGAATAATTATTCACGAATACAATATTGTAGTTAAGTCATTGATACACTTTATAGAACGCCCATGTTGACAGTTTTGATTTGTCACAGCAATAACCAGTGATCTCATGGCACTCAAATTTGGTATGTCATAGTTATAATCGACAGTACCATGTGCAGTCTTGGCAAACTAACATGACTTGCACTACTGCAATACTAGTATATGTTCCATTCTTGCATATCTCCCTTTGGAAAAGGACATACAGGTTCAAGTAAAACATGCTCCCTTAAAAAAATCGCAAATATTCGGGTTCTGGTGACCACGAATAACGAATTGAATTCATGAAGGGCTACGGTTCGATTCAGCGAATATGCGAGTGAATCGTTACAGCCTTACTAGTTTCCACTCACCATGTCTTTAGCATCAATGTCAGCTGAGTTGTCCAGGAGAAGCTCCACTATCTCCACATGGCCCTCCTGAGCGGCAACGTGGAGGGGCGTGCGGTCCACTTTGGTGCGAGCATCACGGCTGATCCCTGCCCTGAGCAGCACTTCCGCCGTCTGCTGGTGGCCAAATTGGGCGGCAAAGTGAAGCGGGGATGTTCCCAGCTGAAGTGGTTCAAAAGAGCAAAGATTAACATAGATATCACACCCAACCCAGGGTTTTACACATACTTTTAAAAATGGGAGTCATGGTGACTCACAATATTTATTTTTGGGAGTCATTTTCAATATTTGGGAGTCATGAAAAGTTTAATATTTCTTTGTGTTAATCATTCTCAGTATGTAACTGTGTATGTCACACCACCAAATGAAACTACAGCATTGTTCAATTCAAACAGCCAGGATTACTGTCTCCACTGAGTTCTCTGGAACAATCTGACAATATCATTTTTTGCTTATCAAATCGATTTTATTGAACTGAGTTGTGAGGGTCACTCATAAAAACCTGGGTCAAGCTTGAGTGGTATGATAATATTTTGAGAGTCGTTTACAGAATCGTTGCGTCAAATACGCAGGAATCACGTGTCATGTAAAACCCTGCAACCACTACTTGATTATTCAGGCCATGTACACTGCACGATGTGTCAAAAATGGGTGGCAAAGTTTTCTCAGGGTAGGAGCCTATAAATTTCAGTACAAAAATGCCTGGAAGGTAGGTTTGCAAAAGAGGACATGCTTCTTTCTGAATGTTGCCACATGTTGTGTCAAGGTCGTCTAAAGGATTGTTACCGCCTCCGTGGTGTAGTGGTTAGAGCATCGGAGAGCGGAAGGTCGCGGGTTCGATCCCCGACCATGTCATACCAAAAGACGTTAAAATATGGTACTTGTTGGTCCCTGCCTGGCGCTCTGCATTAATGGGTACAACAAGGACTGGTCGGCTCGGAGTCAGTATAATGTGTCTGAGTGGGGTATTCATGCTCTACTGCGGCATGGTATCTCAGTGGGCTAGCACTATAAAATCAGCTTCAGTCTGGGCTAGTACAAGCAGCCGCACATACACATACACACGCATGCACGTCGTCATATGAGCGAAATATTCTCAAGCACGACGTAAAACCCAATTTCACCTCACCTCACCTAAAGGATTGTTACTGATGTTTGTGAAGGGTATTTTACAGTCTGGATATGGATCTGTGACTCACCCCGTCTGTTGTGAAGGGTGAGGTGAATTTTGGGTTTAAAGTCGTGCTCAATATTTCGCTCATATGACGACGTGCATGCAGTGTGTATGTGTATGTGTATGTGCGGCTGCTTGTACTAGCCCAGACTGAATCTGATTTTATAGCGCTAGCCCACATGAATACCCCACTCAGACACATTATACGGACTTCGAGCCGACCAGTCCTTGTTGTACCCATTAATGCCGAGCGCCAGGCAGGGACCAACAAGTACCATATTTTAACGTCTTTTGGTATGACGCGGTCGGGGATCGAACCCGCGACCTTCCGCTTTCCGGGCGGACGCTCTTACCACTACATATTGTGAAGGGTGTACTAGTGGGTGGATATGGATCTGTGACTCACCCAGTCTGTTGTGAAGGGTGTACTAGAGGGTGGATATGGATCTGTGACTCACCCAGTCTGTTGTGAAGGGTGTACTAGAGGGTGGATATGGATCTGTGACTCACCCAGTCTGTTGTGAAGGGTGTACTAGTGGGTGGATATGGATCTGTGACTCACCCAGTCTGTTGTGAAGGGTGTACTAGAGGATGGATCTGTGACTCACCCAGTCTGTTGTGATGGGTGTACTAGAGGATGGATCTGTGACTCACCCAGTCTGTTGTGAAGGGTGTACTAGAGGATGGATCTGTGACTCACCCAGTCTGTTGTGAAGGGTGTACTAGAGGATGGATCTGTGACTCACCCAGTCTGTTGTGATGGGTGTACTAGAGGGTGGATATGGATCTGTGACTCACCCAGTCTGTTGTGAAGGGTGTACTAGAGGGTGGATATGGATCTGTGACTCACCCAGTCTGTTGTGAAGGGTGTACTAGAGGGTGGATATAGACCTGTGACACACCCAGTCTGTTGTGAAGGGTGTACTAGAGGGTGGATCTGTGACTCACCCAGCATGTTGTGAAGGGTGTACTAGAGGGTGGATATGGATCTGTGACTCACCCAGTCTGTTGTGAAGGGTGTACTAGAGGGTGGATCTGTGACTCACCCAGTCTGTTGTGAAGGGTGCACTAGAGGGTGGATCTGTGACACACCCAGTCTGTTGTGAAGGGTGTACTAGTGGGTGGATATGGATCTGTGACACACCCAGCCTGTTGTGAAGGGTGTACTAGAGGGTGGATATGGATCTGTGACTCACCCAGTCTGTTGTGAAGGGTGTACTAGTGGGTGGATATGGATCTGTGACTCACCCAGTCTGTTGTGAAGGGTGTACTAGAGGGTGGATATGGGTCTGTGACTCACCCAGTCTGTTGTGAAGGGTGTACTAGAGCGTGGAGATGGATCTGTGACTCACCCAGTCTGTTGTGAAGGGTGTACTAGAGCGTGGAGATGGGTCTGTGACTCACCCAGTCTGTGGTGAAGGGTGTACTAGAGGGTGGAGATGGATCTGTGACTCACCCAGTCTGTTGTGAAGGGTGTACTAGAGGGTGGATCTGTGACTCACCTCGTCTGTTGTGAAGGGTGTACTAGAGGGTGGATATAGACCTGTGACTCACCCAGTCTGTTGTGAAGGGTGCACCATTGGACATCAACGCCCGGACAGCATCTGTGTCTCCACGCTTGGCTGCCTCCAGTAGTTTCTTTCCGAGGTCAACGAGCGACATGCCACCTGACCTTGAACTTATAATCTGGACAGGGACTTCGCTTACAATTTTGGTAGCCACGGTGCTGACTGCAAACAGAAAACAGACAAATAATTGAGCAGGATAGAAATGCAGTTTTTTCGGAGAGTGTCATAAGGTACCAGACAGATAATTTAGAAATGCCTTTGTGAAAATAGGAGTGCCCATATCTTTTCAAAACATCACAATTATGTTATTTCAATTCATTGTTCAGTTAGTCAGTAAACGTCATTCAAACCTAAAACTATAAGAGCTTGGTTTCTTGAACACTGTCAAGAATACAAGAATAGTTCTGCTTCATTTGTCCTGGACCCATAGAAGACATAGTTTCTTGTATAGGATTCAGATTTGTTTTTAACAGTCTTATTGGGGCAGTGGGGTAGCCTAGTGGTTAAAGCGTTGGCTCGTCACGCCGAAGACCCGGGTTCGAATCCCCACATGGGTACAATGAGTGAAGCCCATATCTGGTGTCCTCCGCCGTGATGTTGCTGGAATATTGCTAAAAGTGGTTGAAACCAAACTCAGTCAGTCGGTCAGTAACGGTCTTATTTTCCTAAACAGAGGCATTTGAACATCGAATTTCAAAACTGCATTAAATGTAATAATATTAACAAAGCATTAAAGCCTCCAAACCATGCAGATTGGTGTAGCTTCCATTAGCTTCGACTTAACAGCATGAAATAGGAAATGTTTCAATCCACTTTGGGATGTTTTTGTCAGATATGCTGCACACTTGGGGCCTAAAATCAGAGGACCCTCATTTTTCTAATTTCAGACGTCTCTGAAAAATGAAGAGTAAAGAAATGGTGTAGTCTACTAAAATGTTGGATTTAAAATTATTCCAATTACAGGAATTCGGTTCAAGTTTTACCAAATCCATGCTTGTCGCAAAAGGTTACTAACGGGGTCAGGTGGTCAGGCTCGCTCACTTGGTTGATAATTGTCATTGTATCCCAGTTGTGAAGATCGATGCTCATGATGTTGATCACTGGTTTGTCTGATTAAGGCTCAATTACTTATAGACTGCAGCCACATAGCTGGAATATTAGACCCTGTGAAAATCAGGGACAGAATTGATCTTCAACGGCTTGTGCTATTCATTAGAGGTATGTAATTGGGTTCAAGTGCAGCTGCTAAAACTTGATTGCCACATGTCATACATACATATTGCATTCTCTATTGTCTCCGTAAGTACTGGTAGTCACCTACACATGACTAACACCTCACCCCCGACATAGTTAAAATAACAACCTCCTCCTCCTCCTCCTTAATGAACCAGTTAATCCAGTTACAGGGGAGTGAGTACAGCTAACAGAACAGCCAGGCGAAGGGCTAGACTGACTGACTGACTGAGTATGGTTTTACGCCGTTTTTAGCAATATTCCAGCAACATCATGGCGGGGGACACCAGAAATGGGCTTCACAAATTGTACCCATGTGGGGAATCGAACCCGGGCCTTGGGCGTGACGAGCGAACGCTTTAACCACTTGGCTACCCCACCGCCCGGCGAGGGGCTAGAGGTACTAATTAGTGGCTTGTAACAACAGGGGACTCGGGGCTAGGGGAATGATGCCCTTTGTAACCCGTGTTAGGTGGTAAAAACCTACACGTTATTTGTCATCATTCACTTGATGGTCAGTTAATGATTTATAACAGGTATAATTAGTGGTAACACCACTTAGATTCCCATTTGGCATATCTTGTGTCTGGAGTAAATACCCAACATTATAAACATCGATCAAAGGATTAACCGATAACACACTGATTGATTAATTACTTTTATCTTGCACACCGGATTTGTCAAAAGGTAGTGTTTATGTATGTAGATTTACTAATCTATACTGAATACACTCTGTCGTATAGTGTCTGTGTAAAAAAGTCCTTCTTTCAAAGGATTAACCGCCAATACATAGATTGATTGCTCATTATTGGCTAACTGAATTAGGTTTTTTTAAAGAATGGCGGACATTATGCAATTAGTTGCCAGGTGTGTTATCTTGAGTGACCACTGAGACTATACACCAATGTGACAAACCTGAAATGATATATCACTTTTTCACATATTACACTGTTAAAAGACACATCAATGGCATATCACTCGTTTTGGTGGATATTGATGGATACATTCCTTGAACAAGGCAATAGCCTGACATTGTTCCTATAACTTTAATCTGTTTTAATTTTAATGTTTGCATTTTGTTTTTATTCATTTGTCGTAGCAATTTTGACAGAATTGTCTATGAAAACAAGTTGTAACTCAAAAGCTAGGCAAAGCAGGTGACAAAATTAAACGACAGTAGATTGTGAGAACATATAGCTTTCATTTTTCACAATTGTCACGATTTCAGGTTTAGACAAGCCTGTAAACAAGATAATTTACCCCCTGAAATGTACATGAATTCTACATGGGCCCTCATATCTATTCCTAACATTACGTCACAGAGACGCGCCCCTCTGATTGGTTGAAATTTCGCTTGTGGGTGAGAATTGTGCACTGTTGTCAAAAAGGTCGATTTAAGTTAATTAAAGATCGAAATGAGTAGTTTTGATGACGGGGTTTCAGTTATAATGATATAACGATGCCAATTAGTGATTTATGTATTTGTACCCCCATAAAGTATATGTGATCTTTAAGACCAATTCTAACCCGGGTCTTCACATACCCTAGCATGTGTTAGTGTAATACTAGTAATTAGTACAGCTGGAATCTAAATGTTCCTGTATGATGTGACCGCCTCTGTGGTGTAGTGGTTAGAGCGTCTGCCCGGAGAGCGGAAGGTCACGGGTTCGTTCCCCCGCCGCATCATACCAAAAAACGTTAAAATATGGTACTTGTTGGTCCCTGCCTGGCGTTCGGCATTAATGGGTACAACAAGGACTAGCCGCCTCGGAGTCAGTGTAATGCATCTGAGTGGGGTATTCATGCTTCACTGCGGCATGGTATCTCAGTGGGCTAGCACTGTAAAACCAGCTTAAGTCTGGGCTAGTACAAGCAGCCGCACATACACATACACACGCATGCACGTCGTCATATGAGCGAAATATTCTCAAGCACGACGTTAAACCCAATTTCACCTCACCTCACCTGTATGATGTAAACAAGTCTCACCTGTATGATGTAAACAAGTAAACACGTCTGGACCAGACAATCCAGTATTCAATACAATCATTACAATGTATGTTGTGAACTATGATCCTTGTCATCGAATTAAGACGACATGCACTCAACCTAGACAGCCAGGCTCACTACCCAATCCATGTGGTCACTTCTTGTGACCGACACATCACGATAAAACTACCTCCACTTATACAAGGAGACTTTTACAACAATGAGTGAGTGAGTGAGTTTAGTTTTACGCCGCACTCAGCAATATCCCAGCTATATGGCGGCGGTCTGTAAATAATCGAGTCCTGACCAGACAATCCAGAGATCAACAGCATGAGCATCGATCTGCGCAATTGGGAACCGATGACATGTGTCAACCAAGTCAACGAAACTGAACACCTGATCCCGTTAGTCGCCTCTTACGACAAGCATAGTCGCCTTTTATGGCAAGCACATGGGTTGCTGAAGACCTATTCTACCCCGGATCTTCACGGGTCCTTTTACAACAAAAACACTACAGTGAGTGAGTATGGTTTTACGCCGCTTTTAGCAATATTCCAGCAATATCATAGCGGGGGGCACCAGAAATGGGCTTCACACATAATACCCATGTGGGGAATCGAACCCAGGCCTTCAGCGTAACACACAAAAACACTACAACTTATATTTAAGTGTACAGACATTGTAGACTTCAGAATTATTTCATAAGATAAATCTTGATTTCTGAGAAACCAACATGTAACATTTAACATAATTTTCAGTGCATGTCCTATTACACTTAAGGCGAGCTCTTGGATTAAGTCTACACGATTAAGAAACACAAATAAAAACATTTTACATAGCAAACAAAGGGAAGTAACTCTACTTTGGCTTATCTGCAACTCCCAATTATGACCACAAAATAGGCATCCACATTTCCGCTTCTAAGACCCCGAAAAACACAATAGTAGCATCCAAATGTTACCAGAAAGAAATATCTATGACGTCAACTTTCCTGTGCATAGAACCTGTATATATGTTATGCGCTTAGAGCATGTCCCTGGGTGATGTGGATGAGGCGCTATAAAAGTACTCTTATTATTATTATTATTAGAAAGAATGATGAACAAACCACCTGATCCTTAATTTCTCTCTCATTGGAACCACACTTTCTGACAAAAAGGGAAATAGTTTTGAACCAATATTCTTCCCTGATCACACAGTGCACCCTGGTTATAATGCCACCACAAGTACCTTCTCTTGAAAAAGCTAAGTATTACATGATTGGAGTCCTTAGGTACTGGGAAGCCCTGCAGGCTGGATATGAATAATCTCTCCACAAATTCTGAAATTATGCACGCCCTGCAAGGTCAATGTCATTGTAATCAGACAGGGCTCGATTTAAGAGATGTTAACCTGCTTGCACCAGGTGCAACCTAAGATAAAGACCTAGTTGCACCAGCCAAATTCCAGTTGCAACGTAGTGTGTTAAAATGTTTTGGTGTACATAAACCTTAATCAGTGATGTAGTGCCCATGAAACCATAGCAACACTGAGACACAGCTGATCCCTGTTTACAAGAGCTGTCATAGCCGAGACGTGTTTATGAATAGCAATGTTTCATTGCCATAGCTATTCAAAGTTTAGAAGAAAAATGGGCTGGCATATTTATGCATATGTTAGATTTATTGTTGATTTATTTCTCAACAATTCACTTGCACCTTGTGCAAGATAGACTCATAGCTAGGTTATATTTTGTAATATTGGGTTGCACCAGTGCAAGTAAAAAAGCACTAAATCGAGCCCTGGCAGACATCAGTTAAAGATTTCTTTAAACCATTGTGGAGCAAAGTTTCATTTGAATGATGTGTGCATTCATTAGAGCAAAATATATTTAGCATATATATATGTTTGAGTGTTTATGTACTATGTACGTGAAGTGAAATTGGGTTTAACGTCGTAGTTAAGATTATTTCGCTCATATGATGAAGTGCATGCATGTGTATCATAGTATGTGTGGCTGCTCTTACCAGCCCAGACTTAAGCTGGTTTTATAGTCCTAGCCCACTGAGATACCATGCCGCAGTTAAACATGAATACCCCACGCAGACACATTATACTGACTCCGAGCCTTGTTATACCCATTAATGCCGAGCGCCAGGCAGTACCAACAAGTACCATATTTTATCGTCTTTGGGTATGAAGTGGCCGGGAATCGACCCCGCGGCCTTCCGCTCTCTGGGCGGATGCTCTAACCACCACACCACAGAGGAGGACACATGTGCTGTGTAACTGAGAAATAAAAAATGATCAACAAAGTAATGACTTGTTTTCTTTGAAGCCAAAGGGGCTCCAACTGTCCTACCTGGTTATAATCCCACCATTCATATATTGCCATATTTTCTCCTGGACAAAGTTCATGATGTCAATCACTGAATTGCCTGGTCCAGACTCAATTATTTACAGACAGCTCTCATATATGATATAACGGGGATTTGTACCCATGTGGGGAGTCGAACCCGGGTCCTTGGCAAATGAGCAAAAGCGGGTTTAAACACTAGGCTACCTAACCACTCCCTAATTGTTTGCAGAAGATATTACATTATGTATAATGTGATGTACTACCACAACAATCGGGATTATCATTCTATTTCAATAGATTAAATTCTAAGGATCTATGGTAATGCCTTAAGTCATATAAATGATTATACATATGACCTAGCACATTATTTGAAGAATATTTGAATATTTCAATGCAAATAAATATCATCAAATAAAAATAACTAGTTAGCCTCATTCTAATTTCCAATAGAAGACGCTTTAATATAATGACGAAATTTTGATTGATAAACTGTTTATTTTGCAACTTTAATAACAGTGATCCAGACAAATAGGAATTCATATTCTTAACTAAATGATGAAGAATGACAAGTAAAAAGAAAAGTTAAAATATTTTAAGCTTCCAATAAACTTATTCATTCTCTTTCAGATTCACCTTCATGGGCTGATGGTGGTAAATATCTTTTTATCTTAATAAATTCTGCTGACGTTTTTCAACAGAGTAAGTTTATGCATATGGTCAGTAAGTTTTTTACTATTTGTGATTAAAGTGGTTCACGGAAATTTGGTTGTCAGCTGCTATACTATGGAGTGAGGTTACTTCCTGCTGACCCTTTTGGTAACAGGTAAAAATGCATGCTTTTGTGTTAAATGAGGACGTTAACACATGTCATTGTTCGGGGTGAACAGGTTGATGCCCCAGATCATTATTGTTAATTTTGTGTTTTCCATGACCGCATGAAATCAACCTCAAAAGAAAGGAATATTGGGATAGTTCTCAATAAAAACTTGCCTCTCCCTACTTTATAAAATTTGTCAGCGAACGACAACCGACATGTCAATATGAATATATAACAGCCTACCGTTTGAAAACAATATGACAAAATAGAAGGCGCAATATGTCATGATATCACTCTGAACTGATCCCGGAAAGAAAAGACACCATCCTGGTATGGCGCGCAATCAGGGAATCGCGTCAGTTTTTAATTAAATCTAAACAAATTATCCGGTATTCCGATATCTGAGATGGCGCCGAGGACGCCAGTACAAACCTCGCATGAGCGTTTATTGTTCAAGTGATATTTGGCTGCAGGAAAAAGTATATTCCAAGATAGATCTTTACGAGAAGAATATGAAATGAGCGTGCAAAATGTACACGAGAAACAACATCCGCCATTTTTAATCAGATGAGCGGAAGTTGCATGTGGACAGAACGGAAAAGGACGTTCATCTACTTCACTTCCGCTACAGTCACACAGACAAAAGTCCAGACATATAAGACCAACGTATATCCTACCTTTAAATGTATATTTTACCGAAACAGAAACGAGGGGCAACTCTTAAATCTTCGCAATTTTCTTCCACGGCTATTTTGCCGGAAGTAGCTTGCTTGATGCGTACAACCGGAAGCTGCTGACGTAAATAGTGAATTAGTCCGCGTAGCAGCAGTGTCAGTATGTACAACTCGGTGAACGCACTGGAAATTGTAAACCAGAAATACATTTTATATGTCTTGTTCAAATACATTAAGGCATTTATTTTATATTACATGCCTTGGATGTTAGGCACTATATTTCTTCTCTCATTTTTTTGTGACCGAATGTGACCCAGCGCGCGCTTTGATTAGCTTGACCAACTTTGAGTGCGTGAAACTATATTCGCTACAACCAACCTTGTGTTGTTAACATACCTGAAATGGAAATATATGTCATCTTTCATTGACTGAATATTTTCCTTTACGTGGTGGAACTGTCTTAATTATATACTGGTTTCAATTGCTACCGCCTTTTTCCAAACTCTGACTGTTTGTAACTGAATTTGTAAGATCATCTGTTACAAATTATTATAAATTATAAATTATGCCGGTTATACAAAATAAACATAATTCTATTTCTCACGGATTTAAATTCATTAACTGCCCATCAAGTTAACGATGACAAATAAACAGGTGTAGGTTAATATCACCAAACACAAGTTAAGCAAGGGAGTAGGAACCGCTGTATTGCATGCAATTTTAATTGCCTAAAAAAACTTAGGGGTCGACGCTGTTTTGAGGATATGAACGGATAAAAAATCATTGTTGCATAAGAAATATAGCATTTGCTGTGTACTTAAGTTAATAACTGTATTTTCCTATTTACCTAAGTATTTTTTAAAGATTTGTTTAGCAATGGCAAAGTTGGGTTGATTTAGTATACGTATTCGAATAAATGAAATGTGTGGTTTTAATATAATAGGTCAATAGACACATTGTGCATGATTAAATATTCAGGTAAAAAACACAAAACTAGGATCAAATTTGGATCAGTCATCATACCAAAGACGCATCAGAAAAGATTACACTGCTTGGCTGTTATATTACATTCAGACTAGAACTACAGGGGATATCTGCTAAGGTACCCGCGAAGATCCGGGTTAGAATTGAACGTCAGTAACTCATGCTTGTCGTGAGAGGCGACTAACGGGATCGGGTGGTAAGTCTCGCTTGGTTTACACATCATCGTATCCGAATTCCTTAGATGCTCATGCTATTGATCACTGGATTGTCTGGTCCAGACCCGATTATTTACAGACCGCCGCCATATAGCCTGAATATTGCTGAGTGCGGCGTAAAACTAAACTCACTCACCAATTCTGCCAAGGTGACAACTGGCCAAACCTTGTGTCCGTCACGGTCAAGGGAGCACGTGCTGCCCATGCACTGGCAGCTAGACCACGTAATACAATTGTTGGCGTGAAACACGAGTCGCTCTATCAGTGGGCCCCTTTAAAAGCGGGTGGGGGATAGCTAAATATTTTTTTAGTATTTGGCTTATATATCGCGTTACCAGTGGGCCTTTGTTATTACTAGGGGTGGGTATCGCAGAGAATTTCCATATTGCGATATATTGCGATGCGAAATCATGTATTGCGATATGTATTGCAATATATTGCATGAAGTATTTTTAAACAGAAACTACTTATAATCGAGTTACTTCTTGATTTATAGAGCAAAAACACCACAAAATCACTAGGCTTGATTAATTTTAATAACAACTTTTAATCATTTTAAAATAAAAATGTCAATAATATTTGGCACAAATGAAACAAGGACATATCCAAACATCTCCGAGTGTTAGGAAGTTTTCCGAATGCAAGTCAAAATACCGGTTTTCGATCAGCGTATCGCAATACGTATCGTTTTCATGTCTGAACCGGCAAATACCGGTAAACCGGTTATAATGCGCAGGACTAGTTATTACTCAGAAATATTATATTATATTATAAGGCTTTTCTTTGGTTAAGGTTTGAGAAGTACCCATTGGTCCTATTTGGAGAAACCAAGCGAGTGAGCATGGTTTTGCGCCCTATATTGATTATTCCAGCAATGTGACTGTTGGGGGTCACTAGAAATGGGCTTCACACATTGTACCCACGTGAAAAGCATCCACTGTCCTGTTTGGAGAAACCGAACATCTGAAAGGAATACTACCAAAGGGAAAATGCAAGAATGTTTAAGTTACGAAAATGTCCAATTTCTAAAAAAAAAGGAAGTCAAACATCAGTACATTTCTTTGAGACGGGCTCCACTGTGGGAAGTCAAAGTAACAATTATCTCGATACGGAGCGAGACGTCCTGGAGGTTAGCCTGACCAACTAGTCCTGTTGGTCCCCTCTTACAAATAGCATAGGTTGCTGAAGATCAATTCTGAACAGGATCTTCATAGGTGCACTGGTGCGTGGGACCCGTGAAGAGCCGGCTTAGAAATGATCTTCAGTAACTCATGCTTGTCGTAAGAGGCGACTTACGGGATCAGGTGGTCAGACTCGCTGACTTGGTTGACACATGTCATCGTATCCAGATTGCGTAGATCGATGCTCATGCTGTTGATCACTGGACTGTCTGGTCCAGACTAGATTATTTTCAGGCCGCCACCATATAGCTGGAATATTGCTGAGTGTGGCGTACAACTAAACTCACTCACTCACTCGCGCTTAAGACTCTGACGAGGATCGGCATAGGTGTACTGGTAAGACGGCCGTTTATCCTATATACTGAGAGAAACAAATAAAGGAACACAGGACATTCAAGTGTTCCTTTAATATTTTTCAGTTTTCATCACCAGCTTTGAATAGCGTTGTGGGAGAGGGGTGGTGGTGGGGTAGGCTAGTGGTAAAAGTGTTCACTCATCACGCCGAAGGTCCGAGTACGATTCTCTACATGGGTACAATTTATGAAGCCCATTTCTGGTGATATTGCTGGAATATTGCTAAAACGGCGTAAAACCATACTCAGTCAGTCAGTCGTTGTGGGAGAAAACCTGAGAATAAATAAAGGAACACTGCCATGAAGTGGTGTTCCCTTATTTGTTTCCCTCAGTATATTATCTCCTACTGGAAATTTTGGAACTTTACAACGACCTCTCTACTGGCAAATGTGACATCGTCCTCTGCTGGTTGCCGGGTCACGTCGGCATAGAAGGTAACACAAAAGCCGATGCTGCAGCAAAAGCAGCTCTTGACAAGCCCCTATCTCCACTGCTGATCCCGTACAGTGATTTCAAACCCACTATCAAAAGCTATACTCGGGACCTCATACAAAAAAGATGGGACACCCAAGTAGGAAGAAATAAACTATGAATTGAAACCAACAATTGGTTATACCTACTTGGGTTGTCAGTCAAGACGTGATGAGGTAATTTTACGACGATGTCGTATTGGCCACAGTCGGTTTACTCATGACTATCTGCTGAAAACGGATGGGGGTGCACCCCCAATGTGTGTCTCTTGCGATGAGGTTTTCACCATCAAGCATATTCTGCTTGAATGCGTGAACTTGTCGTCTGCAAGGGACTCACATTATGATGCAACAAACCTAAAAGATCTGTTCTCCCGCGTGAGCGCCCATCTGATAGTGAACTACCTGAGGGAAGTTAATCTGTATCATAAATTGTAACTGTGAAATGTGACTATCATAAATTGTACTGTGAAATGTGACTAACAAATTGCCTACCTTTAAATTTGGTGCTATGACTTTTTCTGCTTTTAAATGACAACGTAATGAATATATGTTTTTGAAATAAAACTCATTCCGAGTATGTACTTACAATGTTTATTAATGCAAACCTTGTTCTCGTCACTATATGGCTGGAATAATGCCGATGCGACGCAAAACCCAACTCAACTCAACTCAATTCAATTTACTCAGTGTATTCAAAGCATCGTGAAACTCAACACACTCATTCATTAGGTTAATTTATGAAATTTATGAAACAGGTTTCGCTTTCGGTTACAAGGACACATTTAGCGGGATCAATTCTTCATTACCGTCCTCTAGCTTGAAAGCACGGTAGGTTTATCTCCTAAATATCCCGCCACTTGGCTTACTGGACGCCTTTAGAACATTCCATCAACATCATGGCGGGCGACACCATAGGTGGGCTTCACACATTGTACCTATGTTGGGAATCGGACCCAGCCCCCACTGGATGTATAGAGCCACTGCCCGCGAAGAGGTCACGTGATGTGAAATTGGGTTTAACGTCGTACTTGAGAATATTTCGCTCATATGACGACGTGCATGCATGCGTGTGTATGTGCGGCTGCTTGTACTAGCCCAGACTGAAGCTGGTTTTATAGTGCTAGCCCACTGAGATACCATGCCGCAGTGAAGCATGAATACTCCACTCAGACACATTATACTGACTCCGAGCCGACCAGTCCTTGTTGTACCAATTAATGCCGAGCGCCAGACAGGGACCAACAAGTACCATATTTTAACGTCTTTTGGTATGACGCGGTCGGGGATGGAACCCGCGACCTTCCGCTCTCCGGGCGGACACTCTAACCACTACACCACTGAGGCGGTCCCGAAGAGCAAAAGGTTAATCATATTGGTGAGTCGATCACTGGCCGGGTTATACAGAAAGACGAAGATGTTATTTGTCGTTTACCTGCCTGGGGCTCGACCATAAGGGGATGAAAATGACAAGTCCTACCAAAAGTGTAGAGAAAACATTGAATCTAGCTCTAAGGGCATTCTTTATAAACATTTTAAAAAATCAATACAATTTGAACAACACTTACTATTACGTAAATATGTCTCTATCCCTATTCTAAGATTCCGCACGCACTTCAAACCATAACTTACCCATAGACACTGGCCGGTGACAGGGCATTGCGAGGGAAGATCGTTTATGTAAACTATGCGACCAAAATGTAATGGGAGATGCATGTGTTTCATTACATCTGTAGATGTGAAGCTCTTCTCCGAACCAGATTATTGTATATTCCAAGACTGTATAATCAATACCCAAATGTATATAACCTTTGTAAAATATTGACACCAAAATACAAATACAATACCATACAAAAGAACTGAAATGCTTGTCTAGATTCATAAATATTTTACAAACCATGTTAAGAAACAGTCACTATGACGCATGTATTATGTGTAATATATCTGTTTTGTGTTTTGCTCTTGTACCACCGTAGGTGGTTTTGAAGTCAATAAAGATTGATTGATAGATCGAAGTCTGGAGTCGGCTTGGAGTCTGTAAAATACAGTTTTGGGTGCGGTATTCATATTTAACAGAGGCATGGTATTTCAGTTGTCTAGCACCATAAAATCTACTTAAACGTAGTACAGACGGAGAGACGACGGACGGACAGACCATATATTGTATGCATTAGTTTTGATCGTGACATTCTACTCTATACCCGTGAAGATCAGGGTTAGAATTGATCTTCAGTAACCAGTGTATGAAATAAGCCAAACATCCAACCAGACATCAGGGCTGGTAACTTCAAAATGTTACCAGCCGAAAATGGATTTAACCAGACCAAATATGGTAAATGTACTCAGATGTATGGAACATCTAAAATGTTTACCAGACCATCGGGCTGGCTAGCTGTAAATGCAGACCGTTCGCCGGAAATCTAGACCGTCTCGGGCGGTCGGACGGGCCTTATTTCATACACTTCAGTAACCCATGCTTGTTGTAACAGGCGACTAACGGGACCGGGTGGTCAGGGTCGCTCACTTGGTTGACACATGTCATCGTATCCCAGTTGCGTAGATCTATGCTCATGCTGTTGATCACTGGATTGTCTGGTCCAGACTCGATTACAGACCGCCGCCATGTAGCTGGAATATTGCTGAGTGCGGCGTAAAACCAAACTCACTTACTCACTTACATTCTACCCAAACTTTCATATCTATCTGAGAAGATGTCCAATGTTTATTTTACACACTTGAAAACTTTTCACCATTAGACAGAATACAATATGACCATGACCTATCAACAAATTCGTTTGTAGGTCAAAAGTCCGACAGACACCCATTATCTACAAAGAGACATGTTGTATGTTGTTAGGAGAACATTGCGTTCGGAAGTGCACTCTTCCATGTGTGGACCACACCCAAAGTCTAAATACAAGCCCGGGGAAGTAGCTGAATTTGTTTGCCAGGACAAGAGTATGTGTTAAACAGCTGGGTGGAGCTGTTATTACGAGCGTAAATTATTTGCAAGTTGACGAAATAGCTGAAACAAGGGGCACAGCTATGGTAGCCGGACCGCTGCGTCATTGTTTTGATCATTTGCATACAACACGTGCTTTCAGGGAACAGTAACGGAGGAAGGTTTGACAGTTGAGGGATGTGTTGACGATGAACGCCAAAATGTTTGATATTTGTCACGTCGGCTGCATAGGATAACGCTCCGCCACAAACAATGTTTCACTGCAGTTATTATTTCAAATTTGCTTCAGGCGGGAAAGGGATAATAGTACCTCGAGTTGCAATGATGGAAACGTATCGACATTCAAATCGTGCAGACGATCACGGAATACTCTTTAGTAAAATATATTTGACAAATGGAAGGTTAATTTTTGCATGATGGATATCGCATATGGAAATGTGGACACTATGCAGTAATTTACTGGTAGATATTGGTGGAGGACGAGTGTTTGAGGTAGATAACGCGAGTGTATCGCATTATCAGCATCCAATGGTGATGCCCTCGGACAACGCTAGAGGAGTCGCCATGACGTGCGACCGGTGTCACTCAAGGATGCAATCCATTGCAGAACTCTTGCTAATATCATGCGACGCACGGCCAGTTTCAAGTGAAGATCTTTCACCTTTTACGAAATCCTACTCTCGGTGCCGTGATGAAATCCTGGATATTTTACGGCGGTTGAGTAACCTGATGAAAGATGTTGCTTCTCAAGTGACCAGTGTGACGTCAGTACATTGGCATGATATAAGCACCTGCATTCAAGACATGTGTGATTTTGTTGTAAGACTTGTCGAGTGTTGCAGCCACCTTGCCTACCTCACAGCAATCGACTTCCCCGATTGTTCGCCATCTCAAGCAGGGATTATTGACAGGTATAAAATCTGTCGAGCAAATCTAGACATCAAAATAAGCTGCACTCGACTCAAAAGATCCAGGCTTCACGACCTTCATTCACAGTTTCTAGTCGATATATGCTCAAATATATCCCAAGCTTTATCAATCATGACGGATGTTTGTCGTACAGCTGGTGAAAATGCGTCTGACTCGAGTGATCAAGAACAGTTTAAACTATGTGTGAAAAGTGTGACCTCAAGTACAAGTTGTCTGATTGCTAGTATCAAGTGTTTTAAGTCTCATCCCAATCCTCGTCATCTTGGTCGAATTGTTGCGTTCTGTGATCCAGTAATGACTGCCAGTAATGCCCTTGTGACTTTCACTACCGAAGATGGGTTTATCGGGAAACCTGCACACCTCACTGCGGATGCCAAGGAAAGCCAGAAGTCGATTTTAGGTGAGTTAATATTTAGTCAGGGCTCCAGATAACTTTTGGGGGAGTGAGTGTACTTACACATCATATTGCAAGTGGAGATGTACTGAGAAGTTTGAAGGAGTACTGACATGTTTTTGTGTGAGCGAGTTGGTGATGTGGTTTGTCGGGACGATTCATCGATCACTATTTCCAACCATGTATTTGTATTTGAAGATGCGTGAGAAATAACTGAGCGACTGTGTGATGCGCGAAATGTCAGGTCCGACTGGATATAAATAGGAACAGTGTAGTTTATAGCCAATCGAAAAATAGTGACGCATATCGTTGCATGGCAACGCAAGGGGTTCCTACTGTCGGGGTTTCCTTATGTGTCAAATCGTGTTTTGCAAAGAAACTCTTGTCAACAGGTATTTATCCAAAATAGATTTCCATTTGAACGATACGCACGGAAATTAAATGTTAGACGTACAAAGGTATTTATGTGCGTACACGATACGCTTGAAATGTTATATTGTGTTGTACTTAATTGATTTTGAGGCGTACATTACGGGCCTCTTATCTGTAGCCCTGTTTAATGAGTGAGTGAGTTAATATTTAATGAGTGAGTGAGTTTAGTTTTATGTCACTTTTAGCATTATTCCAGGAATAGAGCAGCGGGGAATCGAGAAATGGGCTTCACATATTGTACCCATGTGGGGAATTGAACACGGGTCTTCGGCGTGACGAGCGAACACTTCAACCGCTGAGCTAAGCCACAGCTTATTTAAAGTTTGATGTGAGCATTGATTCAGCCAGTAATGATGAGACCAAGGTAAAGTTTGTTGTGTCAGGCAGCATTCGGCAAGATTTTGGTTATATGGCAGTGGTCTGTAAATAATGAAGTCTGGACCAGATAATCCAGTGCTTGACATCATTAGCATCATTCTTCGATATTGGGAATTGATGACGTGTGTCCACCCAATTTAGTGAGCGTGACCGCCAAATTAGCGAGCGTGACCACCCAATCATCGAGTGTGACCACCAAATTAGCGAGCGTGACCACCAAATTAGCGAGCGTGACCACCCAATCAGTGAGTGTGACCACCCAATCAGTGAGTGTGACCACCCAATCATCGAGTGTGACCACCCAATAAGCGAGCATGACCACCCAATCAGTGAGCGTGACCACTAAATCAGTGAGCGTGACCACCAAATCCCTTAGTGGCACCTTACGACAAGTGTGGGTTGTTGAAGATCAATTATAACCAGGATCTTCACAGGTGCCAATGTAAAGTATGAGCATATGATCTGCAGTGTCAGACTGCCAGTTCATCTTTCATCTGGGACGGTGGGGTAGCCTAGTGGTAAAGCGTTTGCTCGTCACGGCGAAGCCCCGGGTTCGATTCCCCACATGGGTGCAATGTGCGAAGTCGATTTCTGGTGTTCCCCTGGTGATATTGTTGGAATATTGCTAAAAGTGGCTTAAAACTAAATTCACTGGCTTGTACTTTTGGAAATCACTGCACTGCGACTAAAACATCCCAAATTCTCAAGCTAACATGCCCAGGTTGCCGATTTCAAGGCCACTTCACACATACTCAAACCTTGCAATGTATGTCTGTTGTTGAACGCTGCACTCAGCAATATTACACTGTGATGTGAGTGTGCAAAATTATCCAGTGTTTGGCAATATGAGCATCGGGATACGAAATGCATCGTATATGTCCGTCTGACACTTGATTGTGTTTGTCGCCTCTTACAAGAACTTGAAGAAGCATTGTCTACAGAAGACCATTTAAGCCTGATCTTTACTGGGAGAGATATGTTGTCTTGAAGACCATATTTTTTAGGGGTGTCACGATACACCAATCTCACGATACGATACGTATCACGATTTTAAGGTCACGATACGATACGTATCGCGATACATAATTTTCGCGCCTTTTCATAGCATTACCTTACCGGCAACGTACACGCTTGCTGATTGGTCCATCAAAATAGTCTAGCCAATCACAAAAGCTGTTAGTTTCCAACCTATTTTTTAAGTAAAGGTAGCTACATCTATTTATCGGAGCGGTCTCGTATAATTTTACTATCAAGACTTTGAAGGAGATGGATATAGCATAAAAATTTGAATCGATAAAGTTTTAAAATAGGAATCGATACACACAAGCATGTATCGCGTATCGTATCGTCAGTAAAAATGTATCGATGCATCGCGACACCCCTAATATTTTTTAAACATGATCTTTATTTGGAGGGTCTGGGGAGAGGAGAAATCATGGTTTGCTAAGACCAGTTTTGGCCCAGATCTTCTCAGGGAGATCATGTTTTAGACTTAGATAAGTTTTCAAAATTGCCTTTGGTCAGGGAATACTAGTTCCTTTCAGACTTGACAGAGGCAAGGATTGTATGATTTTGAGTTCCATGTCTGTATTAAATGTGTTTTTGTATAGAGATTGGTACTAAGAACTTTAATTTACTTGTTTTGGCAGACTCCATTTGTAGACATATTTTGGAATAACTTCCATGGATGGTTGACACAGAAATGTGACCAAATATTCAATCTCAAGCTCTCTGCTGAACTTTTAATATTTGGGTGTGACACAGATACTGTTTTTGACCTCTTACTACCAATGGCTGTATTCTTTGTGTATGTCAGGGGGTAAAACCACACATTGATGGTTTTAAAAAAGTGTGTGAACAGAGGTATTCTATTGAGAAAATTAGTTTCTTAAGCAGAAATAAACTCAATAAATTTTACACAAAGTGGACATTCTATTAACCACTTTTCAATTAGTACAGCCAGAGCATAAGTGAAAAGCAGACAGTAAAAGCTAGCAGTTTATGTTAAGCTCACAACGGTATTAGTATGAATGTGAGGGTGAATGAGTTGTATTTTTTTTTAGAAAATGTCAGAATTTCTACCAGTAAGATTTCATACTGTCCAGATGAGTCACCATTTTCCTAAAGGTGATCCTCAATCTTGTGACAGGGAGCAAGTCCAAGTTTGCCAGAGGTAATACTTCTGTGTCATATACTTCATCTTGATGTTAGATGGATCTCTGTATTTGTTTGATTACATCTGACTACTTTGTCTTCAGATTTCACTGACCGCCTCCGTGGTGCAGTGGTTAGAGCGTCTGCCAGGAGTGCGGAAGGTCGCGGGTTTGATTCGCGACCGCGTCATTCAATAAGACGTTAAAATATGGTACTTGTTGGTCCCTGCCTGGCGCCCGGCATTAATGGGTACAACAAGGACTGGTCGGTTCTGAGTGGGGCAGGGCTCCAGATAACTTTCGGGGGTAGTGAGTGTACTTACACATCATATTGCAAGTGGAGGTGTACTGAGAATTTTGAAGGAGTACTGACATGTTTTTGTGTGAGCGAGTTGATGTGGTTTGTCTGGACGATTCATCGATCACTATTTCCAACCATGTATTTGTATTTGAAGACGCGTGAGAAATAACTGAGCGACTGTGTGATGCGCGAAATGTCAGGTCCGACTGGATATAAATAGGAACAGTGTAGTTTTTAGCCAATCGAAAAATAGTGACGCATATCGTTGCATGGCAACGCAAGGGATTCCTACTGTCAGGGTTTCCTTATGTGTCAAATCGTGTTTTGCAAAAGAAACTTAACAAGTATTTATCCGAAATAGATTTCCATTTGATACGCACGGAAATTAAATGTTAGACGTACGAAGGTATTTATGTGCGTACACGATACGCTTGAAATCTTATATTGTGTTGTACTTAATTGATTTTGAGGCGTACATTACGCCTGTACGCCTCTTATCTGTAGCCCTGGTGGGGTATTCATGCTTCGCTGCAGTATGGTATCTCAGTGGGCTAGCACTATAAAACCAGCTTCAGTCTGGGCTAGTACAAACAGCCGCACATACACATGCATGCACGTCGTCATATGAGCGAAATATTCTCAAGCACGACATTAAACCCAATTTCAACTCACCTCACCTCAGATTTCACTTTGCCTTAGATAAAATGGGTTGAATGGATAGGGAGGTTGGAGGCTGAAATTTTATTTGTTTTCTTTTAATTTTGATCAGTGAAAAATCAAATTGGTCAGGGAAAAGTCAGGGAATTTGAACTTTCGTCATCTGTGGCAACCCTGTTTAACCACTGGGCTACCCCACCTCCCCGTCAAGCAGCAAGTGGTAATGAAGATTCATGTTCATTGTTAAGACAGGATTTTGTTTTCTGGGCCCGATTAAAGAGATGTTAACCTGCTTGCACCAGGTGCAACCTAAGATAAAAACCTAGTTGCACTGCTTTTATTGCTGTATGTAATTTAAGAAATATGCTATTGAATTATTTAGATGATTTGTTCAGAAGTTTACCCACTCAAAAATTGACTTAGGCTAATAACTAGGTTGCACTTTGTAGTATTGGGTTGCACCAGTGCAAGTAACAGAAAATTAAATCGAGCCCTGGGTTTTGGTTGTTGCTTAACACCACACTAGCACTATTCTATATATATGTTCACAGTCTAGACCAGACAATCCAGTGATCAACATGAGCATTGATCTACGCAAATTGGATGCGATGACATGTGGCAACCAAGTTTTAGCAGCTGCACTTGAACCCAATTACAGTAACCTTGAATGAATAGCACAAGCTGTTGAAGATCAATTCTGTCCCTGATCTTCACCAGGGGTGGAAATAACCCATTGCCCGATGTCCGAGTCCAGTGTTTTTTTCTGTTGGGCAAGCAAATTTGTATATCACACTGTACCGGTGTCTAGCTGACTTCCCAATGTTAATTATGTTGTTTATTTTAAAAAATCAATTCTGTCCGGAGTACACTAGCAATTTTAAAGTTATTTCCACTCCTGTTCACAGGGTCTAATATTCCAGCTATATGGCTGCAGTCTATATGTAATTGAGCCTGAATCAGACAATCCAGTGATCAACATCATGAGCATCGATTTTCACAACTGGGATACAATGACATTTATCAACCAAGTGAACGAGCCTGACCACCTGATCCCGTTAGTCACCTTTTGCGACAAGCATGGATTG